GCACCTCAGGCAGGGGCTAAAAAGGAGGCTGAATATGTATGAATCAAAATTGCTCCCATAAAATATTATAATCACATGTTGCACAAATGCTTTTATTTTGGTAAACAAACATCTGCAAAGAAAAAGGAAGTAGGAGGATGTGACGTGCACAGCACCAGTGACTGACAGACTCGGAGATGGGCGGGATGGGAGGGGACAAGACGTCACTTTCATTCAGATTCTTGTTAACATTGCTGACATTTTTTACAAAAAAAAAACGTAACTTTCATAGTTCACATGTAAACACAGACATATATGCAAGTGTGTATATATATATAAACTTAAAATTACAAATAACTTTTTTTTAAGAAAGCAAAGGAACAAAGCAGGTGTTCATGCCTGTAATCCTAGCTACTCAGGAGGCTTAGATCTGAGGATCTCGGGTTGAAGCCAGTCCTGGCAGGTAAGTCTGTAAGACTCTTATCTACAATTACCATTGAAAAGCTGGAAATGAAGCTACGCTCAAGTGGGAGAGTGCCAGCCTTGAGTGAAAAAGCTAAGCAAAAGCGCAAAGCCCTAGTTCAAGCCATAGTGCTGGCAAAGCAAACCCAAACAACCAAACCAAACCAAAACACCGCAAATGATCATTTTCCACAGTTGAGCTGTTAAAAAAGGAAGTTTCAGGCTTACTTCTCTTGCAGCCCTGCTGGCCTGCCAGCCAAAGCCAAAAATATCAGAAGCCAAAGGTAAAGCAGCAGCTTGGGAGGGGACGGGGAAGAACACCAGGCACTGACAGAGCACTACTGACTTTTGCCCAAATCAGACACTGACTGTAACAAGGACAGAAGACAATTTGTGTTTTTCAACACTGCTGTCTTTAGAATATCACTCGTACAGAGCTCAGTGAACTGCTCGGCTCCTATTACTAATGGGGCAGACGGGCCTCACAACCTCTGTGCTGGGTGACCAGTGGGGTTCTTCACAGCCTGGAGGGCCCCATGCATTTTGAGGAAGCCAGTTGGTTCTGGTGGCGAAGTCTATACGTAGTCACATTCGGCTGACAGGCTGGGCCCAGGGCCTAGAGCCACCAAGGAGCCATGTGGCGGTGGAGTGCCACATGTGAAAAAGTCTGCAAAGATCCACCCAGGATTTCCACCAGAATCTCTCCAAAGACACCCTACTATCCAGAGCAATACCAGAGAAGGAACCCCATAACCGCCAAGTCTTCCTATAGCGTCTAAGTTATACAGAAGGAGTGCTCTGTGAAGACTGGGGACAGGGTCCCAAGACCAGGAGGCGCTCCTCCCTGTGCTCAGTCTTCTCATGATTGTTCAAGCAGACCCTCTCAAACTCGGCTGTATCTTAAAATCATCTGGAGCCGGGCACCAGTGGCTCGCGCCTGTCATCCTAGCTATTTAGGAGGCTGCGATCTGAGGATCCGGTTCAAAGCCAACCCGGGCAGGAGACTCTGGGAGACTCTTATTTCCAATTAACCACAAGAAAATTGGAAGTGGTGCTGTGACTTAAGTGGTAGAGTGCTAGCCTTGAGCTGAAGAGCTGAGGGACAGCGCCCAGGCCCAGAGTTCAGGCCCCAGGACCAACCAAAAAAAAAAAAAAAAATCATCTGGACAGCTTGAAGAACTATGGATATCTAGCGTCCTCTCAGATTTTGCTGTAATCAGTCTAGGATGGGACCCAAGCATTAAAAAATTCCCTTCCCTGGAACTGAAAATATATGTATATCTATCTCACTATAGATAGGTAGATAGATTGATAAATAGATATAGATATATCACTGGTAGAGTGATTGCCTAGGTACTAGGTTTGATTCTCAGTAACAAACACATTCATTCTCTCTCTCTCTCTCTCTCTGCTGGTGGTTCATGCCTCCCATCCTAGCTACTCAGGAGGCTGAAATCTGAGGATCAAGGTTCGAAGCCAGATTAAGTAAGAAAGTCCAGGATCGGTTCAAGCCCCAATACCAGCACACACAAAACACTGGCTAGGTGCAGATTAATCCTGCAGATTCTCTGCTTTCCGCAGACACCAATGGGCCAGCACTGAGGAAATCTGTGTCACGCCTGCAGGTCCTCCCCCTCTCAGCTCACACAGCTCCTTCCTCTACAGCTTCCCCAAGTCCAGCCAGAAAGATTCCCACCCTCCCCCTGCCCTCCTGGGGAGAGGATCACAGACCCTGAGTCCCATTCTGCCTGAACTCGAGGCCTGGGCACAAAAGGGACACTCTGAATTGACTTGCTAATCTGAATGGAACCCTAGCATGCTGCTCCCATTCCCCCATTTCCTTTTTTTTTTTGGGGGGGGGGTCGGTTGTGGGGCTTGAACTCTGGGCCTGGGCGCTGTCCCTGAGCTCTTCAGCTCAAGGCTAGCACTCTACTACTTGAGCCACAGCGCCACTTCCAGTTTTCTGGTGGTTTATTGGAGGTAAGAGTCTCATGGACTTTCCTGCCTGGGCTGGCTTTGAACCACGATCCTCAGATCTCAGCCTCCTGAGTAGCTAGGATGACAGGTGTGAGCTACTGGCGCAAGTCCATTTCCCCTTTAAACAGTATTCCTGGATGTGAAGCCCTACCCAGCCTCACCACCGAAGTCTCTGTCACCAACTTACAGACTACAGACGACCGGCCTCAGCTTTCTTGGCTGGAGATGTTGGAAATTCTGCCCTATACATTCCTGGAAGTAGATCTCCCTTCTGCCTCCACTGCGGAGCCAGGGACCACAAGCTCCACCCATAGGCCTCCTATAACCCAGTGCCTCAGTGCACCAGTGATCCTGCGCCCAGACAGCCGCAGCCCTCAGAAAACTGGCCTGCCTCAACTTCTGAGGAACACGGCATAGGAAGCCAGTCATGTGGAGATTTACCTTCCCATCTTTTCTTTTTGTATTTTTTTCTGGTTGTAGGGCTTCAGCTTTGGGCCTGGCACCGCTCCTGAGCTCGTTTGCTCAAGGCCAGTGCTCCTTCACTGAGTCACAGCACTACTTCCCATTTTCTGGTTCACTAGAGATAAGAGTCTCCAGGAAGCCAGGCGCTGTGGCTCAGGCCTGTAATCCTAGCTACTCTGCAGGCTGAGATCTTGGGGGTCACTGTTCAAAACCAGCTTAGGCAGGAAAGTCCCTGTGAGACTCCTCTATCTCCAATTAACCATTCAAAGAGTCTCATGGACTGGCCTGGCAGGGCTGGCTTCCCAACGGGATTCTCAGATCTCAGCCTCCTGAGCAGCTAGGATTACAGGCATAAACCACCTTCCCATATTTTCTAATACAGACAATGAAGATTTCCTTCCTTCCTTCCTTCCTCCCTCCCTTCTTCTCTTTTTCCTTTTCTTATCTATGTTTATTTTTGCTTTGTGTGTACAATAAAGATTTTTTTATGTTACTCTCAAGTCTTTACACAAAGTTCCTCTGATAAGCTCCCAGATGAGTTCAATTCCAGGCAATAAAATTGTTCTGAAATTCATTTATATGTTTTCTGTTGTCTCAAGTCCAAAACTATGCAATCCCAGTGTGTATTTTTTTTTGTTGTTTGTTTGTTCCTGAGCTGCCAGAAAACTTGGGGCCAAATTCCATGTTCCAGATATTGCAATCGGCTTCCATTCAGGCCTTTCAAAATGTCTACTCTTTTGACTTTGTTTTCTCCTGAGCAGTTTTCAACTCAGGGTTAACCTACCTCACCCAGTGCTCAACCAAACCCCTCCCCAGGGGCCTACCTCCCGGTGCCTGGACGCCATCCATCCCTCCCTGCCTCTCCAGGGCTGGCTCCGCATCCTGCACCCTGGCCTGGTTATGGCCACGTCCCGGTCTCCTCAGCCTCCAGACCTCCATCCCATGACCTGAGGGAGCTGATGCATCATTTCTGCCTTGGGGAACTCCTCCTCCTCACAGATCTTTCCTTGTTTCTCAGAGCTGCCTGGCTGGTGAACTACCCCCCCCCCCCAACTCCTCTCCCCGCCGTGGCCACACGTGGCTCTCCACGCACTGCCTCTCTCTCAGTGACTTGACTTACACTGTTCCCTCAGCCCCAACCCTCCATGCTGCATTTTCTTAGCAGAGGTTCCAAGGGTTCAGCCCAAGTGTCTTTTTCCCTGGGGACTTCTCTGCGTTTCTTGGGCTCCGTGGCACACAGCAGGCCAAGATGTCAGTTCTTCCAGTGCCCCTACCACCCAGCCCAGGGCTGCTCACCAGCCCTCCGGCCAAGCCTCGCTGGCCTGCTTCCAAAAGCCTCTGTCAGCTGGGCTCGTGCATGTAATCCTAGCCACTCAGGAGGCTGAGATCCGAGGACTGAGGTTAGAAGCTAGCCTGGGCAGCCCATCCAATGAACCAAGAAAAGGCCCCGGAATGGAGCTGTGGCTCAAGTGACAAGAGTGTCAGCCTTGAGGGAAAAAGGCTATGGGACACGGCCCGGGCCCCAGGTTCAAGCCCCAGAACTGGGGGCCCTCCCTGCTTACCTTGACTTCCTCTGGCAATTCTGCTCCCATCCTAAGCTGCCCACCCCTCCAGTCTTTGGGGTGTAGGAAAGGGCGGCGCAAGGATTTCTTCCACCCTCTAATGGCCCGCGGCGGCATTGGGTCTCCCAAGCCACGCCAGCCCAGCCAGAGGTCACCAGGCCTCCAGCGAGTGGGGGGGGGGGACTTCTTCCAGAACTTTCTTCGCTCCCACCACGGCCTCTGGGGAGGTCACAGCCTGGGTCCCGTGCGGCCCCTCACCGCAGGATCGCCGGGCTGGGCTCTGCTGGGGGTGGAGGTGGGGGCCCAATGCGGATCTCAGCGCCCCCCCCCACCCCCGCCCCGCAGGCCCCGACGGCGTCCGGGCTCCAGCTGCTCCCCGCCGCGTCCTCGGGGAGAAGCGAGGGGCCCGCGGCGCCCGCTCCAGCCCCCGCGGGCCGAGGGGGAGGGGGCCGCGCGCCTGCCGTCGGGGTTCCCGCCACGGGCGCAGGGCGGGGCCGCCCCCTCCTCCCAGCTCCCCGCGGGTCCCGGGACCCCCGCCCCCCGGGGCCCCGGCCCTACCTCCCCGCGGGCGGCGGCTCCGCGGGCTCCGGGCTGCAGCTCGGGGACGCCCGGGCACATCGGGGCGGGCGGCGGGGGTCCGGGGCTCCATGGCCCGCAGCGCCCCGCGCCTCTGTGCGCGCACGCGCGGCCTGGCCGGCCGCCGGCGACCCCCCGCCCACGGGGTCCCCGCCACGCGCGCTCCCGCCGGGCCGCGCCGAGCCCCGCGCTCTTCCTCCGGCGGCGGCGAGCGTCGGCCGTGACGCCGCGCCCCCTGCGCCCGCCCCGCCGCTGCAGTGAGCTAATCCGCAGCTGGCGGGCGCCCGGCCGGTTGCCACGGCAACGCCTCTCCCAGGGCCGCCGCCGAGGGGCGCCGCGGTAAACAGGACCTTCTGCCGGCCGGGCCCCTCGCCTTCGGGGCCGGGGCGAGGGCGGCTTAACCCCTTCCGTGCCGAGCTGGCCCGGCTGCGCGGCGGGACCCGCGCGGGGAGGGCGGCCGGGCTCCGCGCGCGGCGGGACGGCGCGGGCGGCGGGCGACCCGGGCTGGGAAGGGCCCCCAGAGGCCCGGAGAAGTGACTTCGCAGAGCCCCGCTGCCCCCCGTCGTGTAGGGCACCCGGATCGCAGAGTCTGGGACGGCCAAACGCAAACGTGCACTTGAGAATGCGGGGGCACCCTGAGGATCGCGGTTCAAAGCCAGCCCGAGCAGGAAACTCTTATCTCCAAGAAACCGCCAGAAAACCGGAAGTGGCGCTGTGGCTCAAGCGGTAGAGCGCTCGCCTTGAGCTGAAGAGCTGAGGGACAGCGCCCAGGCCCAGAAAGAAAGAGAGAGAGAAAGGAAGGAAGGAAGGAAGGAGGGAAGGAAAGGAGGGAGGGAGATCTGAGGCTAGGCTTCTTGAGGGCCACAGGGCACAGGGCACCCGCAGACTGACCACAGGCTGGTCCTAGAGGGAGGGGGCCTGCGCGTGCGCAGCTGGCCTCCTCCCCTTGCAAGGCACAAGACAGCCCAGCAGCCTGGGGTCTGTGCCTTTCCCGACTGCGGCTCACACCCTAGGTGGCTGGACGGAGGGGGCGGGGTGCCCTCCGTGACCATTCCTACGTCCCGGGTCTTCCGGATCGGGTCCTGAAAACCGATGCCGGAGTCTGCTTGGCCCAGTTTCCATCCGGCCTGCCTTTCAGTGGCTGCTTCTCCCGCTGCCGGTTCATCCCAGGGCTCTGTTACTAGGACAGGAGCCACACATGGCCCTGTCCCCAGCGGATGGTACCTGGTCCTTCCCAAAGCCCGGGCTCTCCAGCTCCAAAAGGCAGGCATCCCTCCAAGGCGGGCACCTCTGTTGGGGTCTGGGAACCCCTCTCAGGGGCTCTTTCAATAACACATTCACCCCTCCCCTCCCTGGCTGACCTCAGTTGCTTTCCAGCATGGATAATGCTAAACATCTATTGAGCTTAAGCTAGGCGCTGGTGGCTCATGCCTGACTCTTAGCAACTCAGGAGGCTGAGATGGGAGGATCGCAGTTTGAAGCCACCCTGGGCAGAAAAGTCTGTAAGACTCTTATTTCCAATTAACCATCAAAAGGCAGAAGTGCAACTGTGGCTCAAGTGGTAGAGTGCTAGCCTGGAGTGAAAAAGCCAAGAGACAGTGTGACATTCTAAGTTTAAGCCCCAGTACCAGCAGCTGAACAACACAGAAACAAACATCCACTGAGCCGTGATGTCACTCTGTCCTTCCCACAGCCTTGAGCAATTAAACATGGATGCGTACCATTTTGTGGATGGGAAAACCACATTCCTAAGAGGCCATGTTCCTTATTCATGGTCACAGAGACCCAGGCCTCTCTGCTCAGCCCATGTTCTCTTCATGACACCATTCTTCTCGGGAGCATTGGCTCTGCTTTGTGCCAGGATTGTGGAAGGAGAATTTGGGACCAGGGTTCAGTCCATGGTCCTTGTTATGGCTCCCCCATCTGGAAGGTATAGGTAATGCAGCTCTTCAGGGCATTCCTAATTCAAACCTGTCCCTGAGTTCAGTTTCCTGTTTTAATCCCTCTTCTGCGGGCTGTATCCCTTTCAGCCTCATTGCCTTGATAGAAAACAAACACAATAATTATTGAAAAAGAAGTTTTGTTTTTTTTTTGTCGGTTGTGGGGCTTGAACTCTGGGCCTGGGCGCTGTCCAGCTCTTCAACTCAAGGTGAGCGCTCTACCACTTGAGCCACAGCACCACTTCTGGTTTTCTAGTGGTTTATTAGAGTCTCACAGAATTTCCTGCCCAGGCTGGCTTTGAACAGTGATCCTCAGATTTCAGCCTCCTGAGCAGCTAGGATGACAGGCATGAGCCACGGGTGCCCAGCTAAAAGGTTTTGTTATATATGTTTTTTGTGTGTGTGTGGGTGGGGTCAGTCATGGGGCCTGAATTCTGGGCCTGAGTGCCATCCTGCAGCTCTTCAACTCAAGGCTAGTGCTCTACCACTTGAGCCACAGCACCACTTCCGGCTTTTTCTGCTTTATGTGGTGCTGAGGAATGGAATCCAGGGCCTCATGCGTGCAAGGCAAGCTCTCTACCACTGAGCCACCTTCCCAGTCCCTCAACCCCCTTTTTAAAATTCCACCATCTGGAAGAAAGGAGCGGAAAGGAGTCAAATATCATATAGGCTTTCGCTTCTGCTGGGGCTAGGCTTCAGGTCATCTGGGCTCACAAACACAGGCAGGTGAGGTGGCTGCTCTGGAAGTCCCTCTCTGAGCCCAGGATGAGCTGGTCTGTCCACGAGCCATGCGTGTTACTCCCCAGTTTACAGGGCGTGGGTGAACACAGAAACTGTGTACAGGGGCTGGGAAGGTGGCTCAGTGGTAGAGCGCTTGCCTTGCGTGCATGAGGCCCTGGGTTCGATTCCTTAGCACCACAGAACCAAAAAGAAAAAAGCCTGAAGTGGTGCTGTGGCTCAAGTGGTAGAGCGCTAGCCTTGAGCTGAAGAGCTGAGGGACAGCGCCCAGGCCCAGAGTTCAGGCCCCATGACCAGACCCAAAAAAAAGAAAAAAAGAAGAAAAAGAAACATTGTGTACAGGGCTGGGAAGGTGGCTCAGTGGTAGAGTGCTTGCCTAGCATGCATGAAGCCCGGGGTTCGATTCCTCAGTACCACATACACAGAAAAAGCTGGAAGTGGTGCTGTGGCTCAAGTGGTAGAGTGCTAGCCTTGAGCCAAAGAAGCTTAGGGACATTGCCTAGGCCCTGAGTTCAAGCCCCAGGACTGGCAAAAAGAAAAAGAAAAAGAAACACTGTGCACGCCTGCCAGCCAGCACTGTAGGTGCTGGTGAAGCCTGTGCGCTGGGCAGCACAGACAGCTGTGGGTGATGATGTGCACGCACTGTACTGGTTCCACATTGTCCACCAATGAGCGACTCCTCCTGCCGCCTGGGACTCAGGGAAGTATGGAAAGAAGCTTTTCATGGCAGGGTGTAGATGTACAGATGTGGGCAAGCTCCAAGACACTGAATCCTTTGAACATTGCAGTCATCTTGATCACATAATGCTGGTAAAAAGTGGTCTGGATGAGCTGGGCAGATGGCTTAGGAGTAGAGTGCTTGCCTAGCATGCATGAAGCCCTGGGTTCGATTCCTCAGTACTGCATACACAGAAAAAGACACAAGTGGTGATGTGGCTCAAGTGGTAAAGCGCCATTCTGAGCACAGAGAGGCTCAGGAACAGTGCCCAGGCCATGAGCTTAAGCTCTAGGACTGGCAAAAAAGAAAAGAATAGAAAAAGTCGACTGGTTGACTTCTGCGGTCCCCATAACTTGACCTTTACAACCAGGTCACAGTTGCAGAAGGCCACTTGTAGGTGGCCTGGAGCACAGGTTCAAGTCCTGCTGGGAGCTATCAGTAACAGGAGGATGCCCAAGGCCTGGGGTGCAAAGCTGGTCATGGTGGCTTTGCTGTGTGTCTAGCTGCCTGATCTGCAGCGATCAACAGGTTTGGGCATGAGCTGGCGAGCTGGCGTGGGGCGGGGCCTGCAGCTGTGCTTAGCCTGTGACATCTGGATGAGACAGAGAAGGAAGGAGCTTAGCTTCGGGCCAGGGTAAAGTCTGCCGCCCATTGCATGCCTGGACATCAAGCAGCCAGGGGACTCGGGGCCCACGGAGAGGCCCCCCAGCACCTCTGCAGTCAGCTGCTCTCTGGGCTCTCAGGGTCCTGGAGGAGACAAGGCTAGGCAGTCTTCAGGGGGCGCCCAGCCCTGTCCTCATCAGCGAGGCAGAAAAGCAGAAAAGCAGCTCTGTCTCCTGAGTAGTCCAGGGCCGAGGCACGTGTCCAAGAGCTTGTCTAGGAGGTGGTTTCCAGCACTCGCCTCTCTTTACAAGGGAAGAAATGGTCAAAAAGAGGCTTGCCCAAGGCTACCCAAAGTAGCACAGGCAGCCTCGGGTGCACAGTAGAGCTGGAGAGGGCTCATTGGTGAGGACTCACTCAGGCTCTCCTGGCAGGAGGGCGGGGACTGGCTCCGTGGTCTGAAGGCAGGTCCAGCACCTGCGATGGGCCAGGTTAGGGGTGTGAGTGGCCAGAGCTAGATTTTTTTTGTTTCAAGTTCATCTTATTATTTATGCTGGAATGAGGCTTTGAACTAAGGGTCTTGTACATTCAGATTTTTTTGCTCATGGTGCTTCTACCACTTGAGCCATACCTCCAGTCTGGCATTTTTCTGGTTAATTGGAGGTGGAGTCTCATAGGCTTTTCTGCCATGGGCTGGCTTTGAACTGCACCTTCCTGAGTGGCTAGGATTAAGGAGTGAGCCACAGGCACCCAGCTGGGTTTTAAAAGTCCTGGTAATTAAACTCAGCGCCTTCTACTGTGTATCCTGTCATTTTACTTTGAGTTTGTTAAAGCTCCAGCTCCCAGAGTCTTTTCACTTTTTCGCCACCATGTGAGGCTGCAGTGTGAAGTCAGCATCTTTTTTTTTTTTTTGGTTGGTTGTGGGTCTTGAACTCTGGGCCTGGGCGTTGTCCCTCAGCTCTTCAGCTCAAGGCAAGCGCTCTACTGCTTGAGCCACAGCACACTTCCACCTTTTTTCTGCTTCTGTGGTACTGAGGAATCAAACCCAGGACCTCATGCATGCAAGGCAAGCACTCTACCACTGAGCCACCTTCCTAGCCCAAAGTCAGCAATCTTTAACGAGAAGGAGACCACAGCAGACATTGGATCTGCTAGTATATCAGTCTTGGACTTCTCAACTCTTCTAAACTGTGAGAAAGAAATGTGTGTAACTTATGTGGAATCTGGTGTAAAGTGATTGAGAGGTGTTTCTGGCATTCAGGTAGAGGCCAAAGATGCTGCTAAACACCTACAGTCCACAAGGCAACCCCTCCCCCACACATCAAAGAATTATTGGGGCTGGGAAGGTAGCTCAGTGGTAGAATGCTTGCTTCATGCATGTGAAACCCTGGGTTGATTCCTCAGTACCACATAAATAGAAAAAGCTGGAAGTGGCACTGTGGCTCAAGTGGTAGATTGCTCGCCTTGAGCAAAAGAAACTCAGGGACAGTACCCAGGCCCTGAGTTCAAGCCCCAGGACTGGCAAAAAACAACAAACCAACAAAAAATACATGCAGAGGCTGAGGCCCAGAGCTAGTCAATTCCCCATCCTGTCCTTTCCTGAGCACAAGAACTTGACCCGTGTCATATCTCCCGTGGAAATGTTCCACAGGAGCCGCTAAAATCAGACATCATGCTCATGTGAAAAGAGAACCAGCTGCAAGTCCATCCCCGTCCGCCCCTAACCAGGTGGACCATTGGGGAGGCTTTGGCTGCACTTCAAAGCAAATGGTGCCACCTAGTGGAACTGTGTCAGAACAACACCTGCAGGGACATTCTCACGAACTGGAGCTGCTTTTCCACTGTTGCAAGTCCGTGGGGACCAGGGAAGAGATGAGGAAAAACAGGCGGTTTATGGGTCTGGGAAGGTGGCTCAGTGGTAGAGCGCTTGCTTTGAGCTGAAGAGCCGAGGGACAGTGCCCAGGCCCAGAGTTCAGGCCCCACAACTGGACCCCCCCCAAAACAAACAAACAAACAAACAGGTGGTTTACTCAGGAAGCCAGACATCATTGCATTAACTTGGAGGTAGAGACAAATGCTGATGGAAAAAGGTTTTGAGAGGGGAAAATAAAGGTTTCAGGTGCACTGGAATTGGACATTGTTGGAGGGAAGCTGCTGGACATGGGTGTCTTATGCCGTTGGCTCCGTTCTTTGTGGTTGATTTTTTTTTTTTTTGTCGGTCGTGGGTCTTGAACTCGGGGCCTGGGCGCTGGGCGCTGTCCCTTGGATCTTCAGCTCAAGGCGAGTGCTCTACCACTTGAGCCACAGCACCACTTCCGGTTTTCTGGTGGTTTATTGGAGATAAGAGTCTCACGCACTTTCCTGCCCTGGCTTTGAACCGGGATCCTCAGATCTCAACCTCCTGAGTGGCTAGGATTACAGGCCTGAGCCACCGGCGCCCGGCTGTGGTTGATTTTGATTAGAGGAGGAGTGGAAATGAGGGCAGCGGGTAGCCATTGACCAAGTACTCAGAGCTCTGGGCTAATCGCTTCAGAGGTGGAAGGACAGAGTTCTTTTGTCAGCCCTGGTCAGGAGAGGCTCTCCTTGTTCTCTTAATTCATTTTAATACACACACTTTTCCTGCTCACAGACTCCCGGGAGCGTGACAAGCCAAACAAGTGCGGCTGTGAAGCGCTGCCCTCATACACTTTGAAATATATATGTTTTGACATATATCATAGTTGATATAACTGGGCTGTGGCTGTAGTTGCGTGGTACAGGGCTCTTCCAGCCTGCACAAAGTGCTGGGTTCAATCCTAGCCCCCCCCCCCCCCCCCCCACGTACACACACACCCGTACACACACACACCGCTCAAAGCCTCACACCATTCTTCCCGTTTTGGGGATTTCACTCTTCGCCCTCTCCCACAAGGCTTTTCTTTCCTCTCCAAGAAAATCTCCATCGTCGATGGTGTCCCCCTCAGGTCCCACTGCTTTCCCGGGGCTCTTGGCACCCTTTGAATCGCATCTGTGTCCCCCCGTCCAGCCCCGCTCGCCGACTAGCCTGTGGGTGCTCGCACTGACTTCCTAGCGCCCAGGAATTCACATTTGAGGATGGGCTAGAGGAAGACTGAGTGAGCGCAACGGACTGCTCATTGAATAAATTCGCCGCTCCCCGAAGTCTACCCACCGTCGCCAGATCGAGTCCACCCGAGACTCTTGACTGCCCAAGGATAAGCTGTCAGGACGGACGCGGAGAGCGGGGCGTGGAAGGCGCTTCTGCGTTTGCCACCAACCGTTCCAGGGGACCGGGGTGGGGGGGCCGGGCAGAGCGCCTCCGGCAGGTGCCCGCGCCGCGTCCCCTTTAAGGGGCGTGGCCGGCGGGGGGCGGTCCCGGGCGCTCCCGGAAGACGCGGGCCGCGCGGGCCTCCGCGGTGGGACTCCCGCCCTCGGCGCCCCGGGCTCGGCGCCCGCGCCGCTCCAACCGCCCGCCCGCCCGCCCGGGTGCCGGCCCGCCCGCGCCAGCCCTCGCTCTTCGCGCCGGTTTTGCCTCGTTTGCTCCCGGGCTCGGCGCCCCCGGCCGCCCGCCCCGCACCCCGGCGGGCTCCGCGCGCGGCCCGGCGTCCGCCCCGGCCCCGCGTCAGGCTCGGCCGGCCGCGGTTCCCGGGGGTCCTCGGGCCTCGGGGCGGCGGGGCCGGGCCGATGCGCAGCGGCCCCGGCGGCCGAGGCGCGGCGCGGGGGGCGGGGTGCGGGCCTCGCCGCGGGGCCGCCTCGGCGCCCGGCCCGCAGCGCGGGTCCCGATGGGCGCCCCGTAGGCCGGGGGCGCGCCGCGCGGGGCCGGGCCGCGGGGACGATGGGGACCCCCTGGCGCTTCCCGGTCCGCGTCTGCTGGTCCCGTGTGCGGAGCCTCGGGCGCCCGCCGCAGCTGCGCCGCCTCAGGCCGCTGGGGTGCGACCGCGGGGCCAGGGTCTGCTGGCTTCTGCTCGGTAGTTTGCCCAGGCTCCTGTCCGCCTCCGGGGACGTGGCCGAGGGGGTCCCCGACGGCGTGGGCCCGCCGAAGGCCCGCCGGGGCGACGTGGCCGAGAGGCGGCGCGGGGCGCGGGGCCCCGGGGCGGGGCCGCTGGGCCGCGCGCTGCTGCCGCTGCGCCTGTGCGTGCGAGCCGGCCTCCTGCTGGCCAAGTTCCTCCCGCTGCTGCTGCTCTACCCGCTCACCTACCTGGCTCCCGGCCTGGCCGCGCTCTGGTTCCAGCTGCTCCTGAAAGCCACCGAGACCTCGGGCCCCACGTACATCAAGCTGGGCCAGTGGGCCAGCACCCGGCGCGACCTCTTCTCCGAGGACTTCTGCGCCCGGTTCTCCAAGCTGCACGTGCAGGTGACGCCCCACCCCTGGGCGCACACGGAGCGCTCCCTGCTCGAGGCCTTTGGGAAAGACTGGAGCCACGTCCTCTGTTTCGAGACCCAGAAACCTGTGGGCTCCGGCTGTGTGGCCCAGGTGTACAAGGCGTTCGCCAGCCCGGCCCTGCTGGGAAAGGCCGGCGGCCCGCGACCCCGCGACGCCGCCGCCGCACCCGGGCTGCTCACCAGGTGCCGGGAGGCCTTTGGGCAGCTTGGGCATGAGTGGAAGCCTCCGGGAAATCTTGCGGACCAGTCGTTTCTCGAAAAGCTGCTGCTTCCTGAAGCTGCCGGGGTTGGATCCCACGTAGCAGGGTCACAGGTGCGCGGCGGCCCGCCCCAGCCCGGCCAGCTCATCCCCGTGGCCGTGAAAGTAAGTGTGCTACTGGCGTCAGCCGGGCCTCTCCTCAGCTCACATCCCCCCACCGAGCTGGGGGCGCAGGACACCCCCACATCGCCTGACAGCCCACTCCCATGATTCCTTTTCTGACACGCTTGGAACTAGAAATGTGTTCGATATCAAGTGTTTATAGATTTTGGAATAGTTGCATATACACAGTGAGGTATATTGGGCCCAAGACCTAATACTGATCGTGAAATTAATTTCTGCTTTACATCCTTCTGTGTGTGTGTGTGTGTGTGTGTGTGTGTGTGTGTGTGTGTGTGTTGTTCGTGGGGCTAGAACTCAGGGCCAAAGTGCTGTTCCTGAGCTCTTTTGCTCAAGGCTAGTGCTCTACCACTTTGAGCCATGGCTCCACTTCTAGTTTTCTGGTGGTTATTTGGAGTTAAGAGTCTTACCCACTTACCTCTCCCGGCTGGCATTGAACCACAATCTTCAACTCTCAGCCTCCCAAGTTGTTAGGATTACAGGTGTGAGCCACCGATGTCTCACTCATATGCTTCTTTAATAGAGTCTAAAGGTAATTTTTACGACCATTTTAGTGAACTTTCAGTTTGACTTCACATCGTTGAATAGTATTTCGTTTGTAGTGTGAAGTCAGTCCTTAAACACTTTCAGAACTGCCTGGTGCCAGACGCCTGTAATCCTAGCTATTCAGGAGGTTGAGATCTGAGGATCGTGGTTCAAAGCCAGCTTGTGCATGAAAGTCCGTGAGACTGTTATCTCCAATTAACCACCAGAAAACAGGAAGTGGCGCTGTGGCTCAAGTGGTAGAGTGCTCCTCTTGCGCTAAAGAGCTGAGGGACAGCGCCCAGGCCCAGAGTTCAAACTCCACAACTGACAAAAACAAAAAAACAAACCAACTCTCAGAACTTAGAACATGTGGGTTTCAGAGTTTCTGTTAGTGTAATATTTGAGTGCCTGTTGCCTGCAGGCAGGTGGGAGATACTATACACTGCCCGGAGCTTGAATTTAGGGCATCCAGCTGTCACTTGGTTTTGTTTCATTCATGGCTTTTTTTTTATCCCCCCTGGTGAATTGGGAATAGAATTTCTCCAATTAAAGAGACTCTCTTGGATTTGTCTGCCTGGGCTGGCTTTGACCCTGGCTCCTCAGATCACAGCTTCCTGTGCAGCTGGGATTATAGCTCTGAGCCTCTGATGCCCAGCTGTTTTATTTTCCAACTTTCGGAGAGGCCGTGTGAGTGGCCTGCTGCAGGGTTTGGAGTCTGCTGTCTCTGGGCTGGAGGACCACCACCAGGAACTTCCTGGGTACCGGGTGCTTCCCTTTGTTCTCAGAAGTTTACGTGGCTCCTTTGAAGGCCCCACACAGCACTAGGTAGGGCGATTGTGTCATCCATATTCCTCCTTGTGCCTCATAATTCCTCTTTGTGGTAGGTGCTGCACCCCGGCCTGCTCTCTCAGGTGCAGATGGACTTGCTGCTGATGAAGATTGGCAGCCGAGTCCTTGGGCTTTTGCCAGGCATCAAATGGCTTAGCTTGCCTGAAGTTGTGGACGAGTTCGAGAAGCTCATGGTCCAACAGGTGACTTCTTCCTTCAGCTACAAATAGCACCTAGTGTCCTTCTTGCTATTGACAGTGCTAGTAACTGAGGAATGGAGAGTACGATGCATTAGTTAGGATGGGTAATGCTAGCTGGTAAAACAAATAATGTCTAAGTCTCAGCAGGCTGTTCCTTACTGACATTGAGGATACCTTGAGGGAGGAGGAAAGGCTCTGTTCCACAGTGATTTAGGGACCCAGTTTTCTTCCAGGTGTGGAACTGCCATCTTCAACAGTATGTCAGTGTGGAGAGACCATGAAGGATCATGTAAGAAATCTTTTTGTGTTTTGGTACCAGTGCTGGAGCTTGAACTCAGGACTTGGGTGCTGTCCCTTAGATTTTTTTTGCTCAAGGATGGCTTGAACACAAAAGGATGGCTTAACCAGCTTTTTTTTTTTTTGTCATGGGGCCTGAACTCTGGGCCTGGGCACTGTCCCTCAGCTCTTCAGCTCAAGGCTAGCGCTCTACTACTTGATCCACAGCACCACTTCCGGCTTTTTTCTGCTATGTGGTGCTGAGGAATCGAACCCAGGGCCTCATGCATGCAAGGAGAACACTCTACCACTGAGCCACCTTCCCAGCCCTTAACCAGCTCTTTGCTGGTTAATTTGGAGCTAAGAATCTCATGGACTTTCCTGCTGGCTTCAAATCTTGATCCTCAGATCTCAGCCTCCCAAGTAGCTAGGATTACAGGCATGTGACATTGGTGCCTGGCTCAAGTAGAGACTTGAAGTGGGGTCATCTCTTCTTCCCAGTCTTCTGACCAGGGTTTTCATACTGTGAGCTGAGTGGACTGTGAGGGCATTTAGGAACACCTTCTTCCTTTGTGCTTGGGAGAAAATGAATGGGATGGGGCATCAGTTTTCATTCTGACATGTCACCCACTGACCACCGGGGGAAGGAGCAATTAGCCTCGTCATACAATTAATTTTGTTTTGCTTTGTTTCCATAGTGATTGATAAGGGGCTCTTCCCTGTTTGGGATGTTTGGGGCATTGGTCTATGTAGCCAGACCTGTGTGTAAAAACATACCTTGGGGGTGAACAGGCTCCTGTGGGCATGTGTACTACCTCCTTACCAGAGAGTGCAGCAGTGGGCAGGTTTGCAGAAGCTGTGTGCCAGCTCCTCTCTCTATCCGCTGATTGAAGGTGTTAAGTCTCCAGGATTTGTGTTTGTGTTTCGAAAGTGCTTTAGTCTGTGCAGGCTGCTTGTAACAAAATATTATAGACCAGGGAGCTTAGAAGCTACAGTAATTTATTGTTTACAGCCCTGGAGACTTAAGTCCAAGAGCAAGGCGCTGGCAGATTTAGGGACTTAAGTCTCCAGGGCTGTAAAGGATAAATTACTGTAGCTTCTAAGCTCCAGAACCTTCACACTGTCTGCGCCTGGTGGAAAGAACGAGGGTCTCTCAGGCTTTTTTTTTTTTTTTTAATTTGGGTTGGTCGTGGGTCTTGAACTCAGGGCCTGGGCTCTGTTCCTGAGCTCTTTCACTCAAGACTAGCACTCTACCATTTTGAGCCATGGCACCACTTCTGATTATATAAGAGTCTTCTTTTTGGATAAGAGTCTCATGCACTTTCCTGCCCCAGCTAGCTCTGAACCTTGATCCTCAGATCTTGGCCTCCTCAGCTAGGATTATAGGGTGAGCCACCGGCATCTAGCTCTATTTGTCTTTTTTTTTTTTCTTTCTTTTTTTTCTTCAAGCCCCAGTCCTGGGGCTTGAACTCAGGGCCTGAGCACTGTCCCTGAGCTGCTGCTTCTCAAGGCTAGCACTCTTATCACTTGAGCTACGAGTCACTTCCAGCCTTTTCTGTGGATGTGGTATTGAGGCATAGAACCCAGGGCTTCATGCGTGCTCGGCAAGACACTCCCAACCCCTCTATTTGTCATTTTTTGTTGTTGTTGGTCGTGGGGCCTGAACTCTGGGCCTGAGCACCCTCCCTCAGCTTTTCAGCTCAAGGCTAGTGCTCTACCACTTGAGCCACAGCACCACTTCTGGCTTTTTCTGCTTATGTGGTGCTGAGGAATCGAACCCAGGGCCTCATGCATACAAGGCAAGCACTCTACCATTGAGCCACATTCCCAGCCCCTCCATTTGTCTTTAAAAAAAAAAACAAAAACACTTATTTGGAGCCGGGCACCAGTAGCTAGCACCTATAATCCTAGTTACTCAGGAGGCTGAGATCTGAGGATCATGGTTCAAGGCCAGCCCAGGCAGGAAAGTCTGTGACACTCTTATCTCCAATAAACCATCAGAAAACGAGAAGTGGCGCTATGGCTCAAGGGGTAGAGCACTTGCCTTGAGCTGAGGAGCTGAGGGACAGCGCCTAGGCCGAGTTCAAGTCCTATGCCAACAAAAACAACACAACAACAACAAAAGCTCTTTTGGAAGCTGGGTGTGGTGGTACACACCTGTAATCCCAGCACTCAGGGAGCTGACGCAGGAGGATCTTGACTTGGAGGCCAGCTTGGGCTGTCTAATAAGACCCTGTCTCAAAAACAAACAAAACCTCACCAAAAAAACCTTGCTTTTTTTTTTTTTTTTTTTGTTGGTTGTGGGGCTTGAACTCTGGGCCTGGGTGCTGTCCCTCAGCTCTTCAGCACAAGGCTAGCGCTCTACCCCTTGTGCCACAGTGCTACCTCTGGTTTTCTGGTGGTTTATTGGAGATAAGAGTCTCAGACTTTCCTGTCTGAGCTGGCTTTGAACCGCGATCCTCAGATCTCAGCCTCTTGAGTAGCTAGGATTATAGGCATGAGCCACCAGAGCCCAGCTTTATTGTTATTATAAAGGTGATGTACAGAGGGATTTTATCATTCTAGAAATGTCAACAGCATTGTGCAGGTGGGCATAGAAGCTGATAGAGGGAGAAAGCTGGGGGACAGGTATTAAGACAGACAGGGCTGAGCCTTCAGTCAGCAATGTGGAGCTGGGCATTCCGGTGCAGCAGACGTGGGAGGCTGGGGCAGAGTCAGCCCTGTGTCAGCGTATCGATGGCAGGGAGCTGCAGGCTGGGACAGCCAGGGCATGGTGCTACCCCTTGGGGAAGTGACATCAACTCTCTGGGAGGTGGGGCATGGTTGGCTGGAGCTGGGGGGGGTGGGGTGGGGGAGCTGTTCACAGAGTAGAGGAGTTCTTGTGTAGATCTTGGATCTTGAGCCAGACTGTCCTCACTTACTTTCCCGGGAGTCCTGGGAATTGGAGGAGGAGGGGGAGGGAAGCCAGGGTGAAGCAGGTGGCTTGCTAGCTGTCTGGCAGGTCAGAGGTCAGAGGTCAGGGGTGGCTCCTGAGTGCAGCTTGAACCTCTTCATCTCCCTAGGTTGACCTGCGTTACGAAGCTCAGAATTTAGAACATTTCCAATGCAACTTCAAGAATGTGACGTCTGTGAGATTCCCTACTCCTCTGCGTCCCTTTGTTGCCAGAGATGTCCTGGTAGAAACATATGAAGTAAGAGTCTCATCATGGGCTGGGAACGTGACTTAGTGGTGGTGCCTGGTATTCATGAAGCCCTGGGTTTGACTCCTCAGTACCACATACACAGAAAAAGCCAGAAGTAGTGCTGTGGCAAAGCTCAGGACAGTGCCCAGGCCCTGAGTTCAAGCCCTAGCTCTGGTAAAATAAATAAATATAGCACAATGTGGTTTTTAAAAATTCTCATCATGCCTTCACTCTTTTTTTTTTTTTTTGTTAGTGGGGCTTTGAACTCTGGGCCTGGGCACTGTCCCTGAGCTCTTCAGCTCAAGGCAAGTGCTCTACTATAGTGGAGCCACAGCGCCACTTCTGGTTTTCTGGTGAATAATTGAAGGTAAGAGTCTCACGGATTTTCCTGCCTGGGCTGGCTTTGAACTGTGATCCTCAGTTCTCAGCCTCCTGAGTACCTAGGTTTATAGGCGTGAGCCACAGCTCTATTTCTTGCACAGACTGGGATGATTTCAAACTGTGATCCTTAGATTTCAACCTCTTGAGGCACTAGGATTACAGGCGTGAGCCACAGCACCTGGCCTTAGGTTTACTCTTAATCAACTTGTCCTTGGAGAAAGGACATTGGAGGGACTGGAAGTAGGTGACAGATTCATTCAGATTTAGGAAAGAACAGGCTTCCTGCCCAGAGGCAGGGAGGAAGCTCTGATGGGTCCCATGGGGTGGCCGGCAGGGTAACGCTGCTGTTCTCTCCTGGGCTTTCTCCAAGGAGAGCGTGCCTGTGTCCAGCTACCAGCAGGCAGGGATTCCCGAGGACCTGAAGAGGAAGATTGCATGGCTGGGGATCAACATGCTCCTGAAGATGGTGAGCTGGTGGGCCGCTTGGGTGCTCAGGCCCAGCTCGAGCGATGAGGTGCTTGAGTTCTGCTTAGCTTGGTGGTGGGGCGGGAGGGGGAGCCAGAGTCACACGCTGGGAACATTTGCTTACGGGTAGCCTAGCCCCCCAATGCTTATGTGTCCCCAGTTCCTCCTGAGCCCTTTCTCAGTGGCACTTGCTGTGAGCTGTGGGAAGGGTTGTGAGCAAGATCTGTCCCTACCCAAGCTGCCCACAGCCCCAAATGGCTGAGGCAGTGTTGTATGATAACCACTACTTCATTCATTCATTCACTCCTGTAGTAGTTGCTGAGCACCTTCTTCAGGCTAGGCACGGAGTCAAGTGTTAGGCTTACAGCAGTGAGCCACACAGATGTGACTACCATGTTCATGGAACTACTGTTCAAAGGGAAAACTGGCAAAGACAGAGAGGATCAGTACAGGGTGCCCAGGTAGGAGGGGCCTTTCCCAACCCAGTGCTTCATCCCAGAAGTGAGGAGTCACCTGCATGAGGAAAGAGAATGGCCTGTGCAAAGGCCCAGGGGTGAGCAACAGTAAGGAGCGATGGAGATGATGTGAGAGCTTTCTTCAGAGTGGGGTCTGAAGAAAGGAGTGTTTTGGGGCCAGGCCTTGGGGGTGGAGGGGTAGGGGAGGATGGGAGGAACAAGCAGTGAGGCCTGGCCTCCGTGAGGAGGCCGCTCTTTTTCATGCAACCAGGCTCTCAGCAGTGCTCGTGTCCACTTGGGGTTCGCCTGGCCATATCTGGGGATCTGCTTGACTGTTAGAGTGGGGGTGGGGAGGGGGCGGTAGGAGGGGCACAATCCTGGCACCTGGTGCGCAGAGGCCAGAGAGACTATAAACAACCGAGAGCCTAGGGATATGCTTCCATTCCCCGCCATGATGAGCTGAGGTGTCCTGGGCTAGAGGTGCTCTGTTTCCTGGTGGGTGAAGGGGTGGTAAGGCGGATCACCAATGGGTGGGATGCAGAGGATCTTGGGAGAACTACTCAGGAACTGTGGGAGGACGCCAGGCAGTGTCTGAACCACACCAACACTGGAGGCAGCTCGTACACCTCTGCCACCTACTATCTGGAGAAAGTGGAGAGCAAGTCTTCTTAAAGAAACGCAGCCGGGCGCCAGTGACTCACACCTGTAATCCTAGCTACTCAGAAGGCAGAGATTTGAGGATCAGAGTTCAAAGCCAGCCCAAGAAGAAAAGGCTGTGAGGTACTTAACTCCAATTAACCCACAAAAATCCAGAGGTAGAGTTGTGGCTCAAGTGGTAGAGCATCAACCTTGAGTGAAAAAACCAAGAGAAAGTGAAAGACCCTGTTCAAGCCTTAGTATCACACAAAAGTAAAGAAATGCAAGATGCTGGTACCTCACATCTGTAATCCTTGCTACTCAGGAGGTTGAGATCTGGAGGACTGAGATTGAAGTTAGCCCAGGCAGAAAAGTCCATGAAACTCCAACTCAACCAGCAAACTGCTGGGTTGGAGGAGGCATGGCTCAAGTGGTAGAGTGCCAACTGTAAGCAAGCAACCCCAGCAAGTGTAAGCCCCGGTACCAGCACATAACACACACACGCATGCACGCACACGTGCACGCACACACACACACACACACACACACACACACACACACACAAAAGTTAGAGCCGGATGCTAGTGGCTCTTGCCTATAATTGTAACTACTCAGGAGACTGAAATCTGAGAATCATGGTTCAAAGCCAGCCTGGGCAAGAAAGTCTATGAGACTCATCCCCCAAAACTACTCAGAAAACTCCAGAAGTGGTACTATGGCTCAAGTGGTAGAGCGCTAGCTTTGAGCACAAAGAGGCTCCAGCCACAGTGCTCAGGCCCTGAGTTCAAGGACTGGCCAAAAAAAAAGTTAGAAAAAAATAAAAGAAGCTTTTTTTCTTTTCTTTTTTAAATTTTATTTTATTTTATTTGAGAACATACTGTACAGAGGGGTTACAATTACATGGGCAGGATAATGCGTACATTTCTTACCAAGCATTGCAGCCTCCTCCTTTATTTACCCTTCACCTCCCTTCCCAGCCTCCCCCCTCCCCCCCACCCAATCATACCCCCCCCCCCCACCCAATCATACCCCTCCCCCCCACCGACATTGTAAAGCTGGTTTTGACATGACATTTTGTACTTCTCATTGTTGCAACAGGTCCACCTGAATCCTTAAACGACTTGTTTGTCCCCATCTCCTCCACATGTTATACTGACATCAAATATAGTGAAAGCGGGGGTTACACTGTGGGGGAGGGACATACAAAGCAACAAAGAAATAATCTTATAAATGCGTTAGAAACACATGCATGAAAGAAACGAAAACATTAAAATACATATTTAAGGGATCGTTTTCCTAACATCACATTATCTGACCTTTTCCGCTTGACTCATACCTATACTAGATATTGCAAATAAGGGAAACCATGGGACCTAGAAGCTTTTTTTCTTAAGCTTTGATTTACAGTAGTCCCTGCACAAATTCTGAACTGAGGACTTTGAAGCAGCCAGGCTGTGTGAAATGTGTATGTCTTCGCCATTGTCGCCTCATTGTCTGCCTGGTACCGAGGTGGTGAGGGGTGACGGTCCTGCGTGATGCCATCTCTTTGTAGATCTTTGTGGATAACTTTGTGCACGGGGACCTTCACCCGGGGAACATCCTGGTCCAGGGTGCTGATGGACTGTCCCCAAGCCAGGAGGAGCAGCTGCAGCAGGTGGAAGTTGGTGACACGCTGACAGTGGCCATGGTGCCCGGCCTACGCCCCCTGCGACTGGTGCTGCTGGACGCTGGCATTGTGTCTGAGCTGCAGGCCTCTGACCTGAGCAATTTCCGGGCAGTTTTTCTGGCCGTGGTGATGGGGCAGGTGAGACTTGCTGTTAGACATGAGACTCCTCAGCCTTGTAAAGGCCCTCATTTGCCAGGCTGCTGCTGCTGGCCATGAGCAGAGGCCAGGCCTGATAAACGGAGCAGTTCATGTTGGTGACCGTGTTGTATGCCTGTGGTTTCTCTTTCTACCAGTGCAATGTGCAAGCAGGCAGGGGCGCGCTGGCTGCTGCTGCTATGTCTTCTCCTCTGTATCTTCCTCCTCCTTTTTATGTTAGTACTGGGTGTGAACTTAGGGCCTTATAATCTCACCTTAGCTTTTTCACTCAAGGCTGGTTTTCTTCTCCACTACTTGAGCCACACCTCCACTTCTGGCTTTTTGCTGGTTAACTGGAGATGAGAATCTTATGGAGTTATCTGCCTGGCCTGGCTTTGACCCATGATCTTCAGATCTCAGCCTCCTGAGTAGCTAGGATCACAGGTGTGAGCCACTGGCACCTAGCAGGCACCATCTTTTTGACCAAACAATGGCTGTTTCCCATTTGTGTGCTTTGCTGCAAGGCTGGAGAGAAGCAGCAGTATGGAGTGTGTATGGAGCAGTATGGAGATTGTATCTTCCACGTGGGCAAGATGTATTGGAATCTGGAGTGGATGTCCTTTTTTTTGGGGGGGGGGGAGCTCTGGGGATTGGAAGCTGTTATTAGAGAGAAAGTACTCAGCAGAGCCTCTACATCAAGGATTCCTGGGAAGAAATCCTCTAGCTACCTGGAGGAGAATTCATCATTGAGAAAGATCCTACTTGAGAAGCTTCTGAGGCCAGCCAATGCTGGAGCCGTAGGCCAGTTTGCAAGTGTCTCCTGGTTAAACCTCTGGGTGCAGTGGTGGGGCTGGGGTGTTCCTCTGTGCAGGTTTGAATAGAAGATCAAGACCACAGTACCGGGAGGAATAGCTGTGTTCCTGGGGCCATGCAGTGAGAGGTGACAGGCATTGGAGGTGATGACTGAAGGCACACTTCAGTTTCAAGGGAGTCCTGGGAAAGTCAGGAGAGGACAGGCTGGAGCACAGGGGCTGGGGAAAGCTGGGAGCAGGTAATTCTGCATAGGAAGAGAGCCCCAAGGAAGCCTGCCTCTCTCCCACCCTGCCCCGCTGGCAGGTCCTGGTTCTGCCTGGCCAGGCGATCACAAGGCTGCATGGAGCATGAGCTGCAGGACCACAGCTCTGCCCTCTGTGCACCCTGTGTGGTTCAGGAAGGCAAAGCAGACCTAGACTGCCAATCACAGAGAGACTTGGGGAAGACTGGCTAGTTACCAGGCCTAGTGGAGGGTAGAAGTTGAAAAGGAGGGAAAAAAGGCCAGGATGGGAGCCAAAACAGGACAAAAGCAGTGAAGAGGGGAGGGACGTTCTGCAGAGCCTGTAGTTTGTGCTCATTTGGCTCTTCCGTGACACTTCCCTTTGTATCTTCCAGGGCCAAAAAGTGGCTGAGCTCTTCCTGCGTCATTCCCGGGCCAACGAGTGCAAGGACGTGGAGAGGTTCAAGGCTGAGATGGCCACGCTGGTGACCCAGGCCAGGAAGAACATCATTGCCTTGGAACAGGTGGGCAGATGTCCCCGAGGCTCACAGCCTCTGTCTTTGGTCTGAGGGAAGCCTCGAGCTGGGAGAATGGGGGAGTAGAGAGGGCTTCAAGGCAGGTCTTCTGGAGGCATGAAGAGGGCCTTTAAAACCAAGGCTCTTCAGAGTGGCTGGTTGGCTAGGTTCTTCTGGGATAGCTTGGGGACCCCCTTTATTTTTGGGTGCTAGGGCTTGAACTCAGCTGTGCATTTTTGCTTTGCTTTTTCACTCAAGGCTGGTGCTCTACCATTTGAACCATACCTTCACTTTTTGCTGGTTAACTGTAGCTAGTCTTCTTGGCTGGCTTTGTACTGCAGTCCTCAGATCTCAGCCTCTTGAATACACATACTGGTGCCTGGCCGGGGTCACCTCTCTTACCTCGGGTGCAGCTAATGTGGAGATAGCTAAACATGAAGGGAAGGAGAAGCCCAAGGACATGCCTTAAGCCCATGTCCCTAGTTTAGGCCTGATCTAGAGTCTATGTCGTATTTTATACATAGTTGTAATCACTTGCCTGTCTCCTTGTTAGCACAAGGTTGCACTTCAAGGAGCCACTGCGCTGCTGACCTGGTCTGCTCACATAGGATTTTTGTATGGGGAGGATGTAGTAGGTAAACAGGATGGGCCATTTGAGATTTGTTCTGAAGACATCCGTAACCTGAATCTTCCCTGAAAGTTGAACCTGTGCGGGCTCCTTCCTGGAGTTTCTCCATAACTCCTTACACACACATGTGTCTGGTGTGTGTGTGTGTGTGTGTGTGTGTGTGTGTGTGTGTGTGTGTGTGTGTGTGTGTGTGTGTGTGTATGAGAATAGGAGAGTGTAGCTGGGGGAAGCAGTCTCAGAAGGGAAATAGTCTGGACTTCTCCACCCCTAGTAGGCTCTCTTTTGTTTTTCAGCTACAAGTTTCCAAACTTCTCTCCAATGTCTTTAAGCTACTGATGATTCACAAGGTGAGACCACCTTCCCTCCTTCATTCTGAGCACAGTCTCCTGGAAGCCTGTGGAGGAAGCTGGATGGGGATAGGGTGGTGTGTGGTACTTGGGTTATGTTCATTTATGAAGAGCTGCTGTTTTTCATTTCCAGGTAAAGCTTGAGAGTAATTTTGCTTCAATTGTGTTGGCCATTATGGTGCTGGAGGGGCTCGGCCGCTCACTGGACCCCCAGCTGGACATCCTGGAGGCAGCGAAGCCTTTTCTTCTCAAAGGATCAGTATCTATCTTCTGACCTGGGCAGTGGGCAGGACATGGAGGCTGCTGCCAAAGGCCTGGCCTGTGGTAGCTGGTGGTCTAGAACCTGAACTGTTTTCTGGGTCTGTGAAAAGCTTTGGGTTAAGTGGGAATAATGGGAAGAAGGCTCTGTCTATGCATTTGGGGAGTGGGGCCTGGTGCTGGGGGCACCATTCCAGTGAAAATATCCTACCCAAGTGGATGAATAGAATGTTACTTGTTTGATTGCTTTTATCTTGTTTAAATTTTCCACACTCCTTGGTCAGATATAGCCTGCTTGGGTGGTTTGTGAATTCTCATATATAGAGTAGAAAATGCCATCAAATCCCAAAGTTCTACCTATGCTTTCCAATGTAAGTATAAATATGTATATTTATTAATATGTACTCTTATTGGCAAAACGTTGAGAGTACACACATTGTTCATTTATAAATTATACAGGTGCTGTACCACTAGCAAATCTTTCAAGCTGTAATACATGACTAGAGCAAATTCCACTGAGTTTCAAACTATTTTTTGCTAAACTTTTACACGAGAGTAAGGAACACTTTCCAAGCATTGATAAGGACCTGGGTCGCTAAAAAGCAAAACAAAAACCAAAGGAACGATGTGACTTGACCACTATTGGTCAAGTCACATCGTTCCTTTGGTTTTTGTTTTGTTTTGGTTTTTGTTTTGTTTTGTTTTGTTTTTGTTTTGGTTTTTGTTTGTCCAGAACCGCCCTGACCCTTTCTTTTGGGGTGCGTGTGCTGTGCCCGTGGTGGGGCTTGAACTCAGGGCCGTGAGCTCTGGCTCTGCCACTTGAGGGACGCCTTAGGCGGGCATTCTCACGGTTATCTGGAGGGGGCGTCTCCTGAGAAGCCGGGATCAGGCGTGAGCCCCGGGCGGGCGCCCGGCTGGGGAGCCTCGCCGAGGCAGGCCCTCGGCCCGGCCGGCCCGGGCGCCCTGAGTGCCGCTGGGGGCGGAGGACTGTGGTTAGACGTGGGGGTCCGCTCGGTGGGGAGCCGCAGGGGGGAGCGCGCAAGTTTCTCACCCCAAGCGGAATGAAGAAGAGGCGCTCCCACACCTAGCTCGTCCCGAGGCCGCCGGCGCCCTGGCGGGGCGGGCGGGCCCCTCCCCAGCCAAGCGACCCGGGAAGGCGGAGAAGGGAGGTTCCCACGCACCACCTGCAGGCCGTCCTGGGGAGGTGGGTGGCGTGGTGACGTCACAACGTCGTGACGTCCAGGGACGGCGCGCAGGGAGGTGACGCAAAGGGGCGGGGCCTCGCGTCCGGAGGACGGAGGACGGTGGTGCGGACGCAGCATGTCGGCTGTGACCCGGTTGGCGCCTCTGGCTCGCGTCGGAGGCCGCCTCTTCCGAGGTAGAGGCGCGCTGGCGGCTGCAGGCGGTGGAGTCCGTCAGTGAGTGTCGGGATGCAGGGAGGGCTGCGCGGGCTCTGAGGCAGAGCGCTGCGTCCCGAGGCCCTCACCTTGAGGCGGACAGGGCGGGGCCGCTGCTGGCGAGTGCTTCTCCTGAGGCATGCTGGGAATTGTAGTTTACCTGGGCAATTTAGGGTCATCCGAGATAGGGTAGAGGGGCAGATTAGGGGTGTCTTGGGACAGTAGGGACATTTTCTTCAAAGTCAAGAGCAAGGGCTGGGCTTAGTGGTAGAGCGCTTGCCTAGCATGCACGAAGCCCTGGGCTCGATTCCTCAGCACCACATACACAGAAATAAGCCGGAAGTGGCACTGTGGCTGCCCTTGATTCTCACCCCCTCATCCCCCCCCCCATCCCCCCCCCCCCGGGGGCGTGAACTCTTGGCCTGGATGCTGTCCCTGAGCTGCCTCTGCTCAAAGCTAGTTCTCTCTTTTTTTAATTTTTTTTTTTGTCGGTTGTGGGGCCTGAACTCTGGGCCTGGGCGCTGTCCCTCAGCTCTTCAGCTCAAGGCTAGCGCTCTACCACTTGAGCCACAGCACCACTTCCGGCTGTTTTCTTTTTGCTTATGTGGTGCTGAGAAATCGAACCCAGGGCCTCGAGCATTCAAGGCAAGCGCTCTACCACTGAGCCACCTTCCCAGCCCCTCAAAGCTAGTTCTCTACCACTTCAGCCACAGTGCCACTTCAGGGCTTTTAGGTTATTGGAGAGGAGAGTCTCCACAGACTTTCTTGCCTGGGCTGGCTTCAAGCCGTGATTCTCAGATCTCAGCCTCCTGAGTAGCTAGGATAATAAGAGTGAGTCATCAGTGTTGGGCTTCCAGTTCCCTTCTCTGCTTCTTGGTAGTTTCTCATTCACCCTTTCATGGTGGGACTCATAGACTTTTGTTGAGTAAGCACCAGTGCCTCCTGTTCCACACCGTATGTAGCTGTCCGAATGCCAGCTTCAGCGCTTGCTTAGTTCCCAGCCTTTGTTTTTACTTGGATTTTGCCCTTGGCAGATTCCTGTCTAGTAGTGGCTTAAGTGGCAGATCACTAGCTTTGAGCCAATAAAGTTCAGGGACAGTGCCCAGTCCCTGAGTTCAAGCCCCGGGACCCGCCAAAAAAAAAATTCCACCTTACAGTGACTTCTATTTTAGTCAAGGTTAAAACAATGTCACTCTAGCAATAATAAAATGTGGACTGTAGTCAGGATGAGTTTGAACTCTACTCCTAGCACTAAACAAAACTTAACGCGGGCTGGGAAGGTGGCTCAGCGGTAGAGTGCTTGCCTTGCATGCTCAAGGCCCTGGGTTCGATTCCTCAGCACCACATAAGCAAAAAGAAAAAAGCCGGAAGGCGCTGTGGCTCAAGTGGTAGAGCGCTAGCCTTGAGCTGAAGAGCTGAGGGACAGGGCCCAGGCCCAGAGTTCAGGCCCCACGACCGGACCCCAAAAAAAAAAAAACACAAAAAAAACAAACTTAACGCACCTGTATACATAGGTTGTAGCTAACACCTATCAAAGAGGAAGTCTGTTGTTACAATATATTGAATTATCCCATGGTTTGTTTAAATACTGCAGTATATGCAGAGGTAGGTCCTCAGAAAACACTTAGTCAGTTTACGAAGGCATTACAGAAGCAGTTGGCTATATTCTTCAGTGGACAATTCCCCCTGCCCCCCTTTTATTTTTTTAGTGCCAGTACCAGGACTGGATTTGTCTGCACTGGTTTTGTACCTTGATCCTCAGATCTAAGTTTCCCATAGTAGCTGGGATTGTTGGCGTGCATTCAATGCATTCAGTTTTCTATCTTTTCTAATTGTGTCTCTCACTGAAATTTCAATTTCAATTTTTTTTTTTGGTCATGGGGTCCGAACTTGGCCTGGGCACTGTCCCTGAGGTCTTCAGCTCAAGGCGAGTGCTCTACCACTTGAGCCACCGTCCCAGCCCCTGAAATTTTAGTTTATACTTTTGTTTTTTGAAATAAGTTCTCATTCTTAGTCCAAGATGGTCTCAAACTAGTGGTCCTGCTGCCTTAGACTCTCTAGTGTTGGGAGGCCAGGGTTTGCTGCGCCACGTTTACAGCAAACTGAATGGAAAATTAGTATGTCAAGGGATTGTGAGCCTTGTTCAATCTTAATATTTTGGTGGAGAATATGAGAAGTGTTAGCTTTAGTCTCAAGGATGCAGTGCTAAGGTTTTGGATGACTCACTCCTTTGAAATGCAAGCCAGTTCTCATGTTTTATTTCCTAGTGCTGGTGGCGGTGTCCATATACACCCCCGATACAGACAGTTTCCCCAGCTGACCAGGTCCCAGGTGCTGCAGGGTGAGTTCTTCAGCGCACTCATGTGGTTTTGGATTCTCTGGCGCTTTTGGCATGACTCGGACGCTGTGCTGGTAAGTCCAGGAGAAGGGTTCTGGTTCTTTTATGCTTAGAGAGAAGGAGGATGTATTAATAGCCTAGCTTGTTTATTCTTGTGTTTATAGACCATGTTCCTGCCTGGGTGTATCTCTTCACTACAATATTGTCATGTATTTGTGCAGGAATCCCATTACTTAATGGAACATGTGGTCCTTGGACCTGTTTTACATTTAGCAGTCCATTTTTTTTTTTTGACTATAGGGCTTGAAATTGGCCTGGGCACTGTCCTTCACCTCTTCAGCTTAAGGTGAGGACTCTACCACTTGAGCCATGGCACCATTTCTGGTTTTCTGGTGAATAATTGGAGCTAAGAGTCTCACGGGCTTTTCTGCCTGTGCTGGCTTTGAACTGTGATCCTCAGATCTCAGCCTCTTGAGTAGCTAGGATTACAGGCATGAGCCACTGATGCCCAGCTATTAGTCCATATATTATGGTTTTCCCTTCCATATGTGGGAGATTAGAAACTGGTATTTTTCCTTCCGAACTGCAGATTAACTGATAGGCTGAATTTCATACTTTCAGATGTTCAGTGTGAGTTTGTCTCCAGGAGGGGAGTTAGTGATTTTTCTATCTTTAATCTCACCTAAGCTTTTATCCAGTTTGTGCAGACTGTTCCCTTTTAGGAGAGGAAAAGAAGTCTTCAATTTAGTGTACAAGTTTTAGAAGCATCAGATTTTTTCTTTTAATTGGTCATGGAGCTTGAACTCAGGGCCTGGGTGCTGTCTCTGTTTTTCTTTTTTTTTGGTCGGTCGTGGGGCTTGAACTCTGGGCCTGGGCACTGTCCCTCAGCTCTTCAGCTCAAGGCGAGCGCTCTACCACTTGAGCTACAGCGCCACTCTGTCTCTGTTTTTCATAAGGCTTGTGCTCTACTAATTTGAGCCACAGCACCACTTCTGGTTTTCTGGTGGTTAATTGGAGAAAAGAGTTTCAGAGAGTTTTCTGCTGACTTCAAATCCCAGTCCTCAGATCTTATCCTCCTAAGTAGCTAGGACTACAGGAACGAGCCACTGGCGCCCAGCACATCAGGTTTTTCTTTTTTTTACCACTTCTTTTGCCCAAGGCTAGCACTCTACCACTTGAGCCACAGTGCCACTTCTGGCCTTTTCTGGTACTGAGGAATCTAACCCAGGGCTTCATGCTTGCTAGACAAGTACTCTACCAGTAGGCCACATTCCCAGCCCCTATGCATCATGTTTCTTGATAAGCATTTTTTCTTAGAATTGCTTGGGTGTATGAACTAGAGCACAATACCTGTTTAAAACATCCCCATTTCAATGCAGAGGTCACATGTCAGGAGTATATGGTATAAAGAGGAGATGGTGTTGCAGCCAGATGTATACTTCTAGATCTGGATGGCACAGACTAATATTCTCGAAGCTGACAAGTCTCACAGGGAAGTCTGAAAATATTTATGTTCTATATGCTGAGATGAAAACAGGAGGAGTCTGTTGCCTCTACTCTATGCTCCTCTTCATCACTAGCAGAGCACTGGCCTAGGCTTCTTCCAAAAGAGGTGGCTTGTAAAATTCCGGCTGTCATGCAGAAAGGACAGATGAACAGTTGAGCTACCAAATGGTTAAGGGTCCCATACTATGTCAAGGACTGTGCATACGGCACTTAGCTTGATTACTGTTTTTTCTTTTGAAACTTAATTAGTTGAATTTAGTATATATTCTTGACTTTTTTTTTTTTTGAATGGCTATCACCAGGGTCACTTTACATATCCTGATCCTTCCCAGTGGACAGATGAAGAATTGGGTATCCTTCCTGATGAGGAGGATTGAAAGTATAAACTCAAGCCTTTTGAAGAAGGTATGCCCTAAATTTCTATTTTAATTAATATTTATGGTACTAAGAACTCAACAGGGATTTGAGCTTGCTACAACTCTTAGTCCTTTTTGTTTGTATCTTGTTTATAGATAGGATCTGGCTAACTTTGCTTGGTCTGGCCTCTAATTTTTCTTCCCTGTCCTTGCCTTCTGATCAGTAGGTGGGATTACAAGTGTGTACCACCAAGCTGGCTAATGTCTTAAATTTTGATTTGTTCTTTGTCATAAACAGTTGATTTTGTGCTTTTTTTTTTGTTGGTCATGGGGCTTGAACTCTGGGCCTGGGCGCTGTCCCTGAGGTCTTCAGCTCAAGGCGAATGCTCTACTACATGAGCCACAGTGCCACTTCCAGCTTTCTGGTGGTTAATCGGAGATAAAGAGTCTTACAGACTTTGCTGTCCGGTCTGGCTTTGAACTGCTATCCTTAGATTTCAGCCTCCTGAGTAGCTAGGATTACAGGCGTGAGCCCCTGGTACCGGCTTGATTTTGTACTTTTAATAGTCTTAAAATGAATATTCTAATAGTATGAAGCACAATTAACTGAGTCACACCTAATTTCTACAGTATTTACACATCTGCTGTCTCTCTCCACTTTTGGTATCATTGTCCTTTTCATTGTGTATTTAAAAAAATTAGTATTTCCTGGGGCTGGGAAGGTGGCTCAGTGGTAGAGCGCTTGCCTTGCATGCCTGAGGCCCTGGGTTCGATTCCTCAGTACCACATAAGCAAAAAAAAAAAAAAAAGCCGGAAGTGGCACTGTGGCTCAAGTGGTAGAGCGCTAGCCTTGAGCTGAAGAGCTGAGGGACAGCGCCCAGGCCCAGAGTTCAGGCCCCACGACCGGACCAAAAAAAAAAAAAAATTAGTATTTCCTAAGTTAGGTTACAAACTTAGGATCCTGCTTACCCATCCATTTATTGATACATTAAGGTTAGCTACTCAGGAGACTAAGATCTGGAGGATAGGAATTTGAAGCCAGCCCTGGGCAGAAAATAGGAGTTTGAAGCCAGCCCTGGGCAGATAAAGTCAGACTCAATTTCCAGTTAATGAGCTAAAAAGCCAGGCTCGAGATTTGGCTCCATTCTCAGAGCACCAGTAGAGCAAGCAACTAGAGTTAAGAGCCTGAAACTGAGTTCAAGCCCCATACTGGGGGGTTGGAGGGTGGGGTGGAAATGCAGGATAGAACACTTTTTTAAGTCTTGTAGGAAGGTAGAAGGGAGAAAATTTGGCCACAGAGCAGGCAGATTTTATACACACTGAAGTGTTCTCTCTTTACCTCCTCCAGTGCTTTTGTTAATATAGCTTCCAGCACTGATCCTTTTACATCTCTACAAATCTGCCAGTATTCCCACACATAGGCACTGTTTTAATGACTAGACTTTTTTTTTTTCCTTACTGGTCATAGGGCTTGAACTCTGGCCACTGTCCCAGCTCAAGGAGAGTCCTATCACTTGAGCCACAGCACCACTTCCAGTTTTCTGGTGGTTAGTTGGAGATAAGAGTCTCATGGACTTTCATGCCTGGGCTGGCTTTAAACTGTGATGCTTAGGTCTCAGCCTCCTGAGTAGCTGGGATTACAGGCGTGAGCCACAGGTGCCAGCTAGACTTGCTTTTTGATGGGAAGAGCAGTTTACTTTGTAAGACTAGTCATAAGAACTCAAGAATTATCTTTGAATAATTGCATAAACAAAGTTACAGATTTGGATTAGTGAATATAAGTTATTAAAACTTTCCATTTTTGTTTTTCCACAGGAACCAAGTGAGAAATTCCAAGGAAGTATGGACTTAATGTTGTACACTAAAGTTGTAAATTAAAAAAGGCTTGGCCAAGAATGAGGACCTGAGTTATGTTTGTGATAATGACAGTTCTATTTCACTTTCGTTGTTCCCATTGTGGTGCAAGTGGTTTATATCTTGAGTACCCCCGAGATGGAGATAGAGGTTAGCTGCATTTATCCAGTATGCCATTGAGGAACAAGGAGATGAGCTAACTCAACTTGCTTAGTGTCTCACAACTGGTAAGTGGTGCAAAAGCTCACGCACAGTGCCATACTGTCTTCTGACCTCTTAAGTCAAGTAACTCATCTTGTCATTTATCTATAGCAGCTGGATTCTTGCCCCGAGTTTACAGGTTAGGCATTAGTACAGTCCATTTATTGTGGCCTGGGTGTTTTGTTCTGAGTGGCTGCTCACAGAATTTTTTTTTTTTTTTGCCAATCCTGGGGCTTCAACTCGGGGCCTGGGCACTGTCCCTGAGCTGCTTTTGCTCAAAGCTAGCACTCTACCATGTGAGTCACAGCGCCACTCGTGGCTTTTTCCGTTTATATGGTCCTGAGGAATCATACCCAGGACTTCATCATGCATGTTAGGCAAACACTTTACCACTAAGCCACATTCCCAGCCCCGTATTACAGAATATGATTGCAGGTGGTGTTAAAAAAAGCTTACGATGGATTGTTAGAGCACATACTTCCACTATGTTACATGGAGGAAGGCAGTCATTTTGAAAGAAAAGGTATGTAAGGTGAAAAACATCACCAATATCTGACAAAAGACTTACCCTACAAGCGGATCACATGTATAGTACCATGCGGGAACCTGGACAACTTTAACTTCTACCTATCAAGCAAGAATCAACATTATAAAACCAAATGTACACACCTTAGTCTTTCTACTGCCTTCAAGAAATGACTGTCAAACCCACTGGCTAATTCTGTCATTGCATGTTCAGGTGCTACGCAAATAATCCTGATGAAGACTTCTCCATGCAGTCAATCTTTATTATAGCAATATTCGCATATTCACATCAAGTACATAGAACTTTTTTGCCTTTTATATATAATACAGAGTTTTTAAATAACTTTACACAGAAATAAATTTCTTCAATCTGATTTTCAACTATCTTTTTATTTAATTCTCCATGCTTTCTATCCAAACTGAACAATATTTTCCATTATACAAATTTACATGAGAAAAACTCCAAAGTACAAATGAAGGGACCTGAGCAGGAAAGAACCAAGGAGTATCAGGAAGTGGGTGTGGGAATTAAAAAAAAAAAAAAAAAGACAAGCAAACACTGAGAATTAAAGGTTTAGAGAGACATCATCCATTTGACTGAAAATAAATGTCTTTTATGATTTGAAAAATAAGCTTTAAAAATAGTTACTCCATTGTAATATTTATAAAGCAGGTATAGAGAGGTGTGTGGACAAGGGATGAAGTCCCCATGTTTTTACTGGGCACCCCCTCCCCCCCACCCCCGACTTCATGAGAACCTTTTCATGAATACGCTTGAGTGGAACTGAAGTGAACTAGACCCGAACCTGTGGCAGTTAAGAAAGGAATGCATATGCGAGCTGCCATAGGTTTGAAGTGGTAAAACAGGACCCATAATTCACTGAAGTTCCAACGTAAAGCATTTCCCTTTCCTCTGCCTTACAGACTTGTCCTCAGACTGAGCAGTACATGAAAAGGGGAGATTTACTTTTCCTTGGAATAAACCAAGGAGCAGTCCAGCTTTGAACAATTCAAACACACAATAGAAGGTAAAAATCAATCTCCTGATCTTAGACCTATCTTAGAAACAGAAGTGCTAAAGGGAAGGGTCAGGTACTGTGACACAGTCCTTCAAATCAAGCAATACCATGAAGGCCAAACCAAGACTACATCATTTGGTATGGCCAAAGGAAATAGAGGACCCAATGAATGCGTTTTCAAATGAAGGAAGGGAAAGGGCACAACACACACATACCTGGTATGTAAACTAATATAACATGAAGATAAATAAGACAAAGGTTAGCCACTTATGTTGGAAAAGGTGAAAAGGCTTATGTTTACATAGCTGGTTTGAATCAACTATGGAACACATAAATGAATTAGGAAGGAATGATTTTAAACCGTTCACAGCTTAGAATAAAAAGCACACGTATTGCACTCTTAAACTTTATTTCAGATAACTATAGTTCACTTCGCACCTCTGCGTTAGTTTTTCCCTGTTCCCCAGACTTCATTGCCACCCTATTTTGGTCCATTTTTTGTGCCTACTTGCTTTGTTGCTTATGTTAGTCTTTGATTTCTTCCTATGTAACTCACACCCACCCAAACACAAAACATTCAAAAGGCTTAATGAAACGCGAGTGCAAAAAACAAGACTTTTAACTCACTCCCCCACCCCTGTTCCAGCACTGTAAATCAGCCCTCTCTTTGCTGCACCTCTTCCAGTATTTCCTGCCCGTCTCCCCTGGGAAACAGCAGTTATGAGTGCTGGATAATGTACTCAGCCTGCCATGAGAAGCAAATGGTTTGCACAAAATTGTTTTCTGACACACAAACACACTCCAATTTTCTGTTTAAAGAGTACTTCAATCTACAGAATTCTTTTAAAAAAATGCATCACAAAAAACACACTGGCTGTGTCCTCATGACAACTGGTTGTATCATTGCAATTAGTCAAAACAGCTAAATGAAAGTAAACGTTACGTGAAGCTGATTTAGTAATAAAAAGTTAAAATGTGGATAAAGATCTAGAATTTATTGAGGTGGCCACTGTGGTTTTTACCTTTTTGCCTTAAGATTTCATGAACTGGGATGTGGCTCAGTGGCAGAACCCTGGCCTAACACACGCCGAGGTCCTAGGTTCAATCTCCAGCATCATAGAAAGGGGGAAAGGAGGAATGATTTGGGGATTCTGTCCAATTCAATCTCAAAAAATACCTGTAGGAACTATTAATTATCTTTTCTACAACTGACAAAAATTAGAACTGATTTCAATGTCAATGTCTTTGCCTAAGTAGAAGTGAGAAAAAGTTATCTGAAATTTCAACAACAAAATGAAGCTTACATCTTATAGGACAAACAACACACACATTACCAGCACTTTCAACTTTTCCAGAGCTAGCAACACAAGACCACAAACACACTGGCCACTGTACTCTCCTCTGGCCAATCTACAAATCACTGTGCTGGCAGAGACGCTACTGCCCCTTCTCAGGCCTCAGTAATGCATCTGAGTATCTGAGAGGAGGGTGGTGAGGAAAAAAAAACAACACAAAAGTGCACCATGGAGTGTCTGGTTTTACCCACACAGGATAGGTCTCTCACAATTCCAAGTCCCTTCACTAAGGACAACGCCAGAGACTGCCCTTTGTGCTCTTCATCATTCAGAATTGGTAGCACAGTCCAACATCACTGCAAACAAGCGCGGGGAGGCGAGTTTACATTTTAAATTCTGAAAAATCAGTGACTAGGTTGGCAGCAGTACTCTGGAAACAAATTTTATTTTCTCCTTTCTCACTATCAGTGAGAAAGCATACGGAACCAACACACAGGATTGCTGTCCAGCATACGGTACTTCAACACTGAACTACAGCAGTTTCTTAAAATGTCTGTCAAACATTTTTGTTGTATAAAAGTTCCATGCTTTGAAGAACCTATGGGAGTAGAAAAAGTTTCTCTAGAAATGTCACTGAACAGTATTTTCAACCTAGTTGCTCTATGTGATAAATATATCTGACTATACTAGGGATTATATGCTTTAAAAAAATAATTTTGTTCACTGAAAATTTACTTGTTTTTTTTTTCTCATTTTTAAAATGTGTTTTGGCTATAAACTCTTTAGTGCATTTATCTTTGCAGTCTAAATTGCACTCTAAAAATATTAACACAGCTGAGTTAAACCAGAGTGGCTCTCTTCATAAATCACTGATTTCTGCTAAAAATTTTAGCTTTTTTTTTTTATTGCATCATGAAGGCACAGTAAGATCATTTGGCAAATTGTCAAGGTATTTTGCTAGACTCTCAACTACACCTTTTCGCTGTAACTTGCAAGTTAGTTGCTGTTCATTCTCACCTTCCATCTCTGGTTGTGGTTTCTTATAGCATAATGGTTGACATCTGCTGGTCTCAAGCAACACCAACTTGGAGTCTAAGAGGGCCTCCTTCTACCCCCTTAGCTGGGCAGTCTCTCTGAATAAGTATCTTATGAATGTGACAAAGCTGTGGCTAACACAGTATGAAGATGTACTGCCTTGACAAGTTACTGAAAAGTAAAACTGTGTCACTGTGACATGATACCATAGCTACTTAACTTCATGAAACTGACTTAAGGTTAAGATTCTGAAATGTACCCAACAGATTCGGCACCACTTCCAACAACATACAGATGCTCTTGAGCAATGCTTTTATTTTTTTTTTTTTAAACACTATCACTGCTTAAATGTATAATGCCCTTGAGGACAAAATCAGAGTGCTCAGACACAAGGACACATAAAAGTTAAAATCTTAAATCATCTTCATGTTCTAGAGCTCGTGGCTTTTCATAATTTAAATAAATATTCATGACCTCATTCTGAGGAGGTAGGTTTTTTGAAGAAGTCACCTGAACTCCGCAGTGTTTGAAAGTAAAGCTAGAGCTGCTGTTTGAGGGAGGCGGGGTGGTGGTGCGCTGTGGGGACAGCTGAGATTTGAAGAGGGGCTCGCGATAGCTCGCACAGCGCTGGATGAAAACAACACAACGCTGTGTGACACAAGAGCTGGGACTGCACCAAACAAAAATGAGGAAATATTTACAGAGCTTCAGTGCTAAAGTTTTGACCTGTCTTTTCAAAAACACTTTAACAATGACATAAATATAACGTGATTTACATGGGGTTTTCCCTTCTAGAATGTCCTAGGCGTGTCCTACCAGACCTCAAATATAATCAGGGACAGGATATCCAGGAACCACAATTTGATAGCTAGTTAAGAGTCTTCTTTTAAGGTGTACATAAGCACAAATGAGAACCTCAGATTTCCTATTCACAAGTCCCTTCCATAAATTTTTTGGTCCATATTATTTCAAGGAAAGAAAGTCAATCAGGAATACTACATATTTAAAGTCTTCTACAGCTGCTCGCGAACTTTCCAGAGGGCCTCGCTCTCCCAACCAAAACCAAAACACATGCTGAAAGGCACTGCAACTTTGCTGACACACACACTTCACTGACAGCCTTAGGAGGTGGTTGGAGAAGCAGCCACACACTGTCGGTGCAATTACTCATAAAGTGCTCTGCACAAACAAGAGCGTCTTCCTCCTCTTAGGAGCTCAAGTCTACCTCCTATAGGCTAAGGACCAAAACCTACAGCAAAGGATATTCCTTTTATTGTCATTTGTAAACTCAAGGAAAAAATATCTATTTGATGAATAAGATGGAAGGTTTAAACATTGTTTTTATTTTTAAACTTCCCTTAAAAAAACAAAACAACAACAAAAACAACCACCCCTCAATACTCTGAGCCCAACTTTGGGACAAAATTTCATTTGATATCACCTCTGTTCCCCCTTTACAAGTAAGAGAGAAACATTCTAAAATGAAAGGAAGACATTGGTTTAGACAATTCCAACTTGAGAGTCCTCCCTCAGCTTGCTGGCTCTGTCCCTGGAGAGAGGGAGCCCGCACTGTGGCATGCACAGCAGGCTCTACCTCCTGAGCAGGACTTCAACACCTATCTGTGTTTTTCTCTAACCAGGACTTAAGATCTAAGCCAATCTTGCTAAAGGAAACACAGCTATATTAAGTAGCATCTACAGAGATGTTTTGGACTTTTACTTCAGTAAGAGGTGCGTCATGCACAGTGGATTCTTTTCATACCAGCACAATATATTTCCATCTCGGCAATTCTAAAAAAATTTAAGACACTGCTCTGCTCACATCAAACTTAAAAACATACTAGTACGCTTCAAAATGATTCATACCCCACAATATTTCCTACTTTTCTAGGTCAACCTTGTGTAAGTCTGTGAAATTTGCAGCAGGCCTTCTTCTGATGCCAAGTATTTAAGCAAAAATCATCTGTCTAATGGTAATGAGTAGTAAACAGGTGAGCTATAGATAGTGGAACCAGGAAAATGTTACATGATCACTTTTAATTCCCTGATTTATTTTTGGTCTTAAAAGAATTTCTTTCAGGTTTTGGTATCCCTTAGTTGGCTAAGTAAATCTTGTATGATCTGCATTCCAAAAGCCTGACAATCAATCCTAAACTCCCAATAAGGGAATTACCATTGGTTTATCCCATCACTTTCTATGCTACCACGGTAATTTGTATTGCCCATTCATGAAGGCCAAGGGAAGCTAGGGCTTGTTTATATTTTCCATCTGTTCAAGGATAGGAAAGATTTAGATTTCCTATATCACAGTAACTCTTTCTACAAAAACAACTGCTTTCACACATCGCCCTCAGCTCCAATAGCCCTGGCATTTCCCAGGTGGGGGATTCAACTGCCAAATTACCCAACCTTTTGAAGACCAGGCTTGGGAAGAAAGGAAGGAGGAGAATGAATGGAGATACCACCACTTTTATTTTAGGTTGCATATTCTAGATCAAAGACTGGAAAGAGGTTGCAGAATGTAGTGTAGGAATGAGTAAGTTGGAAGAAACAATGAGACTGTTAGCAAAGATGTTAGTGTGGACCCAGCAAGTACCATTAATTTAAAAATTATAAATAATTGTCTAAGACTCTCCATGTTTTAGGTAGATAAAAGGGCAATGGTCTTTCTTTAAAAGTTTATATAACAAAAATACCATTTTCAGGATATATAATTCTGGTGGGAAGTATTATTCCAATTAAATCTGAAAATCATTTTCTTTTTTAATAAAAATAAAAGAAACCCAGAAATTAAAACTTGTACCTGACACTTCAATTACATAAATTTCTCACATTCAAAACTGTTAGTCAGCAGTTTTGCAGGCTTTTGGTTAGATATGCCCAGGGCGTGTTTGCCTTGGACATAACAGCCATATAAGTACTTGGTGACTGGAAGAGCTTAGAGGAAGATATGGACTGTATTTCCTGAGAATTTGCTACATTGTGGAGGAACCAAGTCCCCAGCCCTCATCTCCATTGCTGGACCCAATGAGAAAAGAAGGCGATGTGTGCCAGCACTGTCCAACTTGCATGGTTAGGCACAGCCCCAGTGAGCCAGGCAACCAGAGGCCAAGAAATGGAGGTCAGGAAGAAGATGCAGCATTCCCTTTTCCTCTGCCCCCCAAATGCAGCTCTTCCTCACCTCTCCACCTCCAGTTAAACAAGACAGCTTCACTTGTGATCAGATTTGTCAAGGACTGAACATGTGCCACCCAGAAAAGGTATGCTGCATTTCTGTTCCATCCCTCAGAAATTAATTGGTGGTGGCTAGGGGAAAGAGCTCCACAACAAAATCCCAGAACAGGAAAGAGAATGATGCTTGGTGATTGAAACCGCCCATCAGATGACCAGCCACAAATTGATCTGGTGGTTAGAAGGGCAAAGTTGACTGGCAGGCTTTCTATAGCAAATTTCCCAAGCTGTAGCAGCAGTTTCTTTCCATCATGCCTGACCATCAAAAGGTCAGAACTCAGGGTCTCTCCTTTTTCTTCCAGGAGTGGGTAGACTTGTATGCACGTGGTGTTTGTGTTGAAGAAGAAACACTGGCAGCAGAGAATTCTGGCTCCTAAAGCACTCTTCCCTCTTTTGTTGAGTAAGAGATTCCACTCTGTTCCACACCAGTTTATGCATTGAAAATTTTGTATCTTAAAAAAAAAAAAAAGGATTGCAGCACAGAATCGTGTTTTGATGTTAACAAACTGTAGGAATACAAGACTTAAAGAAATAAAGAGTAGATGCGGCCATGGTGGTGTGGCTACTTGAAGGCTGCAAATTCTCCTGTAGAGGGAGGACAAGAGCTAATTTTAAAAAAGTTATCTCAAAATCGCCTCAAGCAGCAAAGCCTCATTTCAACCTCACCAAAAGGTAGACTACTTATATACCACAAGCCTGATACCATCCTCACTAATTCAAAAACCAAAATAGCCAATACCCATGAAAGAACAAAAGTATGTATATTTATGTGAAGAACCACGGTATATCAATCAAATATCAAATCTGCAGATAATTTCTCAGCTGGGTTTCACATGTTAGGGTTGGATCTGCTGATACGTCTGATGAAGAAAATCTCTAAGAAACTGCTTACACAATAGTAGTAGAATATTTCTGCCCCTAAATTATCAGTTCATTTTCTGCTACCACATTATATAGTTATGTCACCATCAGGAAGAGAGAATCAAGAATTATCCTCATTGTATGAAAGATGAAATTTCGGTATCAAATGATTTGTCCAAATCACATATTTTGCAGAAAGAAAGAAACCCAGACCTTCCATTGTCTAGTTAATTTCACCTTTTTAACTACTAGAAATTCAGGCATGTGTCACTGAACATAATCTTCTGCATAAGGAATTCCTTAAACCACAAAATCCCTTTGCAGGGCCAAACTTCTTCAATCTTCCTGAATTCGGGAACTAACACCCGAGCTACAGCTCTATTTCCTGCTTTTCTGGTGGTTCACTGGAGATAAAAGAACCCCACAGACTTTCCTGTCCAAGCTGGCTTTGTAACTGCAATCTTCAGATCCCAGACTTCTATGGAACTATGGGTGTGAGCCACTGGTGCCTGGCTAGGCGCTATCATTTTGTTCACATCTTCTACTTAGATAGGCCAGTTACTGCCATCATATAGAGCATAGTTTATTTATGGGAGTCGATTAATAACTGACAAGTAATTTTTTTTTTTTGGGTCCGTCGTGGGGCCTGAACTCTGGGCCTGGGCGCTGTCCCTCAGCTCTTCAGCTCAAGGCTAGCGCTCTACCACTTGAGCTGCAGCACCACTTCCAGCTTTTTTCTTTTTGCTTATGTGGTGCTAAGGAATCGAACCCAGGGCCTCAGGCATGCAAGGCAAGCGCTCTACCACTGAGCCAACTTCCCAGCCCCCCTGACAAGTAATTTTTTATAGGAGTTTCTGATGAAGATTTAAACAATTTCTCTCTCTCTCTCACACCCACACACACCCACACATCCACACCCCCCCCCCCAAATTCATTATTCAATCTAGGAATAATAAGCATATATTTAGTGAGTTTTTTAAAATTGCTATTAGATTCCAAGTGGTTACTAGATAATACTGGCATGTCTCAATACATACATTAAAGACGGGCTTACTGAATCGCAAGATATGCATGCTGATAATATCAGCAACTGCCTGAGTGACTGACCTTTGCCCCCCCTCCTCCCCCCCCAGCCTCACAGCACTCTAATGAGACAGATGTTTATCTCAATTTTATAGATGAGCAAGTTGGGGCTTAAAGTGCTCAAAATGACATGACTAGAAAAATGTGGAACCCGAATGTTACCCCAAGTGCTGACACCAAAAGACAGATTCCCCCCCCCTTTTTTTTGTTGGGGGAGGGGGTGGTTTCAAAACCTAGTACTGGGGCTTGAACTCAAGCTCTTGAGTTCTCTCCCCTCCCCCTCTTTTTTTAACTTAAGGTCAACAAACACTATCATTTAAGACATATCTCCAGTTCTCAAGGCAAGGGTTCTTAACCATTATCAGGTCTTTAATTGTTGTTGTTGAGTCAAGGTAAGTAGTATAGGCTTGTCTTAAACTTATCTTCCTACTTCAGCCTTTTTTTTTTGTTTTTTGTCGGTTCTGGGGCTTGAACTCTGGGCCTGGATGCTGTCCCTGCACTCTTCAGCTCAAGGTGAGTGCTCCACTGCTTAAGCCACAGCGCCACTTCTGGTTTTCTAGTGGTTTATTGGAGATAAAAGTCTCATGGCCTTTTCTGCTCAGGCTGACTTTGAACTGTGATCCTCATATCTCAGCCTCCTGAGTAGCTAGGATGACAAGCATGAGCCACTGGTGCCGGCATACCTCAGTTTCTTAACTGACGCTATTATAGTAATGTACCACTACAATAGGCTCCCTAGAAATTTTACTTTGTATTTAAAGTTAAAAGTAGTGGAGAGGGCTGGGAAGATGGCTCAGTGGTAGAGCGCTTGCCTTGCATGCATGAGGCCCTGGGTTCGATTTCTCAGCACCACATAAAAAGAAAAAAGCCGGAAGTGGCGCTGTGGCCCAAGTGGTAGAGCGCTAGCCTTGAGCTGAAGAGCTGAGGGACAGCGCCCAGGCCCAGAGTTCAGGGCCCACGACCGGACCCAAAAAAAAAAAAAAAAAGATGATCTTCTGGGCTTTCCTGCCTGGGCTGGTTTGAAACAGCAATCTTCTTTATCTCAGCTTCCCACGTACCTGTGATACAGATACATGCTACTGTGCCCAGCTATTAGTTGACAAGAGGTCTCCTTGGGTATCTCTAGGCTACTGCAATCCTCCTGGTATCAGTCTCCCAGAGTAGCTAGGATACAGGCATGAGTTATTGGCTCTTAGTTGTTTATTATTATTGTGTTTTAAGATGGGGAATGTTTTGTCTTTTTTTTGTCGGTCCTCGGGCTTGAACTCTTGGCTTGGGCGCTGTCCCTCAGCTCTTCAGCTCAAGGCGAGCACTCTACCACTTGAGCCACAGCGCCACTTCCGGTTTTCTAGTGGTTTATTGGAGATAAGAGTCTCACGGACTTTCCTGCCTGGGCTGGCTTTGAACCAGGATCCTCAGATCTCAGCCTCCTGAGTAGCTAGGATTACAGGCATGAGCCACTGGCTCCCGGTGGTGTTTTGTTTATCTTTAAAGTCATGAATCAATATATAAAGTCATGGTAGCAATGTTTAATCTGTCCAGGAGAACAAAAGATCTGCTATATTAGTACTGGTTTCCTTGGATGAAATCAACTATGCAAATAAACGTATTTTACAGGTTTACCTGTGGTACTTAAAAAACTAATTTATCATGAATTTAAGATCTTCCTGATTTTTTGCTTTACTGACTTCAAGGGAAGATGACATAAATTCAGATGTGGTCTGCCTGCTGAAACCTTTTTTGGACTATATTTAATAAAGACCCTAAATCTAAACTGTGTGATTGAAGATTTAGTTTAAGAGGCTATGAAGTAGAGACAGTAGTGTCTTTGGTAAGACACTGGTGCTGCTCCTGTTTTGGGTGCTCACGACTGCCTCATTGTACTCAACACACACACACTCACATATACACACTCACATGCATGCACACACATACTGATGCATTAGAAGTATTTCATACCGAGGGATGCAAAGAGGAAAAAAAATAGGCATTTATCTTAAGTAGAACCTTGTTAGGTAAAAGACAAAAATTTTAGGAAACACATGATAAAGTAATTGCTCTACTATGAACCACAAAATCTAAGTACAATCTAAAGCAATAACTTGAAAAACATCCATTAACAAGTTGCTTGGCAACCAGTTATCTAAAAGAAAAACAAACCTAAAATTCTCACAGAGCTCTGTGATTTCTTTTCTTTTTTTTTTTGTGGGAGGAGATAAGAATAAAGAGAGCAATGCATCTGCAAGGAACTTTAACTTTTTTTTTTAAACAAAAATCAATGGTGACATCCTTAGTATATAAAGAAACGTTATCTACACTGGGTGCTGGGGGCTCACCCCTGTAATCCTAGTTACGCAGGAGGTTGAGAACTGAGGATCCTGACCATCAAGGCAGAAAAGCCCATGAGATTCTTACTACTAAAGAACTGGAAGTCGAAGTGTCGCTGTAGCTCAAGTGGTAGAGTGCTCGCTTTGAGCTGAAGAGCTGAGGGACAGCGCTCAGGCCCAGAGTTCAAGCCCCACGACCAACAAAAAGTAAAACAAAACAAAAACAAAAAAACTGTCATCTAAAGAACTGGAAGTGGAGCTTTGGCTCAAGTGGTAGAGGGCCAGCCTTGAGCAAAAAAAAAAAAAAAAAAAAGAAAGCCCCAGCCCCCAAGTTCAAACCCCAGTACAGGCAGAAACACACACATAAAATCTCCAATGAACATTTCTCCACTAAAAATCTAACATTAAGCCATTTTATTCATGTCAAATGTGCTACTTCTCAGGAGTATATAGGGTCACTTGTGTCCATGATTTATTAAAAGATACTCATTCCATGGCTTCAAGGAAACAAAGGACTTCTACTTTTTGGGGGGGTGACAGAGAGATCTGGGCTTGAACTCAGGGTTTAATGCTCTCTGAGCAGGGGCTCTGTTACTTAAACCAGACCCTCAGCTCTTTTAGCTTGTCGTTTTTTCGTTAGGCTCTCACATTTTTGCCTGGTACTGGCCTAGATCTTTATTCTCCTTTTTATGGCCAGCCACATGCCATCATAACTCAGAAGGACTGAGTTACGCTCTTGCTAACTTTTTGCTTAGGCTGGCCTCAAAGTTCAATCCTCCTGGTCTCAGCTTTACCTCCTGGGTAGTTGAGATGTCAGGCATGAGTCATTTTCATAATAGTAAACAGAAATAGTTATAGCCGGGCGCTGGTGGCTCACGCCTGTAATCCTAGCTACTCAGGAGGCTGAGATCTGAGGATCGCGGTTCAAAGCCAGCCCGGGCATGAGAGACCGTGAGACTCCTATCTCCAATAAACCACCAGAAAACCGGAAGTGGCGCTGTAGCTCAAATGGTAGAGCGCTCGCCTTGAGCTGAGGGACAGCGCCCAGGCCCAGAGTTCAAGCCCCACGGCTGACCAAAAAAAAAAAAAAAAAGAAATAGTTATAGAAAAATTAGTTAATGTTGAAAATAGTGACTTCTCAAATTAGACCTGCTCAGTTGCCTTATTTGAAGCCAGCTTCCCACGAGCATTCAGAGGAGTGGCCCTCCTCCAGAGCCCTCCCTCAGTGATAGTAATACTAAAAGCTGCCTTAGAAAACAGAGAAAGCTATAGTTTAATAACTAGAATAACCGACTGAAACAAACTCAGAACAGAGGGCCCTGGAAGAGGCACTGCCAATTTTTGCAACGTTTTTATGTTTTAACCTGTGGACGTTAAAAATCCATTGTTAGGTATGAATTCAGAAAAAATTTTAATCTAGTTGTTTAACACAGAAGTGTTCTTTTGTTTATCTATAAAGAAATGAGTTGCATAGTCAATTGAACATTTAAACAAACTTATGTAAATGTATTTTTTTTTGTGCTACCTTACTTTAATTTCTCACTCATTTAGTTTGTCTCAGTGGACAGGAAACGCACCATAGCCCCCTGCCTGAATGGGTGTTTTTGGAGAAGCACAAGCATATAGACTAAAATCCTCTGTCTGAAAACCAGCCCGGTTCAAGGAGGGTTCTGATGCACTACGGTGAATTTTTGGCAATGAGCGGGCCAACAGCTCAATAGAGGCGAGAATCTGCAAAAAAAAAGAAAACAAGAAAAAGAAAAAGAGAAACAGTAGAATGAAAATCTGGCTTGTGTAAATCTTTAAGAGCCCCATCATATTGTATTATAACAGTACCTGAAATCATTGTTTTCAAGACAATAAGTGCCTGGAAAAATAGACAGTGGTATTTTTCCTTAAGAAGCCCACTCAACCCAAAACAACAACAACAAAAACCCCAAACTTACTACAATACTAGAACTTTTATTTCTGTAAACTGAATGGAACAAAGCAGTTCATAGTTATTTGGCTTTTGTTTTTACTTTTTTTTTTTTTGGGGGGGGGGGTCAGTTGTGGGGCCTGAACTCTGGGCCTGGGTGCTGTCCCTCAACTCTTCAGCTCAGGCCTAGTGCTCTACCACTTGAGCCACAGCACCACTTCTGGCTTTTTCTGCTTATATGGTGCTGAAGAATTGAACTCAGGGCCTCATGCATGCGAGGCAAGCACTCTACCAATGAGCCAACTTCATAGTCCTTAGCTTTTGTTTTGCCAGCTTTGGAACAATGAACAATAGAAATTTAAAATGAGTTACAGACCTATTTGGCACAGAGTGCACATACCTTTTGGAAAGGAGATGGGAATATAAATAAATACTATATGACTATTTCTAAACAGAACAAGGCAATTCGTCCTTTAAAGAAACTTAGCAGTCAGAAGTGTCTCACCATGTAATTCAAAGCAGGACCACACTGCTCCAGACTGCTAGTGGCATATGAACAAGAAGTGACAAGTGACAAATCAGGGGAAGCTTAATAAACAGGCAGCATGTATGAATCCACGTATTTTAAGGGACAAGAAACAGGTATGCCTTTTGAAGGTAGACAGCCTGATAATGCAGTTAAAAATAATGCAGCATATGTATAAAGTGACTTGGAGCTGGGCACTGGTGGCTCATGCCTGTAATGCTAGCTACTTAGGAGGCTGAGATTTGAGGATCACAGTTCAAAGCCAAGCTGGGCAGGAAAGTCCATGAGACTCTTTTATCCAATTAACCATCAGAAAACTGGAAATGGTGCTGTGACTCAAGTGGTAGAGCACTTGCCTGGAGCTGAAGAGCTGAGGGACAGCGCCCAGGCCTAGATTTCAAGCCCCATGACTGACCAAAAGAAAAAAAAAAAAAAAGACTGGGCATGATGTCTCAAACATAACAAGTACTCAATGTAACTTTAACAATTATTTTTTTTCAATGTTAGAAATCAATTTGTTTTAAAAAAAATCTAACTCTTATATACCCAATAACAGAGCAACATCATAGTTTTAGGGGCTGGGAAGGTGGCTCAGTGGTAGAGCGCTTGCCTTGCATGCCTGAGGCCCTGGGTTCGATTCCTCAGCACCACATAAGCAAAAAGAAAAAAGCTGGAAGTGGCGCTATGGCTCAAGTGGTAGAGCGCTAGCCTTGAGCTGAAGAGCTGAGGGACAGCGCCCAGGCCCAGAGTTCAGAGTTCAGGCCCCACGACCGGACCCAAAAAAAAAAAAAAAAGAAAAGAAATACGTAGTTTTAATTGTTTTCTACAACATATGCAGTTCAACTATATAAATACACATTTTATGAAATTATATAACAGGCAGGACTAATTCATGATAGAAAAAGTAGTACAGTCTTAGCTTCTGGAAACAGGGATAGTAATTGACTTAGAAGCAAAGAATTCAACTATCTGTCTGGAGTGATGGCAATTCCCTGTTCCTTAATAGAGGGTTTAGGTATGTACCAGTCTGCATCATTGAAGTTATAAATTTAATCATATTTATATAAGAAAAATAACTGTAAACAAATTTTAAGCTAATGGTACGCAGGTAGAATTACATAGGAGTGCATTGATATCCATATTTCATAGCTGAGGCTCTTAGCGTTCACTTGGGATGGAAACATTCAGTGCTGACCCACAGCTGTATTAATTCTCTCTGCCATAAAGATTTGGGTAAAAATTAACACTACTGCTAATAACAGGGCTGCTATTTGGACTCTGCTTTCACAGTGATAATAAACATTATTACTGAGTTTTATCCTGAACTGGGAATGGATCCCAGAGCCTTGTGCATGTTAGATAAGCACTATGCTACTGTACCCTTTTAAAATTTCAAGTATGATATGCAAGAAAAAAATTAAATTATACCATGATATAAAAGGTATAAGGCTTTCAAATCCCAGTTTAAGGAGTAACCAGTCTATACCTTCTCCTGAATTTTTTCTCTATATAAACATGTGCATATGAAAACAGACTCATTCTCATCATCTTTAAAGAGGTATTATACTATGCATATTTTTCTCATTGTTTTCTTATTCTCTCATTGACATCCAGGTCATCTATGCAGAACTACCTTAATCACTGTCTTTAATTTTTCCTACTATAGAAAACATACTTAAATAGCTTACTGTATATGTTGCATACCATATTCTTAAGAGTATTTTAAATTTATGAATTCTATGCCAAGTCTTTCCTAAAGACTGAATAATTTACATTTCCCCCATCACTGTGAAAAGAAAATTACACTGTTCCCAATGCTGGGATATAGCCAGTCTTGAGAAACAAAACCAAATGCATCCACTGTGGCACTCTGCACTTTACTAGCTGCTACTGAAGGCCCCTGTCTTTTCCTAAGTTTATTACCATTTACATTTCTTCTGTGTATCATCTATTCATATCCTTTTCCCCTTTGTATTCATTGCCTTTTATTGATTTGTAGGAGTCCTGCAAATATTTACTCTGTTACTTATGCTACAATTAGTTTTGCCTTTAAGCAAATATGTATTTTTTTGCCAGGCCTGGGCACTGTCCCTGGGCTTCCTTTGCTCAAGGAAGCGCTCTACCACTTGAGCCTCAGCCCCACTACTTCCGGCTTTTTCTGTTTATGTGGTACTGAGGAATCAAACCCAGGGCTTCATGCTTGCAAGGCAAAGGCAAGCACTCTACCACTAACCCACATTCCCAGCCCTATTAATTTTTTAACACTGTGAAGTTGAATAATTTTAATACGATCATATGTTATGTGACAATAAACTTTTTAACTTCTAAGTCTGTTTCTTGCTTATGGAAGTCTTTCCTATTTCAACAGTATTAAAATGATTTTATATTTTACTGTTGTTTTATATGTAACTCTTTAGCCATTTAAGATTTATATAGCACTTAACTGTATTGTGCCAAAAATAACCTGTAATGAAAGTTAAATACAATACTTAGAAGAGGTAACTCAACACTAATCTGGAAAATTTACATATGTACTTCATTTTTGGTACCATGACAGGAGTGCAAAAGTGTATTTAGAAATATGAGCAGTCAGGTATGGTAATATATGCCTATAATTTCAGTTACTTGGGAGGTAGGACAAGTTCCAGGCCAACCTGATAAACTCACTGAGATTCTGTCTCAAAATAAAACAAAAAAGGGGGCTGGGAAGGTGGCTCAGTGATAAGAGTGCTTGCCTTGCATGCATGAGGCCTTGGGTTCAATTCCTTAGCACCACATAAGCAAAAAACCAGAACTGGTGCTGTGGCTCAACTGGTAGAGCACTAGCCTTGAGCCTTGAGCTGAGGGACAGCATCCAGGCCCAGAGTTCAGGCCCCACAACCGACCAAAAAAAAAAAGGGCTGGATATACAGCTCAGTGGTTAGGATGCTAAGGCACAAAGCTCTAGATTCAAGCCCCAGTATCTGGAGTGGGGAAGGGTGGGGGGGGGAGGGAGAAAAGAAGGTATGAGCACTTGTCCTTTTAAATAAGAAAGACAACATCTAGGATTAGAGAATATGCTACTAGTTCAACTGACATAATCAACAATAACTTTTTCACTTTGATAGTGTCAAGCCAATCTCTTCAAAGTAACATGAAGTTAGAATCCAAGTAGGTAATATATACCCACCCAATCATTTGGCCTCCTCTTTCTTCTCAAAGCAGTTCTTAATGTATGTTATAACCATCGATTTTATGTATGTATGTATGTATGTATATATGTATGTATGTATGTATGTATGTATGTGTGTATGTATGGTATGTATGTATGTATGTATTTTTGTTGGTTGTAAGGCTTGAACTTAAGCCTGGGCACTGTCTCTGAGCTTTTCTGCCTAAGGCTGGCACTTTCCCACTCTGAACCATAGCCCACTTTTGGTTTTCTAGTGGTTATTTAGAGATAAGAGACTCATGGACTATATTGCCTGGACTGGCTGCAAACCTTGATCCTCAGATTTCAGCCTCCTGAGTAGCTAGGATTGTAGGCGTGAGCCACCAGTATTTGGTTTTTCTTTAATTCTTTTATTTATTTATTTTTTGGGTCCGGTCGTGGGGCCTGAACTCTGGGCCTGGGCGTTGTCCTTCAGCTCTTCAGCTCAAGGCTAGCACTCTACCACTTGAGCCACAGTGCCACTTCCGGCTTTTTTCTTTTTGCTTATGTGGTGCTGAGGAATTGAACCCAGGGCCTCAGGCATGCAAGGCAAGCGCTCTACCGCTGAGCCACCTTCCCAGCTTTTCTTTCATTCTTAAGAGAAAAAAAAAATCAAATAATAATAAAGGATAAGTGAATCTCAAACATTTCTAAGTGCCTCAGGACTTAATATTCGAAGTCACAAGGTGAAGAACATTTCACTAATTATTGTAGACTAACTATGGAAGTTAGCATTTCCCACTTGAAACTATTAATCAAGGTAAAGTAACAGAAAATACTGCCTTTATAGTGTAATACTTATTACAGCTAAACTCTCTTTTTCTTTTTTTCTTTCATTTTTGTTGGTGGTGGGGCTTAATTCTGGGCCTGGGCGCTGTCACTCAGCTCTTCAGCTCAAGGTGAGCATTCTATCACTTGAGCCACAGCACCACTTCCAGTTTTCCGGTGGTTTATTGGAGATAAGAGTCTCAAGGAGCCGGGCGCCGGTGGCTCATGCCTGTAATCCTAGCTACTCAGGAGGCTGAGATCTGAGGATCCTGGTTCAAAGCCAGCCCGGGCAAGAAAGTTCATGAGACTCTAATCTCCAATAAACCGCTAGAAAACCAGAAGTGATGCTGTGGCTCAAGCTGTAGAGCGCTCACCTTGAGCTGAAGAGCACAAGGATAGCGCCCAAGCCCAGAGTTCAAGCCCCACGACCAACAACAACAACAACAAAAAAAACAACAAAAAAAGAAAAGAGTCTCAAGGCTTTCCTGCCCCAGATGGCTTTGAACTGCAACCCTCCCTCAGATCTCAGCTTCCTGAGTAGCTAGGATTACAGGCATGAGCCACCAGAACCTAGCTTACACCTAAACTTTCTTACATGTTTCTGTTCAGTTTTTTTGGGGGGCCTGCCTTCCTTCCTCCCTCATTCTTTCTGGTTTTCTATTTGAGACTGGGTCTTCCTATGTTGCTCAGGCTGGCCTTACACTCCTAGGCTCAAGCAATACTCCCCTTGATCTAGATGTACCACCATATCAAGATCTTTGAAGGGTGTACTGAAGATTAATGTAAGGGCTTTGGCCTTCACTATGAGAAAAAGAGAATCAGAGTCTGGCAGATGCTCTGACAGTGATTTTTCTTTCGCCCCTGGTATAATTGCCTTGATGGTCCCCTTTAGGGACCTCAGAAAGAGCTAGTATGAGAGAGATGCTTGGAATCTGCTTGTTTTACCATCAAGAAGAATTAAAGAAGCAATCTGAAAAGCATCGCTTCTGGACCTGTAGCAAGTCCACAAGTCAAAACAGTTTTCACAATAACAAGATAGTATTTGCCTTTTGAGGTCACTGTAACATGGTAAGAGATACTGCAAAGTAGTGAAGCCAAATAGAGAATCTCTCTTCTTTTTTACAAAGACACTTGAAAAAGTGAAGATACCACTTTTCTCACTAGAAGGGGTGTGTGTGTGTGTTGGTTAGAAATATATAAAAAGGGCCAGGCACCGGTGGTTCATGCCTGTAATCCTAGCTACTCAGGGTGCTGAGATCTGAGGATCATAGTTCAAAGCCCGCCCAGACAGGAAAGTCTGTGAGACTCTCATCTCCAATTAACCACTAGAAAACCGGAAGTGGCACTGTGGCTCAAGTGGTAGAGTACTTGCCTTGAGCTGAAGACCCGAGGGATAGTGCCCAGGCCCAGAGTTCAAGTCCCATGACCAAAAGAAGAAAAAAAAAGAAATATGTAAAAAAGGGTTGGGGGAAGGTTAAGTGGGAGAAAACTGGGAGGGGGGGTAACAAGTTCGATAAGAAATGTATTCACTACCTTACTTATCTAACTGTAACCCCTCTGTACATTACCTTGGCAATAAAATTATATAAAAAAAGAAATATGTAAAAGGATTTCGAGACCAAGAAGTTAACTTACAGCAAGTCCTTTAAAATCTGCTTTTATATTAGAACCCCAAGTTGTGCTTGACCTTTCAAAGTCATTCTCATAGTTTCACCTGACTATGGAGTACGCACATAATCACAGAGAATTTAAACCCATGAAATACAAACTGTGTCTCCAAAAGGCTACTAAAAAATCCACCTGTCAGTGTTAGTTTTTCTAAGTATTGTGAAGTTTTCCTTACTTGGGGAAAGAGCGGTCTCTCATCTCTCTTCTTTTTGAGGCACTCTGCCATTAATCTCTTCATGGCTTTCGGACAGTTGCTCCGCACTTTACTGAGATCTGGAGACAGGTATCCTCGTCCCACCATAAAAATTATCTGGAGAAAAATAAAGATCATACAACCTTGCATGTAAGTTCAACTACATAAACAATGGAAACTAAACAACATGTATACTATGACAGCCGTGCTTATTCTTTATGTACGTTCATTTTAATAAGAAGTTAAAATAAAAAAAGATGTTAAAATAAAAAAAAAATGAGTATTTTAGATTCCTACACATCACAGATGATGGGGAATCCCAAACTAAATGGGCTGAAGTTCAAATCTTTATCACCCTGGGACTTAGCAAAGGCCTCTTAACTGTTCCTTTTATGCTTGTCTCTCTTTATCCAGTCTATGTTTCCATGGACAGGACAATCATCACACTGAAGCACAGATATGCTATTGCTTCTTCTTCCCTTAAAAGAATTACATGGGCCAGTCAGAATGGTACCCATTAAGGACACAAAATAACAAATGTTGGCGAGGAACCCTCATGGCCTACCCTCATGCCCTGTGATGGGAATGTAAACTACTGCAACCACGATGGAAATCAGTATGGAGGTTCCTCAAAAATCTAAAAATAGGCCTTTTGTATGAACCCACCTTTCCATTAATTGGGCATATATCTGAAGGAGAGTAAATGAATACATTAGAAAGACACCTGAATATCTATGGTTATTATAGCACTGTTCATAATTGCCAAATGATGGAGAATGAGCCATGGTGTACAATAACAGATGAATGAATAAAGAAGGTATGATTTGTATGTATGTATGCATACACGCATTCATAGATGCATATTATAGAATATGAAGGCCATAATGAAAAATAACCACCTATTCAGGATGCTAAGATCTGAGGATTGTGGTTCAAAGCCAGCCTGGACAGGAAAGTTCGGTGAGACTCATCTCAAAATTAACCACCAGAAAACAAAAATTGTGGACCTGTGGTTCAAAATGGTAAAGTGCTAGCCTTGAGCAAAAAAGCTCAGGGACAGCATCCAGGCCTTCAGTTCAAGCCTCATGACCAACAAAAAAATAAATTAATTTAAAAAAATTCTATATTTTGCAGGAAAACTGATGGAACTGAATGAGATATTATTGAGTAAGATAAGCCAAACTCACAAAACAAGATATTGTGTGTTTTCACTCAGATGTGAAAGTTAGACCTAAAAGACATAGATATTCATGAATATGGAATATGGCCATACCTATATATATTTACATAACTGTATACATATTGGTAAACATAGAACATGAATCTTACTTAGGGACTAGTTAGGAAAATATGGGGAAGGAAGAGAAAAAGAAAAATAAAGGGTGAATAATTTCATAATACATTGAAACTATAAAACAGTGTAAAGAATTTTTTGTTGTTGTTGGTTGCGGGGCTTGAACTCTGGGCCTGGGCACTATCCTTCAGCTCTTCAGCTCAAGGCGAGCGCTCTACACCTGAGCCACAACACCTCAACACTTCCGATTTTCTGAGTGGTTTATTGGAGATAAGAGTCTCATGGACTTTCCTGCTCAGGCTGGCTTTAATCGGAGATCCTCAGATCTCAGCTTCCTGAGTAGTTTGAATTTCAGGCATGAGCCAGCGGTGTTGGGCTGCTGTGGAAATTCTAATGAGATATTTGGTTACACATTCTGATAACTGCAGCCTAGTCAGAGGAAAGATGAAAACATTAGGAGCTAACATCTCAGTGGAGTTTACAGTTCTGTTTGGGCAGTACAGGAGGTGTAACTGAAAATCAGCATGAGTTATCCTAGTGGAGGTGAATGAAGGGTTGGAGATGCTGAGTCCTAAGAGTATTCTTAGACTAAGAACAGTTCTAGAATTATAAGCTGAGTATTGGTTTCGTACTGTATATGTATCATAACTCTTCTATTTGGAGGAAAGTCTGTTCATCAGTCAGCCCCTAAACCTAGCACCAAGAGCTACCTGCTTTGCGCCTGCTTTGTGCTCTGTACTAAGTTCTATGGAATATATAAAAATGTGAGAGCTATCTTTCATTTTTAAAATTTTTTTTACACTCAGCCGGGCGCTGGTGGCTCACGCCTGTAATCCTAGCTACTCAGGAGGCTGAGATCTGAGGATCGCGGTTCAAAGCCAGCCTGGGCAGGAGAGACCGTGAGACTCCTATTTCCAATAAAAACCACCAGAAAACCGGAAGTGGCGCTGTAGCTCAAGTGGTAGAGTGCTCGCCTTGAGCTGAAGAGCTGAGGGACAGCGCCCAGGCCCAGAGTTCAAGCCCCATGACTGACCAAAAAAAAAAAAAAAAAATTTTTTTTACACTCCCCACCCCCTGGAACAATCTTTCATTTTTTCTCTCATATTACTCCTGAAGAAAATTTGGAAAATAGTATATCTTTGTGTATTTTTAGGTTTCCATCTGAAAAACATTTTATCTTATGTTTAATTGTCCAAAATATAATTTCTAGAATTTCTAGTTTATTCTAAGATTGAACTGCTTTAGCTATTCTGGGTCTTTTATACTTTCATATGAATTTCTGTATCTTTTTTTTTTTTTAATGAAGAATGTTACTGGGATTTTGATGGGAACTGAATTAAATCTATAAATCACTTTCAGCAATATAGCCATTTGACAATATTAATTCTGTCAATCTATGAATGAGGAAATTCTTTCCATCTTCTAATATCTTCACTTTTTTTGGTCAGTCATGAGACTTGAACTCTGAGCCTGGGCACTGTCCCTGAACTCTTCAGCTCAAGGCAAATGCTCTACCACATGAGCCAGAGCGCCACTTCCCATTTTCTGGTGGTTAATTGGAGATAAGAGTCTCACGGACTATCCTGCCCTGGCTGGCTTTGAACCATGATCCTCAGTTTTCAGCCTCCTGAGTAGCTAGGATTACAGGCATGAGCCACCAGCGCCTGGCTAATATCTTCATTTTTTAACAATGTTTTATAGTTTCAATTGCAAAGGCCTATCATTCCCTATGTCAAATTTACCCCTAGGTTTTTTTTTTTTTTTTTTTTTTTTGAGGCTATTGTGAATGTAATTGTTTTCCTTATTAAACTCTACATTCAGTATGTAGAAAAGCTATTGATTTTTGTATGCTGACTTCATATCTTCCTATTTTTAAAAGTGTTTCAAGATCTAATCTTTTTTCTTCCGTTTCTTTCACTTTTTATTCTTTTTGGGTGGCTGTGGTGGTGGATGTAATACTGACACTTTCATTTAGGGCTTGTGCTTGCTAGGTAGGCATTTCATCACTTGAGACACAGGTTAATAAGTCCCAGAATTTAATAGTTTTGATGGAGACTTTAAGGTCTTTTGAGTATAAGATCACATCATCTGCAAATAAAAATTAAGCTTTTCATCAAGCTTTTCTGTTTATCTCCTCTTTTATTGCTGTGGCTAAGAACTCAAGCACTATATTCAGTAAGAGTGGAGACAGTGGTCACCCTTGCCTCATTCCTGACTTTAGAAGAAATGTTTTCAATTTTTCCCCATTTAGTACTTTTTTTTTTTTTTATTATATTGAGGTATTTTCTAGCTCTTGTTTCCTGAGGGTTTTTATTATGAAGAGATATTACATTTTACCTTTTATTATGTTTTATGTTTGTTTAAGGATTTTCATGTGTGGACTCATCTTTGCATACTCAGAATCAAAGCAACTTGGTTATGTGCCAGCTGCCAACTGGAAATGTGCTGCTGAATATATTTTACAAGTATTTCATTAAGCATTTTTGTGTCTATGTCTAGGGAACTGGTCCACAGTCTTTGAACTGTGTATTTATTTAGTTGATAGCTTCATATAATCAGTTTCTTAATATTCCTCCTTTTTCTATTTTATGAAATAGTTTGAGCATTGGGGTGTGTGCTTTAAAAGTATGGCAGAATTCAGCCATGAGTCTATTTGGTCCAGAGCTCTTCTTATCTAGGAGACTATTACTTCTTTGGTTTAATTTAGTAATTTTTTTTTGGGGGGGGGGGGTGGTTGTGGGGCCTGAACTCTGGGCTTGGGCGCTGTCCCTTAGCTCTTCAGCTCAAGGCTAGCACTCGACCACTTGAGCCACAGTGCCACTTCTGGCCTTTTCGGTTTATGTGGTGCTGAGGAACCGAACCCAGGGCCTCAAGCATGCGAGGCAAGCATTCTACCACTGAGGCACCTTCCCAGCCCATAGGAAATATTCCATTTCTTCTCCAATTTCTTCAGAGGCCCACTAACCATTCAAAAATACATCTTTCTATGTGTTGGTAGTGTTTCCTTTCAGTGCATAGGAAAGTAGATACAGCAAACAAGAATCATCAGTTGTTCATTGAAGGGGAAGAATTAGAGGATGGGGCATTGTGCCTGCTGGTCTCCCGAGCTTTCAGACCTGCCCAGCCACAAGTCTCCACGAGCGGGGGAGGAAGCTGGGCACAGAGCATGGTCTGCCTGGCAGCAACCACACTTGACAGGAAGGCAACTCTGGAGACCCAGTCATCCTTTAGCCACAGCCTTGGGTTTTCAAGTCTTTGTGGAGCTTCACAAGCAATGGGGCTCATTTCATGCTAATGTCAAGGTCATCAATCACCACACCCTTCACAGTCTGGGCTTACCACTACTCAGTGTTCACAGCAGGTCTCAGTTTGACTTTTCTCTCCTAGCTGTGTCCCACCTAAGCAGAGTGTGTGTGTGTGTGTGTGTGTGTGTGTGTGTGGTGTGTGTGTGTGTGTGTGTGTGTGTGTGTGTGGTGTGTGTGTGTGTGTGTGTGTGTGTGTGTGTGTGTGTGTGTGTGTGTGTGTGTGGATTTCCATGATGCTCCCTGACTTGGAAATGTTCCTTGTTTTCAGGTTCTTCTATGGTTTCCTCTTTTTTTTTTTTTTTTTTTCCCCTAGCGCTGTACCACTTGAGCCACAGCGCCACTTCTGGCTTTTTTCTTTTTTCTTATGTGGTGCTGAGGAATTGAACCCAGGGCCTCATGCATGCAAGGCAAGCGCTCTACCACTGAGCCACCTTCCCAGCCCTTGTTTTCAGGTTCTTAAAGAGTATTTCAGTCTCAGTCAATAGGTTCCCCCTCAGGATGGTACATAGCTAGAGCTCTCACCTGTGAACTTTCTATATTCCACAGTGCTTTGTACATAGCAGGTACTAAAAACATTGTTAAGTAATTTGTATATTGGTAAGATGCTAATACTTATCATTTCTTGTAAAATTTTGTGGTAAGAACTCAACCATTGTGTCACTAGAGACCAAACAGCACGTGAAGAAGTCCTCACAGAAGGGTCACGAGGAGAAAAAGATGAGCTGTTTACCTCTTGTTCCTAAGTAAGCTTCAAATTGACAGCCAGTACCAGCTTGCCAGCCTTATGAACATATCATTTAGAAAGGACATCTTTTTAATACCTAGTCAACATACTCTGAGACTATGTGAAACAGATGAACCTTCCTCACATCCTCACAGACTACATTCTGGGTTTAGTATATAGTATAGTCAATACAATTATTTTAAATAAGACATAATTAATCCCAACTTAGTAGTAAAGCTGAACTGAAAGAGAAAGGCGAGGGAAATGAAATGATAAAGAGAGGGAAGGCTAAAGATATAGCTTAGTGGTAGATCACATGCTTAGTAATCCTAAGACTCTAAGTCTGATCCCCAATGCTGTAATCAAACCAAACCAACCAACCAACAGAATCACATTTAGGCCAGGTGCAGTGGTGTACACCTGTAGCCCCAGCACTTGTAAAGCAGAGGAAGGAAGATCATCAGTTCAGGCCAGCCTGAACTACATAGTAAGACCCTATCAAGATATAAGACAATAGCTGGGTGCTGGTGGCCCTATAATCCTAGCTACTCAGGAGGCTAAGATTTGAGAATCACGATTCAAAGCCAGCCCAGGCAGAAAAGTCCTGTGAGACTCTTATCTCCAAAACACCAGAAGTAGAGCTGTGGCTCAAAGGGGTAGAGTGCTAGCCTTTAGAATAGCTCAGGGACAGTGCCCAGGCTCTGAGTTCATGGTGACCAACAAAAGGGAGAAAAAAAAGATCAGACAAAACACGATTTCACAGATTTTCAATGCTAGAGAAAGTAAAGGAAGGATGTACTCTTTCAAAGTCATATAGTCATCCTTCAGAATATAAGAGAACTAGCTTAATAAATAATCTTATTTGAAGAGCTAGAAAAGCCTCTGTCTAGTTCAAACATTTTCAGTATTGAAAAAAATACCTAAAGAGGTGAGATCAAGTGATGCAGGTCTTGGGCCCAATGCCTGCCTTACCAGCCCTGCCGGAGGTGAGAGTTTAGGGAGAAGGTACCACCACTACATAATAAAGAAACAGCTGTCCCAACTCCCATGTAAAAGAAAAATACTCCTGGATTATTAAAGAGAAGTTTAATTTGAAAGCCACAGAGATCAAGGCACAAGAGAAAGTGACATAAAATGTAAGCAGGGAATGAATGGAGCAATATCTGAGGATGACCAGAGACATTTTCCAAAACGAAGAATTCCACAGAAAGTACTATTTGAAGAAAGCTGGCTCCTCTACAGTAATGAAGTAGAATATGGGCAGTGAAAAGAATATATAATTTGTTACATCTTCCTTATCAAATATTCAAGTAGGTATTAAACTGGCAAAGTCTAGGGGCGCTAACTAAACTATTAGAAAGAATTAACTAGAAAAAGCCTTACCCTTCTGCTGGTCACTCACTTACTTCTCTCATGGAGAGTAAGCCCTTTCCACATCATTTATTATACTCCCTTGGAGGACAAAGCACCTAAAATGCCAAGAAGTGGATGAATGCAGAACTCTGGGATGCTTTTATCTATATTCTGGAGATAATATTTCAAATAATAATTGTATATTTTATTAAAAATAAGCTTACTCACTTACAAATACATTTCATCCAGATCTAAGGTTCACAAATTTGACTAAACAGAACTAGAACTCCTCAGCAAATCCTCCAGAAAAATAATATACATAGGAAAAGTGGGTACCGGGTGCTATGCTATATGGTTGAGTTAAGAAGATCTTTCATAAAAAGTAAAGCATATGACACTTCAAAATCAGGCAATTTTGATAATCAGACTGCCATCATCAATTCAACACCTCAGTTATAATAATCTACGACATGTACAATAAGTGCATTATTTCAATTATGTTCCTTGGTTAACATTTGTTTATATCATGCAATTTTAAAATATCAGATTATAGGAATAGAAAAAAAGAACATAGAAAAGAAAGAAGTAGAAGTAAAAAATAGCCTCCTGGAAGAATTCTTATCATGGAGAAAACAAAGCAAAATGTAACTGTCCCTCTAAGGCTTTGTTTAATCTCTTGTCTCTAGTCACAAAGTTGGCAATTTGACTCCACTGCAACATTCAAGACCAACATTTCAAGGAAAAGTTTTACATGCTGTGACTGCCAAAAGTATATAAAAGATTTCTAAAACTGATCATTAAGATCAAGTATCTATCAATGCTCACCCAGGACTCTACTTTCTAATAAAAGTATTGAATAAATACTAACTAAATTCTTATACTGAAATAACACAAAGGAGATGACAAATATTTACCTGGTCCCTGTTGTTGATATTTGAATAAGGTAACTGGCCAGTCATCAATTCATACAAAACAATTCCAAATGCATACACATCTGACTGAAAGCTGTATGGGTTTTTATCTTGCATTCTGATTACTTCTGGTGCCTGTTAGAATAGAAGAAAACATTTGAGGTTATTCTTCTAGTGAATGAAGATTTCTGAAATACAAACTATGATAATTTCCAGAGTACTGCTAGATCACAAAAATCCCCCACCCACTATGTAAATAATTCTATTAATGGCCAAAGAAATAAAAACCATTAAGATGAAGGGAAATAAAGAAAAAGCAACTCTTAAAGAGGCTATTTTACCTGATTTTCTATAATACATTACTGAGATTTTATTGCTATGACTCTCCTTTCCAAGAAAATATCACTATTGTCATTTGAATATATTCCAAAACTAACCGTACCAGAATCAGTTTCCACTTCCCATTCCTGATTCAGCAAAGAAATACTAGACCTGTGGTTGTTAGAAGGCTTGGAGCAGGCACAACTACTGTAGTAATTGTCTTAAGACTTAAAATTTCTCATTGGGATCAGTGATTTTCCTTATTCTCAGGGTACTTTAACAAAAGTAACAGCAGATAGATTTAGTAGAAGTTTGTGTAAAGAATGTTTTGGTTGCTCCTTCTTGGGAAAACAGATCAAATCATACTTGCTGTAATGAAACACACACACACACACACACACACACACACACACACACACACACACACACACACACACACACACACACACACACACACACACACACACACACACACACACACACACACACTTTTTGCCAGTCCTGGGACTCCAATTCAGGGCCTGGGCACTGTCCTTGAGCTTCGTTTGCTCACAGTTAGTGTTCTATCACTTGGGCCATAGAGCCACTTTTTGCTTTTCCTGAGAATTTACTGGAGATAAGGGTCTCATGGACTTTTCTGCCTGGGCTAGCTTTGAACTGTGATCCTCAGAACTTGGCTTCCTGAGTAGCTACAGGTGTAAGCAACCAGAGCCTGGCCCTAGATTTCTTAATTACATAAAGTACAGTAAATGACTGGTAACAATTAGCTTCTTTCACTTTGCACCTCTTGCACGGTTTTGTTAAAAAAAAAAAAAGTGAAAGGATATATTAATTTGATAGCAAAAGCAGTACCAATTGCAAAAATAGTTGGAAAACAAGATTCTTGTTACTAGACCTTACATAAGGAAAAATGTCATTCAATTGCATATGAAAGGCAGAATCACCCACTGAACACTTAAACTTCTCTGCTAACTGCACTCCAGCCCAGGGACAGATCAGAACCTGGTGGTGGGACCCAGATATTTTTAGTCTGCAAAGCCCCCCAGATGACATCTATAGTCCAATAAAAAATTTCAAACCATGGATAGAATATCTGTGTGAGGCCAGGCGCCGGTGGCTCACGCCTGTAATCCTAGCTACTCAGGAGGCTGAGATCTGAGGATCGCGGTTCAAAGCCAGCCCGGGCAGGAAAGACTGTGAGACTCCTATCTCTAATAAACCACCAGAAAACTGGAAGTGGCACTGTAGCTCAAGTGGTAGAGTGCTCGCCTTGAGCTGAAGAGTTGAGGGACAGTGCCCAGGCCCAGAGTTCAAGCCCCACGACTGACAAAAAAAAAAAAAGAATATCTGTGTGAGATCCTGAAGGGAGTCAGAGAGAAAGTCTTATATACTTGGTTGTGTCATATATTTTGTTGAGAGATACTTTTTAGTAATATAGTATATCAAATAAACTGATAAAATGAACAAGTCATAATGCTGAGAGGGACTGCTGATAAACACATAGTTTTCAGTCTGAAGTGATTTGTTTGAGGATCAGAATGTACATCTGTTTAAGAACAATTCTTTTTTTTGGAATTTAGTTTTATTTGCTGTTGTTTGGAAATGTCTTGATATGAAGTTGTACCATCTATTTAAAGTCTACTTAAAAATATGTTACTGATTTTCAACTTAGTGATTTTGTAAAAATATTTTACAAAGGTTTCATTTTAACATCAAACAAAAGAAAGTGGAGAAGACCACTATAATAATTCAGAGGTGGCTGGAGGTATGGTAGAACAAGCAAGCCAAGAACATAAAGCCCTGAGTTCAAACCCCAGTATCACAAGAACAAACAACCCCCCCCCCCAAAAAAAAAAAAAAAACACACACCCAGGACAATATAACCTTAGTTTTGGACAAATTATTCTCTCTGAAAACATCGACCCAAAAGATTTAATAATGAAGCATATGATTTAGTCTAGTCTCTTATCCTAAAATTCAGCATGGCAGAATAAAAGAATTCATATATCCAGGTGTCAACAAAAAAGTAAACAGAAGGAAATACAAAACTTCCTACGTAATATTCTATTAACTACATAAGCTAAGGTTTTTGAAAAATTAAGGACAAATCTGAAGATTTGACTGAGCTCAGTTCTTCCATTTTAGTTCAAATAAATACATCTTTAAAGCAAGTGAGTGGTTTGTTTTTAGTTTTAGGGTCTATGATTTCAGCACTGAAAATGCCACTCCTCCCATCATCTTAGGATTCACTGTCATATTTGTTACAGCCAAGTGCCTGGCAACCAGGACTTTAACTATTAAGATTTTTTTAAACTTTGGTTTGATCTCAGGGCCTTGTGCTCATCACTTGACTCATACCCCCAGTCATTTTTATTTTTCAGATAGGTTCTTGTGCTTTGACTTGGGTTTGGCCTGTCAATGATCCTCCTACTTCTATCTCCCATACAGCTGGGATTACAGGTGTGAACTATCATACCTAGCTTGAACCATGATCCTTCCCTTCTTTGCCTTGAGATTATAATTAGCCTCTCATTTATACTTAGTAATTAAAATTATTAAAAATTTAAAATCATACTATAATTACTGAATCTTAGCAAAGGCCTAAGAAGTCTACTAGCCCAACACAATATTTTATATGAGGTAACTTAGAGGAGGTTAAGACATCTGTAGGTTAATGACTAGAGTAATATAGTATAGGTCTCCTAACTTAAGAGTCTCCTAATGTCCTTTATTCCCCTTTGCCACTTTCCCTTATTTCATTTATTTGTCACAAATAATGATATTCAATTTAACCCTATGCTTAGCTTGATACTCAAACTACTGTCTTAGAATTTCCTTCTTGGGGACTGCTACTCCATGTAGTCAGGGAATTTAGGCAGACTGCTTTGAAAATAATTTCAACTTTTCTGCTTTCAGCAGGCCATCACAAAAGTCCTAAGTGTAGATTAAATTATTAAAAACTTAAATTTGTACCACAGATTTTTAGGACACCTTGTATTTACATTAGAGCTGTGGCCTTCAAATTCTTTGATTTCAGGACTTCACTCTTAATTACTGAACATAGCCAGGCACCAGTGGCTCACGCCTGTAATCCTAGCTATTCAGGAGGCTGATATCTGAGGATCCTGGTTCAAAGCCAGCTTGGGTAGGAAAGTCTGTGAGACTCTTATCTCCAATTAACCACCAGAAAACTGGAAGTGGTGCTGTGGCTCAAAGTGGTAGAGCATTAGCCTTGAGCAAATGAGCTTAGGGACAGTTCCCAGGTCCTCAGTTCAAGCTCTATGACCAACAGAAATAAACTATTGAACATACCCAGGTGCCAGTAGCTCATGCCTGCAATCTTCATTACTCAGAAGGCTGAGATCTGAGAACTGAGGTTCAAAAGCCAGATTGGGTAGACAAATCCTCAAGTTCCTTACCTCCAACTAACTAGCAAAAGCCAGAACATTTTGAGCATTGACATTTTCAACCGACAATTTTGAATAAAATGGAAATACTGCATAATAAATGTTATCATGAAACTAATTTTGTAATATTCTTCTTAAAGATACAGAAACATTAAAACTTATTTACATAAAAACTAGAGCAGCATTGACTTTTGTAAATAGTGGGAATTACAAAAAATATTGTATCTTAAGTCTTCAATGACTTTCTAGTAACTCAGAAGCATCTCAGGATCCAAAAATTTAATCAATAGAAAAACAGCCTCAATTCTTACCATCCACAAAATAGATCCAGACAACTGTTCAAACTGATGGGACCCACTCCATCGAGATTTCACTGTGGCTAGACCAAAATCACCTATTTTTACCGTGAGGTCTTCATGAAGAAATATATCTGAGGTGTAGTAAGTAAAGGAAAAAAAGTAGATCTCATTTCCTATTAGAGCAAGCATTTTGAAGATGTTAGGTAAGAGATCTAGTTTCTATAAATCTATAATATGTTCTTTTTAAAAAGAGTACTTAAAAAAATGAGTTAGTTCTCTTTAGCTTATATGATTTGCTTTAAATATTTTTATGGACTTAAAATGTATGATAATGAGATGAGATGCTTTCCTGAGCCCATGGGAGACCCAAAACCTTTTAATTTGATTCCGGTCAGATGCAGATCGAGGTACCAGTTAGCACTGCTGTAAGCAGCTAAGGCTCTTTATTAGATTAAGATGGCATCAGACAGGATCTAAGTCTGGGCTTCGTAAAAAAAAAAATTTTTTTTTTTTCACCTCACTATCCTGTAATTTTAGAGCCTTCAGTTTTCTACTGCTACTTAGCAAGGTCAGGGGGCTGAAGTATACTAGTATACAGCCACAAAAATTCATTTCATAATGCAGACAGAATGTAAACAAGCAATCAGAAAAGTCTTATTAGTATAGACTTTTGGTTCCATCTTCTTGTAGTGCCTATTCAAAAACAAAAAGCAGGTAGATGCATCCTGCTATTATACTCTCATGCAAACTAATTTATTTTCTTTACAGCATACTGAACTTAACATGAAGACTTTTTACATAATGTGAAGACAAAATGCAGAAGAAAAAGTCAGGATGTTTTCGAACTTCGAAGACCAATTTCAGGAAGGATACTATTACTCTTGAGGTCTCTGTGGATGATTGACTTGGCGTGTAAATAACTGAAAAACAAAACATCATTTTAACCTGAGTAGGGCTAATTGCTTCTAGCCTCAAACTCTACAGAACATATTCAGTGATGTAAAGACTTATTAGAATCATGATACAAATGAAATCTGTACAATTTGATAACTTCTTTACAATGTATTAAAATTGACTGTAAATAAATTTAGGATTATTAAGACATACTACTATTCTGTACAAACAGAATCTTTTCTATTAAGACTTGTACTTTACCTTTTTACTAGTTATAACTTTCCACTCCATTAATGTCTACTTATTCACATCCTTGAACTATAGTTTAATACTTAGATTCTACCTCTGTGTTAAATGCTCCCCTCTTGAACCTATCTCCCAAATAAGCTTTCAATATATTTTTCACTTATTCATACCCATCCTTTTAGATCATGGCATTATTTAACTCCTGACTGAAGCTTTCCTATGACTAATCCAATAATCTTTCACTATTCATTTTATGTGGAAGTTGTAACAGCTTGATTCATGTTTTTTCCATGTTCCTATTTTGTTATTTACAATTCAAACTCCATAAGAATATGAAAGTTAGTAAATTGTAGTTTTGAAATATATTCTTAAAATCTTATTAAAACTAGGCAGGAGCAAATATCCTCTATAATGATCACAAGGGATCTATTTTAAAATCAATGATAAAGTTAAATCAACTATGACATCTTTGAAAACTGCTTTAGTTGTATTCACTGAGGGAAAGAAAGGTCGGTGTTTAGGTTACTTCCATTTGTCCTCATTGCCTGGTAGGGGCCTCCTATGTGTGAAGTTTCATTATATACCTGTTGAATAGACTACTACATGATGCATACAGTGTCTTAGTTATTTTTCTTTATTTAATACTAACTAGGAAAAGCAAATATATGAGATTTCTTAGATCAACAATGACTACTAAGAAAAAAGTTGGACTTTTATTTTTCTTCTAAATGTTGGTTCTGGGGGCTTGAACTCAGGCCTGGGTAATATCCCTGAGAATTTTTGCTCAAGTTTAGTGCTTGGGCTACAACTCTATTTCTGGCTTTTTTGGATAGTTATTTGGAGTCTCATAGACTTGCCTGTCTGGGCTGGTTTGGAAAGACCATCCTCAGATCTCAGTCTCCTGAGTGGCTAGGATTGTAGGTGTGAGCCATCAGTGTCTGGCTGGACTTCTATTTTTACCACTTTGGTTACAGACGCGTTACAGAAAGAGAATTATGAAATTAGGTAAAAAAAATAAACTACATAAAAAAATTATACAAGCTAAAGGAGGGTACCACCTCCAGGGGAGGAACCCAAAGGTATATCTTCTCTGAACACTTAAAATATTATTTATTTACACAAATTCCAGGAAATGGAAACATGAGTGTTTTTGTTCTTGTTGTTGGAGGGAGTATTTGTTTTTGCTTTTGGGTCTTTTTTTATTTTAGGAGGGCAAAGAGGGGCCACAGAAAGGGAGGGAGGAATGGTGAACAAATGCAATCATAATATTCGGTATACACAATGTGGAAAATGACCTATGTAACTTGTGGGCAGGCATGGGAGGGAGAAACTGGGGGAAAAGCAAAAGAAGCGGTGACACTGTCCAAGAATGTATTCATTACCCAATTCATGCAATGGCAACTCCTCTTATTAATTAAAAAACACACAAGAAATAAGGTATGTTTTGTTTGTTTGCTCTTGGAGGTTGTTCTTTTTTTTTTCTTTTTTTAGCAAAAATTATAGGAAAACTAATTAGGTGAAGAATGCTCTTCCAGTAGACCAAAGGAAGGTTTCTAGGATTATAAGGACAATTTTATCTTTACTCTAGCCCAAGTTTATTGAAGTGTGAGAGGCTTGTGGGGCAGTCACTGTCCAGGGGTTGTGGTTGTTTACTGGATTAGACCTGACCCCCAGAGCTATTGTTTCAGAAACTATTTTGTTGACTCGCCTTAGGCTGGAATGATTCCTTTCAATAATCCTTAGGTGGTGGTATACTCAAAACCCAAGGTTGTGACATTCTTTGACCTTGTTGTTCTACTTTAATCTTACAACTCACCAGAAAGCTGAAAATTTTTCTCTCAGAGACCTTGTGATCACATCCACAATTTAAGGTCCTTTTGAATGTCCTCAGTGCTTACTTGTTCCTCCCTGCCCCCCTCTCCCCAAAATACGAAGTCAAAGTCAGTCTTTGGCTGTTAACTGATGGTCTAGATTAGGAGCGTCTTGCTGTTGCTCTGTCTATGAGGGCAATGATCTACAGGGCCCTTGTTAAAAACACATCCTTTTAGCCTGGTGCCTTTGGCTCATGCCTGTAATACCAGCTACTCAGGAGGCTAAGATCTGAGGATCACGGTTCAAAGCCAGCCCGGGCAGGAAAGTCTGTGAGACTCCAATAAAAACCACTAGAAAACTGGAAGTGGCATTGTGGCTCAAGCGTTAGAGCACTTGCCGTGAGCTGAAGAGCTGAGGGACAGCGTCCAGGCCCAGAGTTCAAGCCCCACGTCCGACAAAAACAAAACAAAAAAACAAAAAAAAAACCCCCAAACCAAAAAATAACAACCCCCCCCAAAAAAACCCCACATCCTTTTGAGATCACAGTCAGTCTGAGTTATGTTAAAAGCTAGAAAAATGAGATAGGTATTATACCTAGTCCCTGTATCATGTTTCAGAATAATTACTGCCCTAAACAATTCTATACAAATTGACAATGAAACCATTTCTTGAGTACCAAATGGTTTCCATATAAACCATGAAACAAAAAACCCCAAAACTATGTAACTGGTTAGGGGGCAGCAGCAATAAACTGAATGGTCTATAATAAACTTCAATAATAAACCAGATACAGAATACTATACTTTCTACTCTTTAGTGTAGAATTCTAAATAATGGTCCTCTCCTCCCCTTTAAAGTTGTTAAGGAAAGGGCACAGGTTTATAGCAATACCAGGAAAGAACAACATACCTACATAAGTATGACATTTCCTTCTCAGGATTCTCTTAGGACTATCCTTCCTAGGATAAAATGTCCACTTACAGAAGCACTTTTATTGTTTGTTGTTTTGTTGGTTGTGGGGCTTGAACTCAGGGCCTGAGTGCTCTCCCTGAGTTCCTTGCTTAAGGATAGTGCTCTACTTTTTTGAGCCACAGCTCTATTTTGCAGAATCACTGTATAGCAGCAAAACCATCTGACCAAATCTGTTCTCTTCCAAGCTCTTATACAAGGATCACTTTCCAACCAGCTTTGTAGAGAACATGATAGCTCGAACTAAGTACAGTTAATTCAGATTTAGCCAGCACAAACTAGAGTGAAGTTTTCATCTTCACCTCATAAAAATTATGAAATGAGTCATATTCACTCTAGACAATAAGATTATTTTCAGTTTGAACTGGAAATACTTTTGTACACTTAACACGTGGGTATAACCTTATATTTTGTAGACATGGCCTCAACTTGTAAAAACATAAAAATAGGGTTTAAAAGATCAACATGATCATGTTGTCTTCATCTAAGTCATTTTGAAATATATTCATAATATTCAAGAGTAATGAAGACAGAAAATTGCTATCTTCTCAAGGATGATCATCTGATTGTGAACCTGGTTAAATTTGGCTATTGATGCTACATTTTCTTGGCCTTATCTTTAAGACTACATAAGAGGTATCATTCAAATGGCTTCCTGAAATTCAAATACTGTGGCACACTATCTGGCTGCTTTACTAACCTAGTCTATCTGGAAAACCTCTGAGTGGCTCATAAAAGTTTAGTTTTATTCTCTTGTATTTCTAAAATCTTAGATTAGGTACTAGTTAGGTCTCATACATGTCATACATTTTTAAAGCTAATTCTATAAAAGTTCATCAGACTTCAGGCATAAAAGTGAATCTCTTCTAGATATCCTAGCCAATAATGGAGAATTTAGCTACTGTCTGGGCTGGTAGTATGACCACAGTGACAGTGTCCTCCTTCTATTCTGATGCCCTCTGGTCCCTTCACAATCACAACATGAAAAGGAAGACTGAAGGGAATACCATTCTGCTACTTCTCTTATTTACCATTAAAAAAATAATAAAATCATCACTGGGCAATCTGTCTCACACCTGTAATCCTAGCTACTCAGGATAGAGGTTCAAAGCGAGTCTGGGCAGGAAAGTCTGTGAGACTTTTTAATCTCCAATAAAGCACTCAGAAAACCAGAAGTGGTGCTGTGGCTCAAATGGTAGAGTGCTCCCTTGCCTTAAACTGAAGACACTTAGCTCAGTGGCAGAGTGCTTGCCTCGCATGCATGAGGTCTGGTTCAATTCCTCAGCAACACATATGTAGAAAAAAGCTGGAAGTGGTGTTATGGCTCAAGAAGAGCTGAGGGACAGCGCCCAGGCCCAGAGTTCAGCCCCCATGACCGACAAAAAAAAAAAAAAAAGAAAATAAACTAGTGTTTCTATATATAATTTTTTTTTGGTAGTACTGAAGTTTGAACTCAAGGCTTTGCCACGCAGGCACTCTGCCACTGACCCATGCCTCTTGACCTTTTTTTGCAATCATTATTTTGAGATAGGGTCTTGCTTCTTCCTGGGTAGGCCTAGATAACAGTCCTCCCAATCTCAGATTCCCACATAGCTTGGGTAACATGACACCAATGTGTGCGTGCGAGAGGCTGAGTTTGTGTGGGGTATGGTTCAAAGGCAGCCTGGGCAGAAGAAAAAGTTCAGGAGACCACCTACTCAATCAATAATTGAACTCAATCAATAATTGAACACAATAATTTATCGACAATATTCTTGAAATACTTTGGCTTTTGGATTGAATCAGTGACTGGCGGGTGAGAACATGATAAAACATACTTTGTAAACCCCAATTCCTTAGAGTGAATCTATAATTACCTACCACAGGAATACTGCTCTCTTCAAGTGAACCTAAGAATTGGAAATGATCTTTAAGATACCAAAAGACGTACCCACATAGGAAAAAAGTCACCCATCCATTGTTTGTTCATATTTTGTAATTCCATAAAATATACACATTGGAATATTATATTGTTTTAACTTTTCTAGTTCTTAAAGGTTTGACCTTTTAAGTGAGTGCAACCTAGACAATTATTTAATGAGTCAATTTATCCAATGTTCTTACTCTGCTCACTTGTTGGGACTTTGAATTCTGCACAAGTCATATAGAAAATGTTCAGGGGACAAAAGATTCTGAAGTGAGGCACAGACACACATGCACGCACATACACACGTATACAAACACCAAAAAGAAAAAAGAAAAAAAGAGAAAAGAATGGGTATAGACGGGGACAGAAGTGGATTATTGACAAGTTAATTATATGAAGTGAACAGAAACGACTTCTCTCTCTCTCTTTCTTTTTGGTCTGTTGTGGGGCCTGAACTCTGGGCTTGGGCGCTGTCCCTGAACTTTTTAGGTCAAGGCAAGAATTCTACCACTTGAGCCACAGTGCCACTTCTGGTTTTCTAGTGGTTTACTGGAGATAAGAGTCTCACGGACTTTCCTGCCTGGGCTGGCTTTGAACCACAATCCTCAGATCTCAACCTCCTGAGTAGCTAGGATTACAGGCATGAGCCATTAGCGCCTGGCCGGCTTCTCTTAAAAGGAAACATTTAAAAGCTTGGTGTTGGTAGCTCACTCCTCTAATCCTAGCTACTATGGAGGCTTAGTAGGCTGATCTGGAAGATCAATGTTTGAAGTCATCTCAGGCAGATTCCAATTCCAACTGACCAGCAAAAAGCCAGAGTGGAGTCATGGCTCAAGTGGTAGAGTACCAGTTGTGAGCAAGCAAGCCAAGCAAGTATAAGGCCCTGAGTTCAAATGTTCTGGACTGAACACCTCTCTCAAAACAAACACTGAAAAAGAAAAAAAAGAGGGACATTTGAAAAGAGAAATAATATTTAGAGCACAAATATCCTAAAGAGGAAAGGACACGTATGAAGTGCTGAGGGAGGAACATCTTGGCCTGCTGGAGACACAGTACACAGACAGTTCTTAAGAGAAAAGCTTCATTTCTCTCTCAATGTTTACAACTTGTTTCTCACTGTTATGATAGAAAAATCTTAATACAATCTTTTAGATTTGGCCAGATTCAGATTCTAACTTACCTAAAGCCTGAGATTGATTTAAACATAGTAGGTAAGTATAAATGTTACTGAATAAGGCAATAATTTGCTGTAAGGAGCATTTTGGCTCAACATAGGTTTGTAGATAGTTTGTATTACAGATATACTACCTAGTAGGTTTTGTTTGTTTTTACTGGTCCTGGGGCTTGAATTCTAGGCCTGGGTGCTGTCCCTGAACCTCTTTGTGCTCAAGTCTAGTGCTCTACCATTTGAGCCACAGTGCCGCTCCCGGTTTTTTTCTAGGTAGTTTATTGGAAATATAGTGTCTCAGTGACTTTCCTGCCCAGGCTGGCTTCAAACTGTGATCCTCAGATCTTAGTCTCCTGAGTAGCTAAGATTATAGGGGTAAGCCACTGGTGCCTGGCTACTGCCTAGTTTTGAGTCAGGGAAGGTGGTAGGGGGGAAATTAAAGAATTAGATCTGGCTTGAGTTGTGGTTCCTTATTTACTTGCCCTGAGTGATCAAGTCAAGAGTTTTAGACATTAGTACATATATATACTTATACTCTTTATTCCAGTTCTACAGGGTACAAGTAGTATAGTAGTTATAGATCAAGGGCACTGGAATTACAATTCTGCGTCAAAAGTCAAAACACTGGCTGCCACTTACTATGTGAAGCCTCAGAAAAGCTACTTAAAAGCCTTGGTTTGCTAATCTGTGAAAAGAACAAGGTAAGAGTAAAAGGATTAACAAAATCTAAGCCCGAGAATATAATTTGCATTCTATGACATTAAAATAAGGTACATATTTTAAAACTACTTATACAGCTTAAATTTATATCTTACAAAGTTTGTTTTTCATCTAACTACTTTCAAGTTTGTTTTTGGGTGGGATTTGAACCCAGAGCCTGAGAGCTGTCTCTGAGTTCTTTTGTTCAAGGACAATGCTCTATCACTTTGAGCCACAACTCTACTTCTAGCTTTTTGGGTGATTAATTGGAGATAAAAGTTTCACAGATTTTCCTGCCCAGGCTGGTTTTGAATGGCAATCCTCAGATCTCAGCCTCCTGAATAGCTAGGATTATAGGCATGAGCCACCGGCACCCAGCTTTCCACTTCTAGTTTTTAATTTTATTCTGTGTGTATGAGATGTGTGATATATATATATATATATGTGTGTGTATACATGTATATGGGTGTGTGTGTGTGTGTATATATATATATATATATATATATATACGTATATATATATATATAAAAGAGAGAGAGAGAGAGAGAGAGAGAGAGTGCATATGAGTGTTATTATGGGTTTTAGACAAATACTCTGCCATTTAGCCACATTCCCAGCTCTTATCTTTTTCTGTGGACAAGGAGAAATGCTGAGATTTGAACTCAAAGCACTGTGCTTGCTAGGTAGTCCCTTTACCACTTCAACCACAATTCCAGCCCTTTTAACCCTTTATTTTAAGGATCCAAGTAGTGTTTTGCTTAGGACCAAATTTATAAGCTTCCCATGTTGCTAGCATTATACCTGTGAATATCACTGCCTTACTAGTTGAGACTGGGGCCTTGCTAACCTTTTGCCAAGACTAGCTGCAAGCCACTATCTTCCCAGCTCTAGTCTCAGTAGATGGGATTACAGAAGTACACCAAGATGCTTAGCTAATTCTATTTATTTATTATTGTTTTCAAGTTTCTTTCTCTCTCTCTTTTTTTTTTTTTTGCCAGTCCCAGAGCTTGAACACAGGGCCTAGGCACTGTCCTTGAGCCTCTCTGTGCCAAGGCTAGCACTCTACCACTTGAGCCACAGCATCACTTTTGGCCTCTTCTGTTTATGTGGTGCTGAGGAATCGAACCCAGGGCTTCATGCATGGTAGGCAAGCATTCTACCACTAAGCCACATTCCCAGCCCCTATTTTATTATTTTTAAAATTATTTTAAAAAATCATTTACTTTTTATTTAGCTAATCTTACCACTTGAATTACCTACTTATTTGCACTTCAGAGTTAAATGCAAAACCTATCTTTCAAGTTGGTTTTTTAATTTAATTAAATTATTTATTTTTGGGTCTGGTCGTGGGGCCTGAACTCTGGGCCTGGGCGCTGTCCCTCAGCTCTTCAGCTCAAGGCTAGCGCTCTACCACTTGAGCCATAGCACCACTTCCGGTTTTTTTATTTTCTGCTTATGTGGTGCTGAGGAATCGAATCCAGGGTCTCATGCATGCAAGGCAAGCGCTCTACCACTGAGCCACCTCCCAGCCCTAGTTTTTTATTTTAAAACATAATTTTATAAACCCTATTATTTTAAATTACATAGCAAAATTTGGTATAAACATTTCATTTTAACTTTATAAACTGACCACTTTGTAACAGGACTTTTAAAAAAGAAAATTATTTGCAAGGAAAACTATTTTATATACTTCAACAACTATAATGATTTTTTAATGTTTTATTTTTTATGGCCTACTGTTCTATTTATTCATTTTTTGAGTTTCTACTACTTAGCTATACCACTGAATGCTAAATCAAAACTAAATAGTTTATGATGAAGTACTTGATATACTTTATTAGATGTTTTGAAGACTATACTAGAAAAGACTATTTTTAGTATCATATTGCTAACCACTGGTGTCCTTGTACTGCTAAATAATTTTAAATGCAGTCCCTAAGCAAAGCCTTTTACTACAGATCTTTAAAAGTAATTTGCACAAGATGTAATAGAATGTAACTTACTCCATGCCCTGTGCAGTCTGCCGTGCAATATCTATAAGTTTGATCATCTCAAATTTGGTCTCAATGATGTGCAGGTGGTGATATAAGCTGGAGCCCTCGCACCACTGGGTAACAATAGCCAGCTGTGGCTTTGTGGAATAGCCCATGAAGAGTAGGATGTTTACATGTCGTGTTTTCCTGTAAAAAAAGAAATGTGGTAGTAAATAGTAAATACCAATAAATGTTAGCAATTCTTAAAGAGAAAGCCAAGTAGTCTATCTGTAAGATGCTGCCAGAAAAAGGTATTGGAGAGGGGAAAAAGGCAATAGAATGACAATTTTTAAAAAATATATCTGACAAGCAAGTAGAGATTCTTAAATACTTTCAATTGTGGGAAGCTATTGCTTAAGAATATAGCCACCCCCACTCTTTTACAGGGTTAGTATTAAAAAGGTTTCTTCACACCTGTAATTCTAGCTACTCAGGAGGCTGAGATCTGAGGATGGAAGTTCAGAGCCAGCCTGGGCAGAAAGACTGTGAGACTCTTGATTCCAAGTAACCACCAGAAAACCAGAAGTGGAGCTGTGGCTCAAAGTGGTAGAGCACTAGCTTTGAGCTAAAGTGCTCAGGGACAGCACCCAGGCACTGGGTTCAACCTGCATGACCGACAAAAAACAAAAACAAAAACAAAAAAGTTTTCTTTAAGATGCATTGTAGGGGCTGGGAAGGTGGCTCAGTGGTAGAGCACTTGCCTTGCATGCATGAGGCCCTGGGTTCGATTCCTCAGCATCACATAAGAAAAAAGAAAAAAGCCGGAAGTGGCGCTGTGGCTCAAGTGGTAGAGCGCTAGCCTTGAGCTGAAGAGCTGAGGGACAGCGCCCAGGCCTAGAGTTCAGGCCCCATGACCAGACCCAAAAAAAAAAAAAAAAAAAAAAAAGATGCATTGTAGCCAGGTGCTAGTGGCTCATGCCTGTAATCCTAGCTACTGAGGAGGCTGAGATCTGAGGATTAAGGTTCAAAGCCAGCCAGGGCAGGAAAGTCTGTAAGACTTATCTCCAATTAACCCCCAGAAAACTGGAAGTGATGCTGTAGCTCAAGTGGTAGAACTCTTGCTTTGAGCTGAGGGACAGCGCCCAGGCCCAGAGTTCAAGGCCCACGGCCAACAACAACAACAAAAAAAAAAAAAAGAAAAGAAAAAAAAGAAAAAAAAATGCATTGTACTGGTAAATTGCATTGTTAAATAGAATCTCCTCCATACAACTACTTAAAAATTAAAATCAAAATTAAAAAATTTCTTGAGACAGTTTTCTCTAATTTTCACAACTGGTTTTGTGTTGTTGTTTTGTTTTGTTTTGCTTTCTGGAATTAGATGAATATTACATATCCTCTAGAATGTAACACCGTCTGTGAGTTAAATTTGCTCGCTTTTGTTGACCATTTATTTCCCCACTAAGTTGTTCAAGAATCTTGCTCATTTAAAGTAGTACTACCCTTGATCTACTTTTCTTTGTCAATGTTCCCAAAGTCCTTGGAACAAGGACTAAACACAACCTCAAAATGGATTCTGATGTTCTTAGAATTTTAATTTAAGGGTACTGTTTCCATAAGTGGAATTATTATCATACATGATCAGAACTCTATATTTCCACCTTTCAGTCCAGAACTTGGTCTTCTATCAGCTGTATCATAAAACAGTGAATATTATTTAAAATAATATGATGAAAGGTAAATTATAGTTAGACATGCTACACTTCTGTATCCATTTTGAGTATATTTATAAAGCTCACAGAGGGTACCACAGGAAAACAGGATGCAATAACAAGAACTTATCTCTAGAAAACAGTAATCTGCACAAGCTCACCTGAGTACTCCTACTTCATTTTTGAAGGCCTGTAACTGTTGAGGTGTAGGTGCTGTCACATTCAACATTTTCACTGCTACATCACCTAAAAGGTAATTGTCATTCCAAATGTCATTCTAATTTTTTTACATTAAAAATACAAAATATTTGTGGGTGTTCTCACTGTCATAGCCCTGTAACAGGCATTATAAAACCGCAAGTGAATTATTTATGCCATAACTACACTATTAATTTTCAATGGATTAAAAACTAAACTAACAATGTTATTCTTTTTTTTTTTTTGGGTCTGGTCGTGGGGCCTGAACTCTGGGCCTGGGCGCTGTCCCTCAGCTCTTCAGCTCAAGGCTAGCGCTCTACTACTTGAGCCACAGCGCTACTTCCGGCTTTTTTCTTATGTGATGCTGAGGAATCGAACCCAGGGCCTCAGGCATGCAAGGCAAGTGCTCTACCACTGAGCCACCTTCCCAGCCCCAACAATGCTATTCTTATACTAGGCATTTCAAAATAGCAATTTTTTTTTTTTCTTTTTTTTTTTTTGGGTCCGGTCATGGGGCCTGAACTCTGGGCCTGGGCGCTGCCCCTCAGCTCTTCAGCTCAAGGCTAGCGCTCTACCACTTGAGCCACAGCACCACTTCCGGCTTTTTTCTTTTTGCCTATGTGGTGCTGAGGAATCGAACCCAGGGCCTCATGCATTGCAAGGCAAGCACTCTACCACTGAGCCACCTTCCCAGCCCAATAAAATAGCAATTTAAAGAAGAGCCAACTTTATTCTTCCTTAGAATTTTAGTTTAATCAATACAGAACATTTTCCTGATTATTTAATATTAAATTAGAACTATTTGTTATATATGTTAACATGATGAACAGGCCCAATGGGAGCTTGGCTTTAAATAAGAAACTGAAAACTTCAGAGTAGCTAACTTCTGAGTAGTTCAGGTGTTTTGTTTTTTGGTTAGTCTTGGGGCTTGAACTCTGGGCCTGGGCGCTGGCCCTCAGCTCTTCAGCTCAAGGCAAGCACTCTACCACTTGAGCCACAGCACCACTTCCAGTTTTCTGGTGTTTAATCTGGAGATAAGAATCACATGGACTTTCTTGCCCCAGCAGGCTTTGAACCACAATCCTCAGATCTTAGCCTCCTGAGTAGCTATGATGATAGATGTGAGCCACTAGCTTTTTTTTTTTTTTGTCTCTTAAAGCTATGAATTATTATGACACTTATGATTAAGAAAATAAAATATTAGTACACTTCAAAAAATTTATGGGAGGAATACATTAGGCACATTTACTTTTGAAACATTTTGAGGTGTGCCCATATCTTTCCTTCCAGAAGTCTGTTTTTGTGTTAAAAAAAAATGTGTCTTTGTTATGTTAAAAAAAATTATGGGGCTAGGAATGTGGCTTAGTGGTAGAGTGCTCACCTGGCATGCATGAAGCCCTGGATTCGATTCCTCAATACCACATAAACAGAAAAAGCCAGAAGTAGCACTGTGGCGCAAGTAGAGTGTTAATCTTGAGCAAAAGCAGCTCAGGGACAGTGCCCAGGCCCCTGAGTTCAAGCCCCAGGATTGGCCAAAAAAAAAAAAAAATCATGTTTAATAGCTTTATTTTATATAACCTACCAGCAGATACATAAACTGGTAACAACCACTGTGTAATATTGCTGGTAGTTATGTAAAAATGGACAAATAGGTTCTCCAAAAAACATATACTTCAACATCATTAGGAGTAACACTAAACAAGAAACTACCAAAATGCTCATTATACAGCAGACAGAAGTAATCAGGTAACTGTCACACAGTGGAATATTATTCAGAGAATGAATGACTTCAACCATACCAACACAGATGAATCATACATACAGTGTTGAGTAAACTGGGCCAGACACAAAAGTATACACTCTATGATTCCTCGTAAGGTTGGGAAGGTAGTAAGCTATCCATGCAGGAAGACTGGCTGGAATAGAGAAGTTTCTGGAGAGCTAATAGTGTTCTGTTATTTATTATTCATGTCTACTTTGTAAGCTTTCAGCTTCTTGTCCACTTATATGTATTTCTTAGTGTATACATATATACCTATATATACACACATATACTTTTCTTAACTTTTTAAAAAATTGTGATTAAGTGATTACATAAATTTCATAGTCTTGTGAGATAGTGATACTTAAAGTGACAAACACATTCATGGGACAAACTGTCTTTATCGTTGTCTATAAAATTTGTGAATTCTATGAACTTTGACAATACAGCAATTTCTTCCACATCAGGTGATATGTACATTTCTTTCCTTTTGCTTAGTGTCAGCTGTTCTCTCTTTCCTGCTCATTTCCTCACTCCCTCCCATTGCTGCCATTGAGTTGCTTATTTCATTTTGATCAATGTCCAGTGCAGCTGATGGGTCCTGCTGTTGTATGTTTTCCTTTTCCCTCTGTTTCTGTGTCTTCCTCCTAGTATCCCTCAGATGTGCACATACATACCATATATGTGGTCAGCAGCATGGGGTCATTTAGTAATGATATGGTCAGATGAGTGGAGGTCCTTTGTTTCTAAAGTCTTGTTTACTTTGTCGTAACTCCTTACATTTTGGATTTAACATCCACATATCAGGGAGACCATGTGTTTGTCTCTTTGCTCTTGGCTTACCTCACTCAAAATGATTTTTTTCTAGTTCCATCCATTTCCCTGTGAATGTCATTATTTTGTCCTTTCGCAATCTCATGTTCATTCTACTGGTTAGACTACATATTTCATAACACTATAATCCTAGCTACTCAGGAGGTTGAGATCTAAAGATTGTAGTTCCAAACCAGCTGGGGCAAGAAATTCTGAGAGATTCTTATCTTCAATTAACCACCAGAAAAGCAGAAGTGGGGCTGTGGCTTAAAGTGGTAGGGCACTAGCCTTGAACAGAAAAGCTCAGGGACAGCCCTGAGTTCAAGCCCCATGAGTGACAAAAAAAAAAAAAAAGTTTAAACTCATTTGGAAAGCATAAAGAAATTCCTATAATCATATCTCTTAGAAATGACCAATATTATACTGATGTATATTCTACTAGTATATATGTATGCAATGAGTATGTGAAATGATTATAGCAATTGTATAATGTTGTCATATATATTTATTTCTTTGTAGCTCCATAAGGCATTATACATACTACCTTATAAAATTTAACATACCAGGGGCTGGGAAAGTGGCTCAGTGGTAGAGCGCTTGCCTTGCATGCATGAGCCCCTGGGTTTGACTCCTCAGCACCACATAAGGAAAAAGAAAAAAGCCGGAAGTGGCGCTGTGGCTCAAGTGGTAGAGTGCTAGCCTTAAGCTGAAGAGCTGAGGGACAGCGCCCAGGCCCAGAGTTCAGGCCCCACGACCGGACCCCCACCCCTCCCAAAAAAATAATTTAACATACCAAAAACAACATTCCATATCAATAAACATAGCTCTATTACAACACTTTAACTCCTTATATTATATATGGAAGTATAAACTTATTTACCCAACACTCTTATTAATGGGCACTCCATTAATTTTTCATTATTATTAAATCCCTTCATGAATATAATTTCATATCTGTTCATTCATGTCCAATTACTCCCTAAGGATGTAGTACAAATGGAACTGTCAGCTCAATGAACATACTGCCAAAGTACCATCCAGAAAGTTGGTAGCAATTTATTTTCCCACTAGGAGGATTATAATTGAAACTCTAAATCTGATCAAATAAAAAAATCTTTGGAGCCAGGTGCCGGTGGCTGATGCCTGTAATCCTAGCTACTCAGGAGGCTAAGATCTGAAGATCAGGGTTCAAAGTCAGCCCGGGCAGGAAAGTCCATGAAATTCTTATCTCCAAAAAACCACCAGAAAACTGAAAGTGGTGCTGTAGCTCAAGTGGTAGAGCGCTAGTCTTGAGCTGAAGAGCTGAGGAACAGTGCTCAGGCCCAGACTTCAAGCCCCAAGACTGACAAAAAAAAAAAAAAAAAAACAAAACTTCGGTCATTTGAAACACAAATGCTATTTAATGAAGTTATAGTTTTTCACTAACTAGTAAAGCTGAACATTTTAAATATGGTAATTCGGTAAGTACACTCAATATTTGTGGGTGTTTTTGTTTCTTTTTGTAGTACTTGAGGCTTGGACTCAGGGTCTCTTACTTCCTACGGCAGTACTCTATCACTAGAGCCATGCCTCTAGCTCTTGTGTTTTTTGTTGTTGGTTATTTAGCAGATGGAATCTGGCAATCTTTTCTACCCAGGCTGGCCTGCTCACAATTCTCCAAATCTCAGCCTTCTGGGTAGCTAGGATTACATGTATGAGCCACTAGCAAATAATTTATCTATGATTGATACCTATAAAAACAACTTTGGGCTAGAAGCTGGTGGCTCATGCCCATGATTCTAGCGATTCACCAAGCTGGGATCTGAAGATTACAATTTGAAGCCAGTCCAGGTAGACACTTTCAAAGGACTCTCATCTCCAATAAACCAGCAAAAAGCCAGAACCGGAAGTGAAGTTCATATGGTAGAGCACCAACCTTCAGTGAAAAAGCCGAGAAAATTTGTGAGGGCCTGATTTCAAGCCCCAGTATAGGCACACATATGTATATACATTTTGGGGACCAGTTAACCTGGGAGATCTTCATCTTTAAAATAAGTACTGCAATATAACAATAAGAGTTTTCTGGATGTGAACAATTTGTTTCCCATAGTTTTTGTTAGAAACTTTTGAAAGACCCTTGCATATGATTAAAACAATTTAATATCCAAACATGATACCACATACATACATACATACCATGCCACTTTCCCTTGAAGACTGTCCCAAACGATCCAGATCCAATTCTTTGTCCCACTGTAATCTGTCCATCAGGAATTTCCCAGTCATCACTTGAATCTCGTCTACCAAGTGTTTTCTTGATAAAACAAAATCAAAAAGGAAAACCTTATTTCACACTACATATATTAACGTATGCCTGACAGGAACGTAGGTAAGGAAGAAAATACAGACTCTTAAAAAAAAATACAACCCACAACGAAGGAACAATAGGTAAAAAGTATGACTCAAAATGTAATTTTTTCCCCCTTCCTCACCCCACCCCCCCAATTCTGGGATTTCTTAGACAAGTGCTCTACCACTTGAGCCACTTTCAGCTCTGGAAGTAATATTTTAAAAAATAGATACTGCCTGGTGCCAGGGGCTCACACCTGTAATCCTAACTACTCAGGGGGCTAAGATTTAAAGATCATGGTTGGAAGCCAGCCCATGTAGAGAAGTCTGTGAGACTCTTATCTTCAATTCACCAGCAAAAAGCCAGAAGTAGAAATGTGGCTCCAGTGGTAGAGCATCAGCCTTAAGTAAAAAAGCCAAAGAGAATTCAAGTCCTCCCTGAAAAGTAACTAATTTTTTCAGCATGTGCAAAAATGTGTATTGCTAACATCAATAAAACAATATAGCTTCCTATCATTTGGAAGACTATTAGAGGCAAGACAAGTATTACATATTTGTGATTCCCTTTAGCCAAATGCCTCAGAATTTAAGTTCAGATTTTTATTTTAAAGGAAAACATTATTACTTCTCTTCCAAAACCAACTTTTACAAAATTATGTTAAACATGTGAACAAAAATCAGTGTAATGGAAAAGTACTTCAAGCAAAAAGCTATTAACTCTTAATTTGGTTATAGGAATTTTACATCATACACAAACATATCCAAAAGAAAATATCAAATTTGTATATGAATTCTAGAAAGAAAAAACCATCACATATTCTTACCATTCGATTTCGGTCTTCTGAGGATGAAGATGACTTCCGCTCCCGCTGAGGTCCTGGAGATTTCTGTAAGGCTTTCACATTTGTCAGTGAGCCAGGTAATGAGGCAGGTGGGGTGGCAGACAAACCTGTGGTTGACCCTATTAGAGAAAGAGAAACTGTATCCTTTAAGGAAAACCAAACATGCTCTCTTATCAGAAGACAGAGATTGGGGAGAAACCTAAACTTACTTTTAAAATATTGCACATGTTCAAACAATGACCTTACAGAAAGGATAGGCCCAAAAGCCTAATTTGTGATTCATAGTATAATTTTAGTTTTGTTAATGTCTTTAAGATAGCTAATGATACACTTTGCTCACTGGTTCAAGATTTACAAAAAACAATCTCTAAAATAAGATATAAATACTCAAACACTTCCAAAGTTCCTGTGTCTCTGATTAAAAAAAAATTAAAAAACAAAACCAAAGTAAACACACACACACACTAACAAACTGATTTTAAATGACCTCAACAGCTCATCAATATTTTAAAAAGTGGAAATATTTTCTAATAAAAGCTTAAATGTTAAAAAGATCTCTCTTTCATATTGGCCATTAAATTTAAATAGAATCCTGACTTATAAATGTGGGTCATTATTAGTGGTTCCTGGAGGCCTTTTTCTACTAAATATAAATTACTAGTTACCTGTCTAATGGAGTTAATAAAAGCAAACCTAAGTAGGTTTCTCAAGACTTTCTACAAAAATCTCTACCTTTATAAGTAAGAGAAAGTATCTTGGCCTCAAAGCTAAATTACTATAAGCAGGAATATTTTGTAAGCCCACTGAGCCCAGGGTTACTCTTAAGAAGTTAGCTATGTTAGGAGGATTACATTTCTGATGGGTGCTTTTCCAAAAGCTGACTCAGTGGTAAACAGCCTAAGCTCAGAGGGGCTCAGTTCAAGGACTGAGTAGGGCCTGAGTATAGCTGAGCAGGGCTGAGGTTTCCAGGTTGCTTTCCATACACAGTACTGAAGGTCCTCAATAAATTTAAAACAAAAATATTAATATTCTTGGGGAATACAAAGAGCCATAATTTTCCAAAGAATGATACTAATAACAACAATGGTAAATCTAGGTAGACATTTTATTACTATATCACAATGCAAAATTTCCAAGATTTTATATGTAATTATCTATTAAAAATGATGTGTGGAGTGTCTTTTAACTGAAAAACAGTACATTTTCTATCTGCTATTGATAAAATTCAAGAAAACAAAGCCTTAACTGCTTGCACAGGTTCCACAGTTCTGTTCTACTAAACATGTGGTATTTAAATTCTGTTATTGGTTCCAAATGACTTTTTCCCATTCTATGAACCAGCCAGCTAGCCAAAGCACCGTAATATATTCAGTCTTGTTCACTCACCAGTATGTAAAGATAGTAAGACACCTGTCCTAACTCTTACTTCAAAATTTAAACACTGGTTTAACCAATAACTAAAATATTCAAGACAAAGAGGATGAAATTATACTATTTCCTCACATTAATTAAAAGTATAACTCCTCAAATTTTCTAAACTTATTCATTCTATGAATTAGCTATAATTTATTAGCACTAAATAAAAAACATACATTCTATAAGAAAAACATTGATACTGTAAAATCTCAAAAATAAAAAAGCCTCAGAAAAATCTTTTAATAGGGGTTTCCATTTCTATTTTTATTTTCTTAAAAACCGTGAAAATTGTTGGTGCCTCCCCACCTTATTTTTTCCCACCCACTGTGATTAAGAAGTCATGAGACAACAAAAAACAAGATGGAAATCCCAACTCAGAATTTTCTTGCTTTTAAATATTTATGACAGACAGCATACAGAAAGCTTGTGTAGTGAGTATGTGTGAGAAGCACATTCAGAGCATTCCAGCCAAGCCAAGCAGAAATTTAGTACTTAAAACTCTCACACTTACAAACACACGCTGTGAGGGTGAGACACAAACAGCATCTACAGATGCTTATATTTAATTTGCTTTGGGTGAAAACAAGAAAGAAGAGCCCAACTACCTCTGAACACTGGGCCAGGCTCAAAATCAAACACTATTTCACTGGGGACAGAATGTAGGAGGGGGCTGGGAGTCCGGGATTGGTATTTCCGAAGACAGCGCATCAGCTGGTTCAAGGGGGCTGTTAGAAGAGAAAGAGAGGGGCAGGCAAACACAGGAAGACAGACACACAGAAGAAATGAAAGAAGTCATGGGGAATAAATACGATGAACTGAAGCCTGCTTTACAAAATAATTCTGGGTGTTAAAAAAAAACCACCTGCTTATTTTAATAATATCCCAATGATCTTTAAAAAAATGACTCATATTTAGGACAAGAAATGCCACTTGATTTTAAGTACTGAGCAGGCTGTGTTTATGACTAAGTCAACTGTGATGCTAACATGATGGCAACATTTAAATGCTGGATGCATTGGGCAAAATTATCAGCAGCCACAGTTATTAGGACATATGAAAGTCAAACTGGCAGCAACATTAATTGGCAGGTTCATGGAATAACAGAACAAAAACTCCTATATAAATAGGTGCTGTGGTCAATACTAAGCCCAGAGGACATAATTCAGGCTTATTATTTTGTCAGCTTCACAGGAATACAGAAACATAACAAGATGATTTATATATTGTTTACTCAATATGAAATACCATTGAGTCTCTTGGCTTAGATACTTTTGAAGGTACACAAGAAGGTCACAGTGAAGAGATTAGCTCTAAGCATAATAAGCAGTTAACATAAATCTTCCATATTAGATAGAAAATAGCTGAAAAAATAAACACAGAAAGGACCTCCTGCAAGAAAACTTCAAGACAATCTCAAATATCATCTAGAAAACATTATTTAGGGTTATAAAAAGTATTTTCATAACATGAAACATTTTATAATATTTCATGTTGTTTTGGCTAGAATGAATGCTAGATAAAAATTCTGTAAGAAATCTCAGTTCTGTTTCTCACCTGGTATTTTATTTACTAGTCGTAGTAAAAAAGAGGGCAACAAGCTTTTTCCATTATGGGTTTATTCTATAAAATGTACATTATAGCTGATCACCAGTGGTTCATGCCTGTAATCCTTGCTACCCAAATGTTGAAATCTGAGGATCATAGTTCAGAGCCCATCTGGGCAGACAAAACCACAGAATCTTAATCTCCAATTAATCACCAAAAGCTACAAGTATAATTGCTCAAGTGGTAGAGCAGCAGCTAGCTATAAGCCTAAAAACTAAGTGAGAACACAAGACTCTTGGTTCAAGCCTCAGTTCTGGCACAAACACAGAAAGTATATTCTAAATACTTCTAAAAAGATTAAGAAAGTTGTTGATAAAGTCTGACAAATACAAATTGTGGCAGGCAATTAAAAGGACTCCTTCTAAGAATTATTTAGTAAAGTTAAGTTTTATCTGATTCTAATCTCAATCTTTCTGTATCTGTAGAAGCTCCCAGATGGTAGAAATTAACAAAAGGGGTAAAATAACTAAGGATCTCTCCTTGATATAATATATCCGTTAATAGTACATTGTAAATAGCATTTTTTTATATTCCTTTTCATGTCTTCTAATTTTCTTTACTCATGTTTTAAATTACCTAAAATTTTATTAACAATACATAATCAGTACTACAGAAAAAAATTGGATTTTCTCTACACATTTTTCTCTGTGTCTGTGTTTCATGAAAGAAGCAAGTAAAAAGGAAACAAGCAGCAAAGCAATTGCATTTTTCTCTGTGTATATGCTTTTTTTTTAGCTGAAATCATGACTTACCTCCATCACCACGAAACCCTTGATCTCTAATCAAATCCTATAAACAAATAGTAAAGTATATTTAATCAAAGTACATGGTAAGAAAGTAACAACATTGAATTTTCCACTATTCATTAACAGAAAGGTTAATTCAAAACAACTCCTGTCTTAACAGTTACTTCACAAAACAAACCATATGAAATTAACTAGTGTACATATAAAAATCTAAATTCTGAAGTATTTGCCAATCTAATCCTGTACTGAAAGGATTATTAGTCCTGATCACACGTTGAAATCCATTTCTGGCCGTTCAATGGCTTCCATCAATCCTTAAAGAAAATCTTACTGGCACATATTAAGAGCCATAAAAATGTTCATACCCTTTGATCCTGTAATTCCACTTCTGGGAATTTTTCCTATGGAAATAATTCAGAAGAAAAAATGATATGCACAAGGATGTTTAGTGCAGCAGCATCCATCATACCAAAAGCCAGAAATAATTTTGACATATTATGGTTAAGTTATTGTGTATCAGTTTATTATGCAGTTACCAAAACATTATGAAATTTGAATCATGAAACATGTTTACAATAAAAAATACAAAATTAAAAGAACATTGAATTCCATCATAAAAATATAGGGCACATGGATAAGAAAGAAAATCAAAATAGCTCAAATAAGGATCATGTTAAGATTGGTCTTTATTTTTATAATCATGTTGATAGCTGGGGTAAACTCTTATTAGTAAAGCAACCTGGATCTTAAGAGGCAGAACTTGGGTTAGTTTATTTGGTTTAATTAAATGTGAGAGACTGAATGACCCTAAATGTTTCTAAGCAATTTTTTTTCAAATAGGCAGCTTTTTACTTCTGGATTAAATAAAGAATAAATTACTTCCAAGTATACTTCTAACATGTTCAGTGTATTAATGTAGATCCTTCACCATTTTTAACAGAATAATCAACAGATATTCATATTTTCAAACTAAGTGCTAAGTGACTATCAATAAAAAGAAATTCTTGGTGGTCTTACTACCTTTCTGCGATTCTGAAAGCATACAATATTATTAGAAGATACCCAAACATGAAAATTAAATGATACATAGCAGCCTAAAAATATAACAAAAGAAAAATTGGTTTCTTGAAGTTACTACCACCTAAGTGCTATTGGTAACTTTCAATGCCTACACATACATAGTAACTATAGGATTTGGCAATCATGATGATGGGCTTCCAGCCTGCAGAAATTGATCATAATGATGCATAAGTAATAACTATAGAATTTGGACACTGGTAAAGTAGTTGAAATGTGTGAGTTGGACTTCCTTGTCCTTCTAGACAGAGGAACACACACACACACACACACACACACACACACACACACACACACACACACACACACACACACACACACACACACACACAAACACGCCACGCCATGCCACATCCCTTTCCTTGTTGCTGTAACAGCTCTGAAATTCCCTGCAACTCTAAAGGGTCCAAATTTTCTTTCTCTGTTCTTTTCTTTCTTTCCTTTTTTTTTTTTTTTTTTTTTTTTGGGGGGGGGGGGGGTCTGGTTGTGGAGCCTGAACTCTGGGCCTGGGCGCTGTCCTTCAGCTCTTCAGCTCAAGGCTAGCGCTCTACCACTTGAGCCACAGCGCCACTTCCGGCTTTTTTTTTTTGCCGGCTTTTTTTTTTTTTTTTTTTGGTCCGGTTGTGGGGCCCTGAACTCTGGGCCTGGGCGCTGTCCCTAAGCTCTTCAGCTCAAGGCTAGCACTCTACCACTTGAGCCACAGCGCCACTTTCCGGCTTTTTTCTTTTTTGCTTATATGGTGCTGAGGAATCGAACCCAGGGCCTCAGGCTTGCAAGGCAAGCACTCTACCACTGAGCCACCTTCCCAGCCCCCCGGCTTCTTTCTTTTTTTGCTTATGTGGTGCTGAGGAATTGAACCCAGGGCCTCTGGCATGCAAGGCAAGCGCTCTACCACTGAGCCACCTTCCCAGCCCTCTTTCTCTGTTCTTAAAACTGAACTCTAGTATACCACATAAACTTAGATTTCAGGTATGTTTTTAAAGTTCCTTAACAATTTGGTATTTGTTCTAGGTTCTGGTAAACTTAGATTTCAGGTATGTTTTTAAAGTTCTGTAACAATTTGGTATTTGTTCTAGGTTCTGGTAATTGTTCTTCTAGCTCTTTCTAACTTTTCCTATTCTATCTTATAGTTAGTTCCTTCTCTTATATATTTCTCCTTCATCATGATAAAGAAAAATAATCAAAGAACTTTCAGGGCCAACTTTATACCTGAAAATATTGCACACAGTATATTAGTTATAATTTCTAATTTCTTTTTCTTTCTTGGTCCGATTGTGGGGCCTGAACTCGGGCCTGGGCGCTATCCCTCAGCTCTTCAGCTCAAGGCTAGCGCTCTACCACTTGAGCTCTACCACTTTTTGCTTATGTGGTGCTAAGGAATCGAACCCGGGGCCTTATGCATGCAAGGCAAGCACTCTACCACTGAGCCACTTTCCCAGCCCAATTTCTAATTTCTTATTACATACCAGGCATAAAAAATTTCCCAAACCATTCCAGGAGGTAGGTAGGCACTGTTAGTTCCAGAGTTAAAATAATTTGCCCAATAATATACAATCTAGAGAGAACTGTGTTCATCTTTAATTTTTTTGTAGTTTCTGTGAGATACGATATCCAAGTCCATGGAATGTACTAAATCAGTTCTTCTCTATCTTGTTATCTTCAGCCTTTCCTTATTGGCTTCTTTCTCTACAGAGTGTTAGTCTTTCATTAAAAGTAACTGCTCCCTTGTATATAGGAATGGGAGGGAAAACCTGGGAGACAGAGGGAAGGGGTGACATTGTCCAAAAAGAAATGTACTCTTTTTAACTATGTTTTTTTGTCTTTTTTCTTTTTTGGTACTGGGGATCGAACCCAGGACGTTGCACTTGCTAGGCAAGCACTTTGCCACTGAGCTATATCCCAGCCCAAGAAATGTACTCTTCACCTGATTATAATCCCTCTGTCTATCACTTTTATAATAACAATTTAAAAAACTTTTAAATTGCACCTGTTTTGTCTGTTTTGTTATTCCTTTACAGGAATCTTTTCAAAACCAACAACCCTATTTCTTTACTTGCCTTCCTCTCCTCTACTAGCCACTTTTGTTAGTGGTGCTTTTGTCTTTTGTTAGTGGTGCTGGGAATTGAACCTAGGATTCTTACGTGTTCAGCAAGTGTTCTACCACTGAAATATATTCCCAACCCACAAATAACATTTTAATTACCAAAACAAGTTATGTTGGTCTTTATCTCATATAAGTCTTAATGACAAGTGAACGCTCGCAAAACCCTATTTCTTCTTTTGGCCAAGGCAGAACTACTGAAGCTACCGGAAGAAGAGCCTATAAAAGTCACAAAGAACAGTTTTCTTTTCCTGCAATATCAATATTCACGAGGACTGCATTTTCTACTCTCTTCTCTGTACACCTAGTCCTTTTGTTTTATTTACTTACTTTATACTTTTGAGATAAGGTACTGAAAACTTTGCCCAGGCTGGCCTTCATCTCTGGATCCTCCTATCTCTGTGTCCCAAATAGTTGGGGTTAGTTTTTTATTATTATTATTTTTTAATTTTTTGCTGGTTGTGGGGCTTGAACTCAGGGCCTGGGTGCTGTACCTGAGCTTTTTTTGTTCAAAGCTATGCTCTACCACTTTGAGCTACAGCTCCACTTCTGGGTTTTGAGTGGTTAATTGGCGATAAAGAGTTTCAAGGAAACTCTTTTCTGCCCAGGCTGACCTCAATTTATTTTATACTCTCTTAAGTAATATTTACATCCATGTCTTAAACTGACACAAATATACTAATTTGCTTCTAAAATCTGTATCTATTTGAGGTCACTATATTCAATTGCAAATAGATTTCTAAACCTTAAAGTTCCACAGGTATCTTATGTCAATATGTCTAAAATAAAAATTATTGCTTTTATTTTTTTTATTTTTTACATCTTAAGGTTTAAATAAGAGTAGATTAGCTGGGTGCTGGTGGCTCATGCCTATAACCCTAGCTATTCAGGAGGCTGAGATCTGAGGATCATGGTTCAAAGCCAGCCCGAGCAAGAAAGTCCATGAAATTCTTATCTCCAAGTAACTACCCGCAAAAAAAGCCAGAAGTGGAGTTGTGGCTCAAGTGGTAGAACGCTAGCCTTGAGCACAAAAGTTCAGGGACAGCTCCTTCAAGCCCCAGGACTGGCACCAAATTTTTTTTTTTTTAATTCACTTTTGTTTCTATAAACCATGTTCTAATCTATGAACCAGAAACATGAACATAATCATTGATGTCTCTTTCACCTTTTTCCTGTACTACTTACTATAAATACCATGGGCCTAACATAGGAAGGCCATATCAGCCACTTCTCAGCAGTGAGATCTTAAGTAAATCTTTATTTGATCTTGGTAAATTCTTTTTTTAACTGCTTTTTTTTTGTTTGTTTTTTCTTCTTTGGTACTGGGGATTGAACCCAGGATGTTGTACTTGCTAGGCAAGCGCTTTGCCACTGAGCTACATCCCAGCCTGTATTTTTAACCTCTTTAAATAGATAATCTACTTAAGAGAAAAATGAAAATAAAAATAATACTTAGCCTAACAATCTTTATGAGGCTGAACAAGCAAATGTATTTAAAGCACTTAGTATAGGTAGTACCTGCACATAGTAAGTACTCATATATAGTTGCCATTTTCAATATTCCTAAGAATCTTACCATTAATTCATTAATTTTTATTTTTCCTTCTCTCAACACACTCATTCCTTCTCTTGCTATCAATGCTATGATTTCAGAAATTTATCATCTCTTCACTGGAATACTGCAAAAGCCTCATTAAAACAGTCTAGCTTTTAGATGTGTTACTTATTGGATCTACTTCATCAACAATTTTTTTTCTAAAATATAAAGCTAATCTCATGTTCAAAAAGTATTTCAGGTTGAGTAGAGTGGTACACACTTGTAATCACAGCACAAGAGAGGCTGAATCAGGAGGCTCAGGAGTTCTAGAACTGTTTCTGCTACACAGTGAGAACTTGTTTCATAAAACCAAGAAAAAAAAGTGTTTCAGACTCCCTACCACTTAGAGTAATAGAGAGAAATTCCATGTGAAATGGACCTAGTTTCATCATCTACCATTTATCAGTTTTCTCCTGAACCACAAGTGACAATAACAATTATGAATCACATCTATATAAGCTATTTCCATGGCTTTGTACATACTATTTCTTTAACAAATGCCTTTCCTCCCTACCAAGCGTGCTTAATAAACTCTTAGCAATCCACCTATTGCAATCTGGCTTGAAAGTTACCCATCTCTGCTAATTATCCCTGAATATGAGTTTATTACCTTCTGGAAATTATTTTACTGTCACTTTAGACATACATATAATACAGACAGTCAGACAGACAGACGTATTTATATATTTGTGCTGGTACCAGAACTTGAAGTCAGGGCCTCTAGATCTCACTAGGCTTTCTTGCTGGTGCTATACCACTAGAGCCATGCCCCAAGTCAGCATTTTGCTGGTTAATTGGAGATGGGCTTCTCCGCTCAGGCTGGCTTTGGATTTTGATCCTCCAGGTCTCAGCCTGAGTAGGTAGGATTTTAAGTGTGAGCCCTCTAACCCCAACTTTACCCTTCTGATTCATCTTCCATGGTAACTTTCTATAGGGCAATGACTGTGTTGCCAATTGATCTTTAATTCCTAGTTGTTGAGCCCTAGGTTAATAAAATTAGTTTTAGTGGAATAAATGACTGACCATGAATGAAAAGGTTATGTGGCTGAAAGTCTTGGAACAGGGAACAGATAATAATAATTTAAAAAAAAGGTGCTATAAAAACTACCCTAACTGGGCACAGGTAGCTCAAGCCTACAGGCTTGATTACAGGCTTGTAATCCTAGCTACTCAGGAGGCTGAGATCTGAGGATCACAGTTCAAAGCCAGCCCAGGCAAGAAAGTCCAAGAGACTCTTATCTCCAATAATCCACTCAGAAATCCAGAAGTGGCACTGTGGCTCAAATGATAGAGTGCTAGCCTTCAGCTGAAGAGCTGAGGGACAGTGCCCAGGCCCAGAGTTCAAGCCCCATGACCAACAAAAAACAAACAAATAAACAAAAACTACCCAAATAAGCCCTGTGTCAGTGGCGCACACCTGGCTATTCAGGAGGCTGAGATCTGTGGATCATAGTTTGAAGCCAGCCTAGGCAATCCATGAGACTCTCATTTCCAATTAACTACCAAAAAAGCCAGAAGTAGAGCTGTGGCTCAAGTGGTATAGTACTAGCCTTGAGTTAAAGTTCAGGGATAGTGCCCAGTCCCTGAGTTCAAGCCCTAGAATTAGTACCAAAAAAATAAATAAATAAAGTTATTCTAGTGATAGTATAAAGAATGAAAATGGATAAAGAGAAATCAATGGTGGAAAAATCAACCAGTAAATGAATCAATTAAAGAAATATAGGGGGCTAGGAAGGTAGCTTACTGCTAGAGTGCTTCTAGCATGCATGAAGCCCTGGGTTCCATTCCTTAGTACCATATAAACGGAAAAAGCTGGAAGTGACGCTCAAGTGGTAGAGTACTAGCCTGAACCAAAAGAAGCTCAGGGACAGCACCCAGACCCTGAGTTGAAGCCCAAGGACTGGCAGGATCAAATAGTGGTGGTGAACCAGGAAGGACTTGGAGGCATTGATCAAGTGATAAGCATGCCTGCCTAGTGAGTGTTAGTTCCTAAGTTCAAACCTCAGTAGCACCAAAAAAGGTGATATCTTACAGTTGTTTAAGGATGAAAAGATAACATATAAAATGATACTTCAAATGTTCAAACCCAGAAAACCAGGAAAACTGTCAAATCAGAAAAAAAAAGGAAAATAGAGCTGGGTGCTGGTAGCTCATGCCTGTAATCTTAGCTATTCAGGAGGCTGACATCTTAGGATCACTCTTCAAAAGCCAGTTTGGAGAGGAAAGTCCGTGAGATTCTTGTCTTCCAATTAACCACCAGAAAAGTGGAAGTGTAGCTGTGACTCAAAGTGGTAGAGTGCTAGCCTTGAGCAAAAAAATAGCTCAGGGACATTGTGCCCAGGCCCTGAGTTTAAGCCCATGACTGGAAAAAAAAAAAAAAAAAGAAAAATAGTGTAATATTAATTTTTGAAAGATAAAGGCTATAATTTTGAATGTATCTAGAACAGATCTAACCTAGAACACTTTGGTTTATTTCACTATCTTGTTACTTCCTATTTCCCTTTCTTTTTCACCTCTGAATTCAGGTCTATCTATATAAAAGAGGAAAACTGGTACTAGGAAAAAAGCCACTTTAATGAACTTCTAAAAATAAAGAAAAAGTTTCACAGCGTAAAGTGAGAGGATGTAGCCGGGCAATGGTGGCTCACGCCTGTAACCCTAGCTCCCCAGTAGGCTGAGATCTGAGGATCACGGTTCAAGCCAGCACAGGCAAGAAAGTCCATAAGACTCTTATCTCCAATAAACCACGAGAAAACCAAAAGTGGGACTTGGCTCAAGTGGTAGAGTGCTAGCCTTGAGCTGAAGAGCACAGGGACAGTGCCCAAGCCCAGAGTTCAAACCCCACGACCAACCAAAAAAAAGGTGAGAAGATGTGATTTTACAGTTTATTTTGAAAACTAAAATTAATATGTATGATAGTTTTTCCTTTACTCTAAATAAATTACATGGTAATTATGAAACAAAAAGAATCAGGATTTTATTGGTTATAATACAAAACAGGACAAACAAATTCTGATTTCATATTTATCACAATCACAATCAATTTTATAAAAATTTTAGAGGACTGCATGAATACTTGTAAGGGCCTCTAAAATCCTTTGTTATTTAAACCAGTTTCACTTGAAGTTAAGACTTTTACAGAGATGACATCATGAAGAAAAAAAATTGAATAGCTGTGGTTCAGGCACTGGGGAAGTATTTGGGATTCACATAAACCTAGTACTTAAAACAATGGATAAAATGAAAGATGGCACTTATTTCTGAAATATATATATGTATGTATATTTTTATATAAACATATCATATATATATATGTGTATGTATATAAAACAAGTGTAGCAGAAAAAGGAAATACACTTGAAATCTTTAGTTCTAGCATGCTGGATACTTACATCAATATTGACAGGTTCTATTGTGTTTATATGCACATTAGGAGCTGATGAGGACCGGTCCCGTTGCCCAAACTGATTTCTATGATCTTCATCTGCTGGTCGGAAGGGCTGTGGAATTGGAATGGATTTTGAAGGAGATGGACTGGTGAGAATTTGGGGCCTGAAAAAATCAAGTCATCGGAAGGTAAGATTCAGAGCAATTATGTAGATATTTTTTTAAATGGGAGATATCAAGATTTTAACAGGAAAATCTTTCAAATCGAGCATGAAAATTTCAGCTGCAATGGTTTTTTAGTTTAAAAATTAACATACCAGGGTGTAATAGAGTGGCTTATATCATAGAGAGCCTGCTTAGCAAATCCAAGGCCCTCACTTCAAACCCTAGTACTACTTCCCTTCCCCCAAAACACTATATATAAACTGAAAAAAATCCATTATTTTAATTCACTATTTTTTCTTTTCTTTTTTTTTTTTTTTTTTGGGTCCAGTCGTGGGGCCTGAACTCTGGGCCTGAGCTCTGTCCCTCAGCTCTTCAGCTCAAGGCTAGCGCTCTACCACTTGAGCCACAGCCCCACTTCCGGCTTTTCTTTTCTGCTTATGTGGTGCTGAGGAATCGAACCCAGGGCCTCATGCATGCAAGGCAAGCATTCTACCACTGAGCCACCTTCCCAGCCCTCACTATTTTTTCTAACTTTGTCATTGCTTGATATCTGAAGGTAGTAAAATGGAAATTTTATGGAAAGAAATGGTAAATATTTTTGAGGTTATATCTGTGTATTTCAGGACCAGAAAAAGAGATGAGTGAGGCAATACTGAAACATCATTTCCAAATTCAGAAAATGATTTTCATAGTACCCAATTATCTTTCACATTTTAAAACTTCTATTATGCTCAAATAGTGACATCAGTAATACGAGAATAACACACCAACCATTAAACTGGTGTGTGTGTGTGTGTGTGTGTGTGTGTGTGTGTGTGTGTGTGTGTGTGTGTGTGTGTGTGTGTGTGTGTGTGTGTGTGTGTGTGTGTGTGTGTGTGTGTGTGTGTGTGTGTGTGTGTGTGTGTAACAGTACTGGGGCTTGAACTCAGGGCTTACACTGTCTTTAGCTTTTTTATTCAAGCCTAGTAATCTACTAACTTAAGTCACAGTTCCATTTCTGGCTTTTTGATGGTTAACTGGAAGGAAGAGTTTCACCGCCTTTCCTGCCCAGGGTTGCTCAGCCTGTTCAGTAGCTAGGACCATAAGCACAAGCCACTACTGTGCAGCTAAACCAGGTTTGTTTTTTTTGATTGTTGTTGGTAGATTTTTTAGTAGTTTTAGTTGGTAGTTTTTTTTTGCTGTTGAACTCGGGGCTTGGGTGTTTTCCCTGTGTACTTCAGCTCAAGGCAAGCGCTCTACTGCTTGAGCCATAGCACCACTTCCGGTTTTTGAGTGGTTTATTGGAGTTATGAGTCTCATGGACTTTCCAGCCTGGGCTGGCTTTGAACCTCGAGCCTCAGATCTCAGCCTCCTGAGTAGCTAAGATTATAGGCAGACACTGGCACCCAGCTAAACCAGGTATTTTTAAAAATTATTTTTAAAATTAGGTGATCATATTAGGTGACGTATTTTGGTGTTACAGCTAACACTCTACAATCTCTGGCCCTAGGCCCTAAAAGAAACTTGACATAGTGAACTCTGAAGTTTTAAAAACAGTTGTAAACACCTGTATGGACTGAGGCTGTACATCTAAGAAAAATCTTTGGGGAACAGGGAGTGAGTATCACTTGCTAGAAGAGAAAGGGCTTTAACTGAACTACAACAACACACACACAGGACCCAGCAGTAACAAGCTCTAGTCTCATACTGGTTATCATTTCACCCGCATTTTATGTGAACTAATTAGTATTATTTAGTCTTTTAGAACAGAAAGACAATATTGAGGGGAGAGGATATGGAGAAGAATATTAAGATAAAAACAGGAAAATGCATAAAGGTTTGAAGAACAAAGGAAGTTCAACAGTAACAAGAAGCCTTTGTATAAATGTTATCAACAGAATATGAAGCACATTATTCAGGATAAGAACAGAGATTTTTGACTTATGTGTTCATATTAAGTACGTGTATCCATTTAAAAGTGACATATAAATAATGTGTTCTAGGGCTGGAGGTATGGCTCAGGTGGAAAAGTACCAGTCAAGAGAAAGCAAGCCTCCTGGTGCCAGTGGCTCACACCTGTAATCTTAGCTACTCAGGAGGATGAGATCTGAAGATCACGGTTCAAAGCCAGTTGGGGGCAGAATGTCCTTGAGATTCTTATCTCCAATCAATCACCAGAAAACCAGAAGTGTCGCTGTGGCTCAAGTGGTAGAGAACTAGCCTTGAGCTGAAGAGCTCAGGACCCAGAGTTCAAGACCCACAACCAAAAAAAAAAGAGAGAGAAAGCAAGCCAATTAAGAACATGAAGCCCTGAGTTCAAGCCCCAATACTGGCACAAAATGAAGAAGGAAAAGAAATAGTTGCTTAAAATTATTATATAAAACAAAAATTGTTATAAAAACAAAACAAAACCTGGTTACCAGTCCAATTAGAATTATAAGTTAAACTAGATACTGGAAAAATTACTATATTTCACCTGTGACTTTTTTATGCTGTCTAGTTATTGAAAAAATTTTAGATCATGGCAGAGTTGTCCTTAATCTTGCTGTAGGGAATTTGGGGAGAGAGTAAAAAGTGTAAAAATGACATTAAAAAATAAAAAAGGTTTTGGGAGACAGCAACTGAAACGGTGTCATTGTCCAAAAAGAGATACACTCATTACCTGACTTTCGTAATGGTAGCCACTGTGTATAACAATAAATTTTTTTAAATTAAACAAAAAAGGTTTTGGAAAGTATATTGCTACACTAGTCTGATACTAATTTAAAATCTCAATCACATTAACGTCATAGGACTTAAAATCTGAATGTATGAATTAACTAAGACTGATAGTCTAATATAGTCTTAACTGTCCCGGAGTATGCAGAGGTGGCAGTCATTCTTGAAATTTCCTGAGGGATTGAAATATGTACAAGCTAAGAAATCTGAACTATGAATGTAAAAAATAGTGACCTAACAGCAAAATAAAACAAACAAAACAAAAAACTTGCATCTAATCTGTTAAATTTCATTTTCATATCCTAAGAAGGGGATATATATATATTAGAAATCAAGTATCTCCCTATTATACAAAATCAAATTAATAGTTTCTGAAAGGAGAAATTGTACCTTGTTATACAGTCAACTTGCTTAGCAAATATCTACTACAATTGTGGAAAATACCTCCAGTTATCATGCCCTGATATTCTGAATCTGAACCATGTTTAAATCTCATGTTCAACAAATACTATTTTTTTTTTTGGGGGGGGGGGGGGGTCCGGTTGTGGGGCCTGAACTCTGGGTCTGGGCGCTGTCCCTCAGCTCTTCAGATCAAGGCTAGCACTCTACCACTTGAGCCACAGCAACACTTCTGGCTTTTTTTCTTTTTGCTTATGTGGTGCTGAAGAATCAAACCCAGGGTCTCAGGCATGCAAGGCAAGTGCTCTACCACTGAGCCACCTTCCCAGCCCCAACAAATACTATTTTTTGATAATTCAGTTTCCTACAAACATCTTCTAAACGAGAGCAAGTGCTGGCCTATCCAACAAAAGAAATCTGGGTTATATAACTGGTATATTTCCCACTAAAATGAGTTATTTGGTGTTTTCTTTAGTCTGTTCTGAATTTGAGTCATTATATTCCTAACACTCATGATAAAATTGATGTTCTATACTGAAAATCCATTTCCCTCTAATCCTGGGGCTTGAACTCAAGGCCTGGCTGCTGTCTGTGAGCTTCTTTTTACTCAAGGCTAGTACTTTACCCACTTGAGCCACGGTACCACTTCCTGCTTTTTCTGAGTAGTTTATTGGAGATAAGAGTCTCCTGAGCCAGGTGACTGTGGCTCATACCTGTAATCCTAGCTACTCAGGAGGCTGAGATCTGAAGATTGCAGTTCAAAGCCAGCCCGGGCAAGAAAGTCCATGAGACTCTTATCTCCAATAAACCACTAGAAAACCAGAAGTGGCGCTGTGGTCCAAGTGGTAGAGTTCTAGCCTTGAGCTGAAGAGCTGAGGGACAGTGCCCAGGCCCAGAGTTCAAGCCCACAACCCACCAAAAAAAAAAAAAAAGGGTCTCATGGACTTTCTTGTGTGGGCTGGCTTTGAACCACAATCCTTAGAGCTCAGCCTCTGCAGTAACTAGGATTACAGGTATAAGCCACTGGTGCCCAGTTTATACTTGGAAATCTTTCTGGACCAAGATAATTTATATCCTAAGAAGTATCTTGGCAGTCATCCAACTGGCTTTCTATCAATGATATCTTTTTATTGAGTTTTCAGCAAAACTTTTTAATGCAGTATCACATTAAAATTAGAAAGGAAAAAAACATAAAAAAATAAGAATTTCAAGCCAGGTGTAGGTGGCTCATGCTAGTAATCCTACTCAGGAGGTTAAGATTTGAGGGGGCAAGAAAGTCCATGAGACTCTTATCTCCAGTTAACCACAAAAAGTAGGAAGTGGAGATGTCGCTCAAGTAGTAGTACATTAGCCTTGAGCAAAAATTTTGCTCACAGACAGCACCAAGGCCCTGATTCAAGCCCCAGCATAGTCACCAAAGGGAAAAAAATATTTTCAACTCTAACATTCTTTAGTAAATTACTATTAAGATCTCATTTTTAAGTTAGAACACTTAAAATAAGTTTGGAGGCAAACTGAGTACTTCTGTTCAGTGCTATATCTTTTCCTTGCAGTAAATGTAATTGACCCTCAGGACCCTTATGCCAAGCAATGATTCTACCACTAAACTTCATACACAGGCAAAATTTCAATTCTGACTATTCCTAAATTTATAGATTCTTCAGCATTCTTAAAAAGTAGAAAAGGAGGGCTGGGAAGGTGGCTCAGTGGTAGAGCGCTTGCCTTGCATGCATGAAGCCCTGGGTTCGATTCCTCAGCACCCCATAAGCAAAAAAAAAAAAAAAAAAAGCTGGAAGTGGCGCTGTAGCTCAAGTGGTAGAGCGCTAGCCTTGAGCTGAAGAGCTGAGGGACAACGCCCAGGCCCAGAGTTCAGGCCCCACGACTGGACCCAAAAAAAAAAAAGTAGAAAAGGAGGTGGCTTTTACTTCTTATTTAAAACTGCAGGGTATTTCCACTTCTTTAAAATTTCTTGGTTATGGCCATTATAGATATTGACAGGATTAATAACAAAATGCAAAAGGAATATCTAACTTTTATCTTTACAAAGATAAGCATATATACAGTGACATAAAAGTATTAAGATTTAGTGAGTTCTGAACACATTTCTTACCATTTACTCAAGATGATCATCTATTTCAGTTTAAATACTTATAGCATATGCAAATGGTTTCTTAATTTTTTTTTTTTTTTTGTCCCAGTCGTGGGGCCTGAACTCTGGGCCTGGGCACTGTTCCTCAGCTCTTCAGCTCAAGGTTAGTGCTCTACCATTTGAGCCACAGCACCACTTCCGGTTTTTTCTGCTTATGTGGTGCTGAAGAATCGAACCCAGGGCCTCATGTATGCAAGGCAAGCACTCTACCACTGAGTCACCTTCCCAGCCCTGGTTTCTTAATTTTAAGAGAGGAGGTCTTCACTGGAGAACAAATACTATAGATTATACCATTATAAACCTTCAGAGAGGCCAAGCTAATTTTATTATGGACAGCACAGAACTATCACTGTTCACAGAACTGGGAGGTATCATTAGAAAGAAATCATGGTCTTGCCGGGCACCGGTGATTCACGCCTATAATCTTAGCTACTGAGGCTAAAATTTGAGGATCGAGTTTCAAAGCTAGCCTGGGGAAGCAAAGACCGTGAGACTCCTATCTCCAATAAACCACTAGAAAACCAAAATGGTAGAGCGCTTGTCTTGAGCTGAAGAGCTGAGGGATAGCAACCAGGCCTAGAGTTCAAGCCCCATGACTGACCAAAAAAAGGAAAATAAAAAAGAAATCATGGTCTTCAAAATCAATTGGGAGAAATATCATATTCAACAGACTAATTAGACCAAACAAGTTAGGCCTGGGGTGGCACATTCCCATCATTTGAGCTATTTAGTAGACAGAGAATGTCCAAGGCCAATCTGAGCAAAGGTCAAGAGACTCTATCTTCAAACAAACTGGAGGTGGTGGTGGCTTATGCCTGTAATCCTATTCAAGAGGCTGAGGTCTGAGCGTCCAGGTTCAAAGTAGCCCTGGACAGTCCATGAGACTCTTATCGCTCCAACTAACTACCAACAAACTAAAAGCAGAGGCTGTGCCTCAGTGGTAGAGTACTAGCTTTGAACAAAAAATAACAGGGACAGCTAGGCGCTGGTAGCTCATGCCTGTAATCCTAGCTACTCAAGAAGCTGAGATCTGAGCATCATGGTTCAATGCTAGCCTGGGCAGGAAAGCCCATGAGACTCTTATCTCCAAAAAACCACCAGAAAACTGGAAGTGACACTGTGCCTTAAGTGCTCGCTTTGAGCTGAAGAGCTCAAGGACAGAGCCCAGACCCAGAGTTCAAGCCCCATGACCAACAGACCAAAAAAGAAAAAAAATCAGGGACAGTACCCAGACTCTGAATTCAAGCCCCTGGACCAACATAAACAAACCTAAAGGCAAAAGGACCGAGAACAGTTCTAAAGTCCTAAAGATTCAATCCCTAGTATTGCAAAAAACAAAAAACAAACAAACAAACAAAAAAAACCAAATGGAAACATTTTGACTTGGTCATCTAAAAACTACACAGGTAATTTTTTACATAAATAATGATAGCATTAACAGGAAGAAATTATTCCATCACAGGAGATAAGTATTACAATCTAACAAAAGAATGGGGTGGTTGCATTTTCTACAGGTTCAAAGAGACAGCTACATTTACTTTTCAATATGAAGTTTCTTTACTAAGTTTCTGACCTCTTAGACCTCCAGAAAAGTTGACTTTATAAAAATAAAACTATTTCTATTTCAAGAAATAACATTATGTTGTGAAGAATGAAGGGAAAGTAGGGTAAAAACCAATAATAAGGCTCAGTATGTGGCTTAGTGGTAGAGTGCTTGTCTAGCATGCATGAAGCCCTGGGTTTGATTCCTCAGTAACCACATAAACAGAAAAAGCCAGAAGTGGCACTGTGGCTCAAGTGGTAGAGCAGTAGCCTTGAGCAAAAGAAGCTCAGGGACAGTGCCTAAGCCCTGAGTTCAAGCCCCAGGACTGGCCAAAAAAAAAAAAAAAGTAAAAAATAAACATAAAAAACAAAAAAGCAAAAAACAAAACAAAACCCCAAACCCCAAAACAACCAATAATAAGTATTTCTGAATTTCTCTGGAATATTCTAGAGCAGGGAATATGTTACAGGGAAATGTTTTTTTTTTTCCGGTCAGTCACAGGGCTTGAATTCTGGCCTGGGTGCTGTCCTTGAGCTCTTCAGCTCAAGGCAAGTGCTCTACCACTGTAGCCACAGCGTCACTTCCCATTTTCTGGTGGTTAATTGGAAATAACAGTCTCACAGACTTTCCTGCCCAAGCTGGCTTTGAACCATGATCCTAAGATCTCAGTCTCCTGAGCAGCTAGGATTACAGGTATGAGCCATCAGTGCCCGGCTAGGGGAACTTTTTATTTTTATTTATTTATTTATTTATTTTGGGTCTACCACTGTAGCCACAGCGTCACTTCCGGCTTTTTTCTTTTTGCTTATGTGGTGCTGAGGAATCGAACCCAGGGATTCAGGCATGCAAGGCAAGCGCTCTACCACTGAGCCACCTTCCCAGCCCGTAGGGGAACTTTTTAAAGAAACAAATTAAAAAAAAATTTTTTATCAGATATTGCATACTCCTATCTCTAATTCAACAGGGAAAGAACAAGCAGATCTGAAATGTTCCACAGCAAATTAATACCCATTTAACTTATCATCATTTTGTATTTTTTTCTACTATAAATCTTATTTATTTATTTATTTATTCATTCACCCATCTATTCATTCATTTATGTATTTAATGCTGGTCCTGGGGCTTGAATTCAGAGCCTGGGTGCTATCCCAGAGCTTTTTTGCTCACAAGGTTAGTACTCTACCACTTGAGCCACCCCTCTACTTTAGGTTTGGTGGTTAAATGGAGATAACTTTCCTGCCCAGGCTGGCTTTGGACCTAGATTCTTCTGAATAGCTAAGATTAGAGACATGAGTCACTGTCACCTGGCTGAATCATAAATATGACTTTTTACATTTTTTAAGACATTCTTTATTTTCTAAACTAATAATAATGTTTTTTTTTCTTTTATGCTTTATGTTTTGCTACCACTCCAGTTCAAATCTTCCTCCTCATACATATTTCCTCTATTAATTTACCTGATTTCACTGTTGATTCCCCTCTCCGGCTTCTTTTCCTCTTTTAAGTGATGCTGAGTTTGAACTCCAGAGCATCAAGGTTGCTAGGCTGATGCTCTTGAGCCATATTTCCAGCTCTATAGTCTTTTTCCCCCCTATTATTTTGGAAATAAGAGTCTAATAAACTTCTCTGCCTCAGCTGGCCAGATTTCCACTTCCTGAGTAGCTACGACCAAACCAATTTGAACATGTTAATAATCTGCTTCAAGACTTATCATTTCCATCTCCTTCTGTAAAGTGAGTAACAGTCTAAATTCTATAACTCTCCATAATGCAGTATCACACATGGTACTTCTCAGTTTACATAAACTTACTTCAGTAGCTCTAAAACTGTCACGTCTGTTCCTTTTTCCCATGCTATTTCTCCATCTCCCAACATCTTGTTTTAATCCCTAGAGTCACTCAAATTCTACTAATCCTTTAAGTTCTTCAAATTCTATCTTCATTAAGTTTTATTGAGCATTTTTCTCACACAAATCTTCCTTACCATGTACACACTGATGTCCTTATCACAATTTAATATATTCTATCAGAAATTGTCCATAACAATTACATACAGCTTTTTAATTATTTGCCCTCGATTCACAGGTTACTCTCTCCTCTCCTGCTCCCTCTCATTCTTTTTCTATCTCTCTCCTGTCTCTTGCCCTGTAGCTTAGGCTGGCCTCAAACCTGTGATACTCCTGAGTGTCCCAAGTGCTGGGATTGCAGGTGTGTAATACCATGCTCAATTAGTGATTCCTATTTATACAAGTAAGTAGAAATCAAATACCTCTAGGTATGTTATTATTTAACAAAATGATGACTACAAGGCAGAGACTCAAAATCAACTTAATTTCCAGAAGTGGTCCTTATACAGCCTATACTAGCTTTAATCCTACTTCTGGCCAACTGCATGTAAATGTGTAAGTGATATGATAAAATAAGTTATGGGGGGGGCAACAACCCCTAATTTAATAAGTGTTGAAAAAGTTTACAATTAACAAAAAGGTCCAAAGGAAGGCAGTTCAAGTAACATGTCACTGAGCAGCAGGAGTCAAATCATACCCAATAGAATCTGAGGTGGGTGCAGAAGGGGATGATCCAGATGTAAGGACAGTCTCTGTTAAGGAGGCCTCCTCCTGTGGTATTGGGTGATGTTCAAAGAACTTGGAGACAAACAGCAAACTGTGAGGCAAAAACAAAACAAAACAAAACAAACCTAACTTGTGCAAAACCCAGAAACTTCAGTATACTGAATTTATACAGCTAGTGGAAAAACCTGGGATCAATTACATTTTCAGAAACAATAAAATTCAACTGGTGGTATTTTTATCTAAAGGCTTATTAAAGATTAGATTGCACCTTCAAAGGCAAGGTCAGAATCTAAAATTAATTCTCTTAGGCAAATTTCTACATATTACAGGGGGTAAAACCATGTTTCAAGGTTAAAAAAAACTACAAGAAAAAGTATCTCGTGCTCAGTTAATTTATCATTATACTGTATAAAGTACAGTGGTAAATTCTTATTTGCTTAAGTAATCAGGAAAAGATCTTTACAGCAAATAGCAATGACAGAAAGAGACTATTATAGACAGTCTAATTTATTAGAAAAGATGGACTAAAGCAAAAAGAAAATTATAGACAAACTGTGTACAAAGATTTCAAGTCTTAAAGTGAGGAGAGATAAAGGTGAAAAAGACAATAGGAGAGAAGATGGATGAGGGAAAAAGGGAGAAAGAGATTGATGTGTGTATGTGGGGGAGAGAATATAAACATTATCAAAATAGGAATTACAAAATAGGAATCAGATTCTTTCATCTATGGTTGAGCTTAATGAAATGATACTTCGCCTCTCAAAAATTTATTCAAAAGTGATTTTTAAGAATTTAGGGTCTTTACTAATTAAAAAATAATGTGAAATATAAAGTGTATATTTGAATTAGAATTATAGTCTGGGAGAGACCTGCTGTATTACATGTTATATTCTGACCACGCTTTAAAATATTCCCTGTAATAACTATGCTGAACATTGACTTCAAGGCAATCTAGTTTAAACATTATGAAAACTTAAAAGTTAAAAAAAGCTAGAAAAAAAGGTTACTTACTCAAGTTGGTCATAATTAACACACATCAGTGGAACTTCTGTACTACAACGCTGGTGAAATTTATAACCACATGTTTGACAGCGGAAACCTTGGAAAAGCAGCTTTCGACAAAAGTCACAAAAAGCTAAGGTGAAAAAAGTTTTCCGTACCTGCAAAGTAAAAAATAGAGAACTTAAAAAACTTACAAAAATCTTTTTAGAAATCAATGTATTTATTCTTATCTAAAGGAACTAAGTTTTAATGTTTATCATAAAAACTTGTACTAAAATATAAAAATGAAAAACAAGGGTTTGAGACAATAAATGGGCTATACATATGTATACCTCCCAGTGGGTGCTGGCGACTCATGCCTATAATCCTAGCTACTGAGGAGGCTGAGATCTGAGGATCGAAGTTCAAAGCTAGCCCAGGCAGGAAGGTCCTTGACACTCTTACCTCCAACAAACTACTCAGAAAAAGCTGGAAGTGGTGCTGTGGTTCAAGTGGTAGAGCACTAGCCTTGATTAAAAGAAGCTCAGGGACAGTGCCCAGGCCCAGAGTTCAAGACCCAGAACTGGCACCAGAAGAAAAAAAAAAAGCAGCAAAAAAAAACTACTTATAAAAATAAAACTGCCAGTCAGGTGCCGGTGGCTCACGCCTGTAATCCTAGCTACTCAGGAGGCTGAGATCTGATGATCACAGTTCAAAGCTAGCCTGGGCAGGAAAGGCTGTGAGGCTCTTATCTCCAATAAACCACTAGCAAACCAGAAGTGGTGCTGTGGCTCACGTGGTAGAGCACTTGCCTTGAGCTGAAGAGTGCAGGGACAGCGCCCAAGCCCAGAATTCAAGCCCCACAATCGGCAAAAAAAAAAGAATAAAAAAAAATCAAACTGTCATATAACGGTACAAAAACTAGAACACTAATAACTAAAATAGCAAGCAGCATGGGCTGGAAAGGTGGCTCAGTGGTAAAGCACTTGCCTTGCATGCATGAGGCCCTGGGTTCGATTCTTCAGCACCACATAAGCAGAAAAAAAAAGCTGGAAGTGGTGCTATGGCTCAAGTGGTAGCGCGCTAGCTTTGAGCTGAAGAGCTAAGGGACAGCACCCAGGCCCAGAGTTCAGGCCCCGCAATAAGACTCCTCCCCCCCCCCCCCCAAAAAAAATAGCAAGCAGGAAAATCAAAAAGACAATAAGACCATTTATAAACTATCAATTTGAAGAATTAAAATATTCAGGCTCCCTAAACGTGTTGTGAACATCTTGTTTCTTATACTTTTTGTTTTTTTTGGGGGTGGGGGGTGGGGAGGGAGACACAAGTTTTATTTGGGCTGATTTTAAACTGAAAATTTTTCATTTCAAACTTCAAAGTCCTCATAGGTAGGCACTACCACATTTAGCTGTGAATTATTTGTTTAACTGCTGGTCCTGGGCACTGTCCCTGAGCTTTTATGCTCAAGGCTAGCATTCTACCACTTGAGAAACAGCTCCTCTTTCCCCTTCTGTGGTACTTAATTGGAGATAATAGTGCCAGACTTTCTTGCTCAGAGTGGCTCTGAACCATGATTCTCAGATCTCCTGAGTAGCTAGGATTACAAGTGTGAGCCACCAAGCACCTGGCTAAAAAACATATAAAAATTCCATGAAGCAGGACATGGTGGCACATGGACATAACCCTATCACCTGGGAAGCTGAGGCAGGATGATCAGGGCCCTAAGCTAGCCTGATCTATATAGTGTGACCTGGTTTCCAGGAAAAAAAAAGAAAAAAAAGGGAGGGGAGCAGGGGGAATCACATCAACAGACATTATGGACACATCTATTAAAAGAATTGTGCTAAAGAGAAATTGTTTAAAATATACTTGCTCTGGCTGGCTGCTGGTGGCTCACACCTGTAATCCTAGCTACTCAAGAGGCTGAGATTTGAGGATTGTGGTTAAAAGCCAGCTGGGGAAGACTCTTATCTCCAATTAACCACCAGAAAACTGGAAGTAGCACTGTGGCTCAAGTGGTAGAGTGCTCACCTTGAACTGAAGAGCTCAGGGACAACGCCCAGGCCCCGAGTTCAAGCCCCATGACCAAAAAACAAAAAAATATACTTGTTCTGGATATATATTTAGCAGAAAACATAAGCTATATAAACAATACCATATTCTTAGCAATATCTATTTTAGTCTTGATGATATGATGACTTCTACTTCATTCTTTGTTGTATATTCTTAATCATTTCAATTTTCCAAATTTTAATATACAATAGTAATATATTTTATTTATTTATTTTTTTAGGGGTCCGGTTGTGGGGCCTGAACTCTGGGCCTGGGCGCTGTCCCTCAGCTCTTCAGCTCAAGGCTAGTGCTCTACCACTTGAGCCACAGCGCCACTTCCTAGTAATATATTTTATAACCTATTATATACCTATATTCACATAACAGTAATTACTCTGACTAAATATAATGTGCTTCATGATACATTAAATTTATTTTAAAATCAAAACTATTTTCAGTAAAAAAATTATTTACAGAAATAGTTATTGAAATTAAGCATGATAGGTATAGTATACCTGTCCTTCTAGCACTTAGAAGACTGAGGAAGGAGAATCACAAGTTTTTGTTTTTTTCCAGTCTTGGGGCTTGAACTCAGGGCATCGCTTTGAGCTTCTTCTGCTTAAGGCTAGCACTTGACCATGTGAGCCACAGCACCACTTCTGGCTTTTTCTGTTTATGTGGTACTGAGGAATTGAACCCAGGGCTTCATGAATGCTAGGTAAGCACTCTATTGCTAAGCCACATTCCCAGCCCCAATCACAAATCTGAGGCCAAAAAAAACACCACGTTTCATCAAGAAAGTTCTATCCTGTCAATCCATTCTGACTTTGTGAGAACATTTACATAGTTGTTTTTACAAGTGGCACTTATTTTCATACTCTTTTTTACTTTTTGTATATATTGCTAAGGCATGTGCAAAGTCAAACACCTATTTTTTAGCTTTGCTCCTTTTCTACTTGCCTTTGTTTATATAAGAAATGAAAAATGCATTCTGATTTTCTTTTAGTTTGTTTTGTAGTATTAGGATTTCAACTCTGAGACTCTTAACTCTTGTGCCATACATCCAGCCAACTTTAACTTCAGACACAGTTTACTTTTCAGATAGAACTTTTGCCTGGGGCGAGACTTAAGACTGCCATCCTCCTGATCCTCCTACCTATACTGGCATTATAGGCTTGTACCATTATGCTTAGCCGAAAATAACTTTTTTTAGTATTCTTCATATGGTCATTATTTACCAAACTAAGCATCTTTTATGGTGCTAGCAGAATTTCAGGAAACTGAGCATAGAAAAGCATAAAATGTTTTCAGTTTATCAGTAGCTTTTACTTATCTGATCCTTTGTGCTAATCACGCATAGTCTCAATCATCGGGTAATCTTTCCAGTCCCATGAAGCCCTCCACTTTTTTCATTAATTCAATTGCCTTTCTTCCTGTCATTGACCTACATTTTTAAACTGTATTAAGTGGGGGCTGGGAAGGCAGCTCAGTGGTAGAGGGCTTGCCTTGCATGCATGTTTGATTCCTTAGCACTACATAAAAGCAGAAAAAGCTGGAAGTGGTGCTATGGCTCAAGTGGTAGAGTGCTAGCCTTGAGATGAAGAGCTGAGGGACACTGCCCAGGCCCGACAAAAAACCCCCCCAAAACAAAAAAATTGCATTAAGTGGTTGGTTGTGTATGTGTTTATGCACACATACACACATATTACGAGAAAAAGGGAAAAAGAAAAGGAAAAGGGAAGTAAGTATGAAAGAGAGAAAAAAACATTTGGGGACAAAGATATGTGGATAAGCATTTGAGTATTAATTTTAAGCAAAGTGTTTATACCTGTAAGAATATCTTTATCAATAAAATAGGGAACAGGAAAATCTATATTTCTTCTGGGTCACAACTGATGCTCTATTGGGAATTTGAGCATATCTAATCAGTCATGGTAAATCGGTGGGAGCTGTATGCTGGGGACATTTAGCTTATACTTGGTTCTATTAAATGTAAAACACACATAAGGAAGACTCACACAAAGTTCAATATCTAGCTACTCTACATTCTACTTCCATCACCCTATTTTTTTTTCTTTCTTCTTTTTCCTTTCTGTTGTTTGTGGGGCTTGAGCTCAGGGCCTGGCTTGAACTCTTTTTGCTCAAAGCTATATTCTACAACTTTGAGCCACAGCTCCACAACTGGTTTTCTGGTGAGTCTCATGGACTTTCTTGCCCAGGCTGTCTTTGAACCGCAATCCTCAGATTTCAGTCTCCTGAGTGGCTAAGATTGCAGGCGGGAGCCACCAGTGTTCTGCTATATCACCTTATTTTTCAGAAACATTTATATAAATCTGTTGAGATTCAAGCAGACTATGTTTAATTTGCATGTTAAGATTTATTTTTAAATACAAAAATATGATGTCTTTAACTTTTATTTCCTGAGTGGGGAGCAGGAAATATTTCTATTTTTCCTACTTTTTACATGACTATACTAAAATAAATCCTTGTTAAAACTTCAAAAAAGAAAAAGAATAAAAGGGGGGACCCTCACAAAAACGTAAATATCTCTTAATGGAGGGAATAAAGGTATCAAATAAATTGCTATCCTTATAGATTATTGTACAATCATTACAAGACTAAAGCTAAGTAAACTGAGAATGTTCTGTTGAATAAAAAATAAGGAAGGTAGGGGTATCATACAGCATTACTTTCATTTTCTATTTAAAAAAGGAAAATGAATGGAAAGTGATTAAGAAAGCACAAAGAAAACTTTGGGCTTAAGAGTATAAGCATACAGTGGGAGGGAAGGGATGGTAGGGGGAAAACAAAGGAGGAGGCAACAATACTTGATAAGAAATGTACTCATTACCTTACTCATGTAATTGTAACTGTACAGTATTTTCATAATAAACTTATTTTTTAAAAGTATAAGCATACTTTTGTGTATTCAGAAAAAACAGATTACAATAATCTATACAAATATAAACCTACATAAATTTATTAATTTATATAAATGTTGATCTCTAGAAGACTATTTCATTTTTAAAATTTTTGTATCATTCAGATTTTTTTAGTAAACATCCATGGCTTTAAGTTACAACAAAAGTCTAATGATTAAAACTCTTTAGCTTCAAGTTTTAGAGAACAGAATTTTAAAGTAACATGTCAATACGATATTATTCACTCATATTTCATATCTCCTAAACAAAAACACATTCATAAGACCTGAGTATTTTCTGACATTTCCAAAGTATAAAGGTACATACAAAGTTGTGTGTTGTGAGTGGAACATTCTCCAACACTTCTACATGCAACTCCTCCCCAGTAAGCCATGAAATATCAGTATCCCAACCAATAGGCTTCTTCTCTCTGAAAAATGGAGACATAAGCGCTTCTTAGTTATCATATGAAAGCACATTACATACCTCATGCTGGAGATGTGAAAATTGGTTATTGAGGGGCTAGTAATAGGGAGGTTTGGGTCCCTAGTCTTCCATCGTTAGAAATTTAAGTGGCAATAAATTTTTAAGTTTACCCCAAATAAATGTATCACTCTTGGACAAACAGCAGGGTAAAGAGATGTACTCTTTTCTTCAAGTCAGCTCCAGAAAAGACCTACAACAGCAGAAAATGGATTTTTCCTGGGGTCAAACCCCCTCCCCCCAAAAAAAACAAAAACAAAACTACCGGTACAGATTTATCTATCCGTTTAGAGAAAAAGAGTACTCAAGGGACATGTTCTAAGACATGATTCAAAATGTGGTTTCAAAAATTTGGGAAGTGAGCCAGGTGTGGTGGCTCACACCTGTAATCCTAGCTACTTAAGAGGCTGAGATGGGCTGGGAAGGTGGCTCAAGTGGTAGAGCACTAGCCTTGAGCTAAAGAGCTGAGGGACAGCACAAAAAAAAAAAAAAAAAGAGGCTAAGATCTGAGGATAGCGGTTCAAAACCAGCCCACAGAAAAGTCCATGAGACTTTCCAATAAACCACCAGAAAACTGGAAGTGGTGCTGTGGCCTTGAGCTGCAGAGCTTAGAGACAGCACCCAGGCCCAGAGTTCAGGCCAACCATCACCACCACCAACAAAAAAAATCTGTCAAGTCTTGGAACAATGTTAGATACTTTCTAAAAGAAAAACAGCTCAATAGAAAAGCCACTTTTTTAATCAATCCTTTGAAGCTATGAGTTTGTATTAAAAATGAGAAAGCTCTGGTATGGCTGTATTATCCAAATATTTAAAATTTTCAAAAATAGCAAAACTGCAAACTCCAGAAAAGTATTTGATCAGAGTAACAGTATAGTCAGACAAAGTCATTAACTTGTAAGATTTCTTCAGGCTAACTTAGGATGGATTTTTATTTTTGAAGCTGATTTTCAATTCTTAGGTTTAGAAAAAGTTCCTACAAAAACCCCAAAGTTTAATGTCTGATGGTTTTATATTTATACACAAAATTCACAACACATACAAACCATACCCATCCTGAATTCTGTAAACAGCACAGCACTCTGGGATAAGACCTCTCATCATGAGTGCTTTCTTTAGGCTGTCTCGGACTGTAACTCCACATCTTGCAGGTACCTACGGTAGCATAAATACAGATAAGAGATATAGAAAATAGATTTTTACTTCTAAATCATTTTTTAACTCAGCAATTTATCTTTAGTAAACTTTAATTATCATATGGATTATTATGACAAGTTATGGGATTTTTTCTTTTTGGTAATGTGGCTTGACCTCAGGGACTGAGTGCTGTCTCTGAGCTTTTTTTGCTCAAAACTAGGGCTCTACCACTTTGTGCCACAGGGCCACTTCTAGTTTTCTGAGGTTAATTGGAAGTTAAGAGTCTCACATGGACTTTCCTGTCCAGGCTGACTTCAAACATCGATCCTCAAATCTCAACCTCCTGAGCAGCTAGGATTACAGGTTTAAGTCACCAGAACCCAGCTATGCCAAGTTTAACATCATTTCTATAAGTCATTTAAAGGAAAACCAGAGTCAAATATTTATTATTTTGCCAACATAAACCAAATTTTTTTGTCTTTTATTAAAATTTGAAATATTTTGTATATAAAAAGTAGGAAATGTAATAGTACCTTACTATCACCCCCCAACATAATATACCTATCACTGAGAAATAGTTGTCAACATTTAAAGCCAATTTTGATCCAACATTGTTCAAAGCTGCAATCCTTCAATCACAATAATGGTCCTTAAGAGACATCTACCTGACATTAAAGAAATATTTGTCTTCTGAGCATAATTGATACTTACTGTTTAGTTGTCTAGATCCTCATTTCCTCTGAGAACCACCCTTTTCTAGAAACCCACTAGGTACTAGAAAACTATCAACCAAGGCTTTTTGGGCAAATCATCTAATTAGTTTCCAATATCCCTAGCTACAGCAACTGGCCTAGGTCTACATAAGCCTAAACAATATCAAGTTCTTTTCTATACCCAAACACTGACTGAGACAAGTTACTGTGCCTATTGTGGTTACAGTATGCCATTCAAATCTGAAGCCCCCAAAACACTGGTTAAAGAATGAACCTAATACAGGGACAAGTACCATCAGCAACAGGAATGGGAAGGACAAGGTAAACAACAACAACAAAAAGATAGTTATCTGTTTAGCTTTTCTGAAGCCTTGTGTCCCCCCATGTGAATTTGATATGGACTAAAGAGGGACAGTGGCAACATATTGGGAACAGTTTTTATTGGGGGAAGTGACAGGAGAGGATGTTTTAATAATTATAGTAACAATCACCTCATTATTCAATCACCTTAAAAGTTCTTTTTTTTTTTTTTTGGTCCGGTCGTGGGGCCTGAACTCTGGGCTTGGACGCTGTCCCTCACCTCTTCAGCTCAAGGCGAGCGCTCTACCACTTGAGCCACAGTGCCACTTCTGTTTTTTTTTTCTTTTTTGCTATGTGGTGCTGAGGAATCGAACCCAGGGTCTCATGCATGCAAGGCAAATGCTCAACCACTGAGCCACCTTCTCAGCCCAACCTTAAAAGTAATTCTTAAAGCAACTTAAAAGTTTCTGAAGAAATTTGTAATTTTCATGTTTGAGGGGAAAAATGAAATAAAGGCAGTTCAATTTTAATAGTTATTAAAAGGGAAACAATTCAGAAAGATTAATGCAAACCTGTGATTAGAAATAAAAGGAGGTAGGTGCCAATGGCTCACCTCCATCATCCCAGTTACTCAGGAAGGTAAGACACAGAGGATCTCAGGTCAAATCCAACCCAGGTAGAAAAGTGCATGAGATTCTATCTCTAAAACTGAACAGCAAAAAGCTGGGCTGGAGTTACAAACACCAGGTAAGCAAGCACGCCAAGAAAGCCCAAGGTCTGAGTTCAAAACTCTGGTATTAGCAAGAAAAAAAATATTAACAGGAGACATATTTTAGTCCAATATATCCATTAAGACTAGGTACCACCTGGGCTGGGAAGTTGGCTCAGTGGTAGAGCACTTGCCTTGCATGCCTGAGGTCCTGGGTTCGATTCCTCAGCACCACATAAGCAAAAAGAAAAAAGCCGGAAGTGGTGCTGTGGCTCAAGTGGTAGAGCACTAGCCTTGCGCTGAAGAGCTGAGGGACAGCGCCCAGGCCCAGAGTTCAGGCCCCACGACCGGACCCCAAAAAAAAAAAAAAAGACTAGGTACCACCAGACACTACACTAGTGGCTCATGTCTGTCATACTAACTATTCAGGAGGCTGAGATCTGAGGATTGTGGTTGGAAACCAGCTCGGGCAGGAAATCCTGTAAAACTATTTTTCTTTTCTTTTCTTTTGTCTGTTATGGAACCTGAACTCCAGGCCTGGGCTATCTTCAAGCTCTTCAGCTCAAGGCAAGTTCCCTTCCACTGGAGCCACAGCACCACTTCTGGTTTTTTGGTGTTAACTGGAGATAAGAGTCTCACAGATTTTCCTGCCTGGGGTGGCAGATCTCAGCCTCCTGAATAGCTAGGATTACGGGTGTGAGCTACTAGTGCCAGGCTTGCTGAGACTCTTACCTCCAATTAATTACCAAAAAAGCCAGAGGCAGAGATGTGGCTGCTCAAGTGGTAGGACACTAATCTTGAGCAAAAGAGCTCAGGGACAATGCCCAGGCCCTGAGTTCAGGCCTCATGACCCAAAACAAAAATAAACCAAAAAAGTATTTAAGAAGTGATGAAAAAGCCAGGTGCCCATGATTCACACCTGTAATCCTAGCAACTCAGGAGGCTAAGATCTGAGGATCGAGGTTCAAAGCCAACCTGGGCAGGAAAGTCTGTGAGACTCCTATCTCCAATAAACAACCAGAAAACTAGAAGTGGTGCTGTGGCTCAAGTGGTGGAGCATTTGCCTTGAGCTGAAGAGCGCAGGGAAGCACCCAGGCCCAGAGTTCAAGCACCACAACTGACCAAAAAAAAAAAAAAAAGGCTGTAATATGTCTGACAAAGGAAGTTCATGTGTTAAGAAAGCTATGATAGTATCAGCCAAATGAAAAAAAAATATATTAAATAAAAACATAAAAATGATGTTATGTAGTGACTGATAAAAATGTACTCTCAATGCAAAGGACCTGGGGGCTGAGCAAGGAGAAAGATATGACCACGAGATGGCAGTGGTACACGAGAGCTTTACTTGGATGATACCTCTGATAGGTTGTGTACAGTCCTTTCTAGTCTGAGACCAGACTATCCAGAGGGTAAGGTAGGGGGACAAGGGAACTCCCAGAGGGAGAGGATTGAAGAAGAGGGTGCTTATTACATGTGTCACTAAAATTGCTCAACAGACTAGCAGGGTGCCTTCACATGAAAGAGCTTCAAGTCTTTACAGAAGTCAGGGAAAATGCAATTTTATGGAGCTTGTAAACTGAAAATGTGCATATCACGAGTGTATTTAAAACCATCAGATAAACAAAAGCTGTACTTTCTAGAAATAATGAACTGAGGGTAAAAGCTCTCTCCTCTGTCACTCATCTTGTAGCTAGAACAACATAAAAACTTCCTAATTGGAAGGTAATTCTTATCTTTACTTTTAAATTTAACCCAATCATTCTACCCTATGTTTCCAGAGAGATCTTTGTAAAAAGGTATCTTAACTTGTTTCAGAGACTTGTGAGAATCAGATGAAAGCTTCAGATGTGCTCTAAAACAAAACATTTTGGAGGATTCATGTTACCTGAATACCATATCCCAGACTGCTAAGAAGTCCCACTGAGCTCCCATTGTATTACAGAGAGTATAGATAAAAATTAGTTTTCTAACTAATCTTTAGTTGTTCTACCCCTTTATTTCTATTCCTTCCCAGAATTTCTTTGAAGCATATAATTAAACTGTTCATTCCATATTTCAAACCACTTAATTTATTTTTTATTTTCTATTCCTTTAATCTATGTTATTTTCTTGACTCTGTTATGGAAAATTCTCATTAAATTTCAGAAACTTTGAAAAAAAATAGTATAATTACAATATAAATTCATTCTCTTTGATTCTAAAATTATGCTTTTTCATACTTGCTTTCTCTTTCTCTACACTCAGTTATTCATAGTGTTATGTGTAAACAAGTTGTTTCAAAGTAATTGACTGAGATAGATGGCCAAAAAAATGTCAAGAATATTTATTATTTTGTTTCTGGAGGAACTGGGTTCTGAACTTGTTAGGTAGGCACTCAACTGTTGAACCAGGCCTCCTGATCATGGTCACTCTTGAATTAGAGGGGGTAAAGAGGAATTCCTTCAAGCATTAGGAATGTTTTGTATCTTAATCTGTATGGCAATATTGTATGTTAAAAATCACGAACCCGTACCCTTGAGAGTCATACACTTTACTAGGTTGAAGTTGCAGTCATCATGATGCTTCACCCCTAAATATTTAACGGTGTATTTCCTAAGACGAAGGACATTCTTCATGTGATTACCATTAGCACACTTAAGAAATTTAACAGTGTTGGGCTGGGAAGATGGCTCAGTGGTAGAGTGCTTGCCTTGCATGCATGAGGCCCTGGGTTCGATTCCTCAGCACCACATAAGCAAACAGAAAAAAGCTGGAAGTGGTGCTGTGGCTCAAGTGGTAAGAGCGCTAGCCTTGAGCTGAAGAGCTGAGGGACAGCGGCCAGGCCCAGAGTTCAGGCCCCACGACCGAACCCAAAAAAAAAAAAAAAAGAAAGAAATTTAACAGTGTCATAACACCAATATTCTATCAATATTCCAAGTTTCTCATCTCAAGAATTCCTTTGATAGTTCTTCCTTAACTCAATACCAAAACAAGATTATACATAGCATATGGTTTTGTTTACAGAAGACCTCCCAACCCTGTTATTCTCTATGACATTTACTCTATCAGAGACCAGGCCTTCTGAGTTTGTCTATTTGCTTCCTAATGGTACTTAATATTTCTTATAAAATGGAACGTTCATAAACCTGACATTCAGTGCAATCATTTCTTGCAAGAATACTTCCTAGATGATGTCATCCACTAAGTTTGAAATTTCAAGATTATTTAGAATCTCTATTTGGTTCCTTAGGAATGTAATTCTTCTGTTCTTAAAGTTTTCTAACTCACGAGATAGGCTGTTTCTTTTTCTTTTCTTT